CACTGTGCCTTCCCCCACCTCCGTAACGTTTCACCCGAACAGGCACCCGAAACCCTCGTACACGCCTTCATTACATCGAGGCTCAACTATGCAAACTCATTCCTTGTCGGCCTCCCCAACTCCATCTTCCACAGGCTGGTCTTGCTCCCTCCTACCTCTCCGACCTCCTAACCCCCTACTATCCTGTCCGCTTCCTCCGCTCAGCGGGCTCCAGCCTTCTTCACGTCCCCCGCCTCGCTCGCCCCACAATCGGCGGCTGGGCCTTCAAGTTGGGCAACTTTCCTTACTCCACATACACACCGGTTTACCCAGCAGTAAGTAGGAACCCAGTTATTAGTCTGTGTCCTCTCCCGCATTAGGCTCCGGTTCCGGGGGTAATAATCCCACCCAAAAAAATTTGGTCACTCAATCCGCAACTGTTTGTGTACTCAATTGGCTGTTACGTTTCACCCACAGAATACACAGTCAATTCACTTTACAGTGTATCCTGTGAAGCACTTTGAGACATCTTGAAGACGTGATAAGGCATTGTGTCAAATGCAAGGTTTATTATTAATAATATTATTACTTTTATTAAATACTACAAATGTAGTGCACAATCGACTGACTTTCCGGGAAATCAATCATTTTTGTGTAACTGGCTGGTACTTTGCCAGTGATCGATACACGTGTGTAGGAGTCAACCCATCAAACAAACATGACACAGATGAGATTAACCTTTAACCACTGAGGATCAAGGCTATCTTGAGTTAACAATTCGAGTTGCCCATGTCCCAGACACATGTCTGGGACAACTGCAACTATTGGAATCCTGAACCTAATGATAAAACATTTCTCTCTGTCCTTCCTGGCACACACCCATACATACACACTTGTCTTCATGAGTTTCGCCCACAAAACACACAGTCAATCCACTTTGCAGTGCTTCTGTGAAGCACTTTGAGACGTCTCGAAGATGCGATAAGGCGCTATACCAAATGCAAGAATTATTATTATTATTTTATGAGATTTAAAATCCGAATTAAACTTGTTAACTAAAAAACTAATTTGCAGTGTCTTGCTCGACTCGTTGTACGAGAAATAACTGTTTCTGTGAAATGGAAACAGCTTGTTTCAGCAACATCAGGAAAAGATTGGAAGCAAATGGGAATTCAGTGAAAATGAATGACAGATCCTGATGTGGGTCAAGTTACCCTGCCAGGATTTGTGAGTAAGGACGAGGCTGAACTTTGTCATTAACTTGTCAATGTTGAAAGAATAGATCATTTTATTCTGTTGCCCTTGGCCAACATCACAGAGTCCTGTAGCTCAGTGGTTAGAGCGCTCGCCTTGCAAGCAAGAGGACCCGGGTTTGATTCCCAGGCGGGACGAAACCTTAGGCATCCTTACTCCATACGCAAGCTTTTATTTAGCAGCAGTCAGCAGGAACCAGTTTGTTAGTCGATTGACGGATCACTTTACAGGGGTAATAATGCCTCCAAAAAAATAATTAAATAATAATAACTTGGTCACTCAGTCCACGACTGTTTGTGGGACACTGCTGTGTGCAACTGCGTTTCACCCACAAAATACAAAGTCATAGAATCAGAGAATTATACAGCACAGAAGGAGGTCATTCGGCCCATCGTGTCTGTGCCGGCTATTTGAAAAGAGCTTCCAAATCAACCCCACTCCCCCCGCACTCTCCCCATAGCCCTGATCAACCCCACTCCCCCACTCTCTCCCCATAGCCCTGATCAACCCCACTCCCCCGCGCTCTCCCCATAGCCCTGATCAACCCCACTCCCCCGCTCTCTCCCCATAGCCCTGATCAACCCCACTCCCTCCCCATAACTCTGCAAACTTGTCTTCCCCAAATAATTATCTGCTTCTCTCTTAAAAGTTGTTATCAAATCGGCTTCCACCAGTCTTTCAGGCAATACATTCCAGGTCCCAACATTTCTCCTCACCTCCCCTCTGCTTCTTTTAACAACTATTTTAAATTGGTGTCCTTTGGTTACCAACCCACCCGCCAGTGGAAATAGTTTCTCCTTGTTCACCCTATCAAATCCCCTGATAACCTTGAAAACTTCTGTTAAGTCTCCTCTTAACCTTCTTTTCTCCAAGGAGAATAACCCTAGCTTCTCTAGCCTCTCCTCACAACTGAAGTCAATTCTCTTTACAGTCTATTCTGTGAAGCGCTTTAAGATGCCTCGAAGACGTGATAGGGCGCTATATCAAATGCAAGGATTATTATTATTACTATTAGGTATCATAGCCAACTCTAATCAGCGAAAACATTCTCTCCCCTCTTTGTATCTGAGTGAGGTCAATAAGATAACGTTCTGTGAGATTTCTCTCTGGCGCCAATAATGAACCTCCAAACAATTCCTCCAACTTCATAGCGCACGTCCAAATCAGAGGAGCACATTCCACCGGTGACTCACCCATTGTCCCAACAGCACAGAATATCTATCTTGTTCCTCAGCTTTGCTCACCATTGTCTCTGCTTCTAACCTTTAATCTCACAAACAAGGCGAGATACCCAGTTTACACTCACATTGTCACGTCTCACATCCTTGTTTCCTCCAATGGAAACATGCTCCATTCTGTGACCTTCTCTTCACCAATGTAGAGCTTTTAAGTCCCAAATTGTTCCTTCTGTGGTCACATCCTAGCATCTCTGTCCACTCAGCTCCTGTTAACCCTGCAAGCCAAAGCCTTAATGGATAGGGTGGTCCGAGCTGGACAAGCAGCAGAAAAGTTTGCCAAACAGCACTGTTGATGGCAAGCTATGCGGTTTTAAATGGTTAGACTCCAGTAGTTACCCCAACACACACTCTGGGCTCCCCCCAAGCCTTGGCTCTTGCCAACCTGCGACTAATACTCTCCGGAATTAGGTAAGCAGGGGGCGTCCCTCTAGGGAGAGAGTACGCATCCCATTCCAGCAATCTATCTCTGGGATTTCCATGTGTAGGTGGGATGCATGGAATTCTCAGCTTGGTTTGGTGACTCTTAAGCATGGTAATGGGTTTCCGCGTTTGTCAGACACCCGGCTGACCAAAAAACAATCTTAAAAGACATCAATCTTAAAAGACATCAATCTGCTTTGCTCTGGTGAAAATATCTCAAAATTGTGCAATCCTGTAATGTAGTGATTAGAGCACTTGCTTTGCAAGCGAGAGGACCTGGGTTTGATTCCCAGGTAGGTCAGGGCGAAATCTTAGTCAAGTGACTTACTCCACATACGCCTCTGCTTACCAGTAGTAAGTAGGAACCCACTTGTTAGTCGATTGGTGGATTGCTTTTCTTTAATAATCCCTTCAAAAATAAATTTTTAGAAATAGTAACAATTTGGTCACTCAATCCACGACTGTTTGTGGGACACTGCTGTGAGCAATTGGCTTTTGCATTTGGCTCACAAAATACACAGTCACTCCACTTTACAGTGAATCCTGTGAAGCGCTTTGCGACGTCTCCACGACATGATCAGGCGCGATATCAAATGCAAGGATTATTGAGTCTGTGCCGCCCTTTCACCATCTCTATTGCATCCTTCCTTTAATGAGTCCACAACTGAACACAATACTATAATCTGTAGCAGAACATTTTGGTTTGAGGTTGACATTGGATATAAGGAAAATTAATGTGTTCCCCTTCGCTGTATCTGTCAGTATTAAGTAGTAAATCACACAGCGGGATGTTGACAAATGAACCGTGGGTTAGCGCCAAGAAACGCTCTCCTTGATTCCGGATTTCCGCAAACTCACTTTAATAGCAGCTAATTTGTGAATCTTTGTAACTCAGCCAAAATGAATCAATCACTCCTACATTTGTTAATTATGCAAGCGAGCGGATCTGGGTTCGATTCCCGGGCAGGGAGACACGTTGGACAAGTTTCCTTGCTCCACACACACAAGCTCTTCTGTTTAGCTAGCAGTAAGTAGGAACCCGCTTGTTATCTGATTTACAGATTGCTTTTCTAGGGTAATAATTATATCAAAAAACATAAATAAATGATAATAATTTGATCACTCAATCCATGACAGTTTGTGGGGCACTGCTGTGCGCAATTGGCTGCCACATTTCACCCACAAAATGCAGTCAACTCAGTTTACACTATATTCTGTGAATTGCTTTGAGATGTCCCAACAACATGATAAGGCGCTGTATGAAATGTAAGGATTATTATAATGGAATGGTCTGGGAAGTTGTAAGTAATCTCTGGAGACCCACTTTGGGGGTGTTAATGAGCCCCACAATGCATTTGCCTTTGAGGCAGAAGGTTGTGGGTTCAAGCCCCACTTTGGGACTTGAGCTCACAGTCTAGGCTGACAGTCTAGCAGAGTACGGGGTGGGGAGCTTCTTTATTGGGGGTCAGCCGGGTGTCTGACATCCGGAAACCCATCACCGTTGCTTAAGAGTCTCCAAACCCAACTGAGAATTCCCCACATCCCACCTATACCTGGAAACCCCAGAGATTGTCAGAATAGAATGCGCTCTCTCTCTTTCTCTCTCTCTCAACCCCTGGTGGGACACATCCTGCTTACCTAATTCTGGTGAGAGTCAAGTCGTGGGGGGTCTAAGGCTGCTGGAATCTAACCAGCTAAAACCACACCGCTGTCTGGCAAGCTTTCCCACTGCTTGCCCAGCTAGGCCCACCCTACCTGTTACGGCTTTGGCTTGCAAGGTTAACAGTAGATGGATTATTGTGGATGTGGATGAAATGTTAAACTGAGGTCCCCTCTGCCTGTTCAAGTGGACACCCTCAGAACCTGTGATGCTAATTGAAAAGAGAAAGGAATTTCTACCAGAGCCGTGAACATTAATCCTTCCCATAAATTCATCATTGACCTCATGGCTGTGTGTGGGACCTTGTGGGGGCATAATACAGAGCACTTGACAGCAATATTGTCGTAAGAAAAGGGTTTGGAGATATTTGGAGGCGATAAAGCGCTATAAAAAGACGAGTTGCCTATTTTTAAACACACTGGATGTGGAAGCAATGGACGTATGGGAAACCAGTCCTTTGACCAATGGAAATCTCGCAGAAACGCATCATCACCAATCGGAGGTTAAACAATGTATATATTTGAACTTCAGGGCACCACAAATGAGGAGGTTGAGCACTGCTTGTAAATTTCAGTGTTAAGAGTACAGAAAATATCACGCAACCTTTTAGCACGGGATCAGAAAACAGAAAATCCCAAATAAAGGTAGGATATCTGGGCAAAAACTGCAAGCAATTGGAAAAGAAGAGCCATTAAAGGCTTTTAAGAACTTTAAATCTAAATTTAAGAGACGTCTTGACCACCTGATAAGGCGTTATAACAAATAGTTTTATTATTATTACTAATAAATACAATCTTAGTAAAGTTTTAAATCAATGATTGATATACGTATTTAATTGGAATAATTTATCCATATTAGTGATAAATAAAAAAAAACTGTATTTGATATAGCTCCTTATCGCGTCTTCAAGACGTCTCCAAAGCGCTTCACAGAGTACACTGTAAACAACAACAACAACAAGATTCCATTTATAGAGCGCCTTTCACGTCGGGAGGATGTCCCAAGGCACTGTACAGTTGGGTTAGAACCCGAGCAAGGGGGGAAATGGTCAGGGTGAGGAGAGGGAAGGGAGGGAGCGAGGAGGGGGTAGAGAGTCGAGAGGGGAGCTGAAGGCACGGTCAAAGAGAAAGGTCTTGAGTGTAGTGACTGTGTATTTTGTGGGCGAAACGTGGCAGCCAATTGCACACAGCAGCGTCCCACAAACAGTTGTGGATTGAGTAACCAAATTATTATTATTACTAATTTTTTAAATAATAATTATTTGATAATAAATTATGATTGTATTTAAATTTTCTTTCCCCCCCCCCCACGCTCTGTATGGATGAAATGCATAAATTGCAATTGGAATGGGTGGGGGGGTGGGAGGGGGGGGAACGGGAGCTTTATGTTGAGAAGCAATATGAAGTGGAGTCTTGCTAAAGAGCAAATGGGACATGCGCTTTGAGAAGTGCTTGGAAACGTGCAATAAGTTGTGTTCTGGTCTTCCTCAATAAAGCCAAGAATCCACTCTTGTTATTTCCGAAGGAAACCACTGTTTCCGTGGATTAGGGGGTCGTTAGCATTTTTTTCTGGAACTTGAGTGGGACATTATTCAACTAACTCTCTGCTTATATTGATCACCTACAGACACACAGAGACAACCCCAGTGAAACATTAACATCAGCCCGGCTCTGCTCTGCTCGCGCGCTCTCTCTCTCTCTCTCTCCTCATGTATGTACTTACTACTCTTCCCTTCATGTCGGGAATTGTCTGCTTTTGAGAAGAGATCAACTGTGGCAAAGACAGAATTGAAGACAAACTGAACAAGTTCTTTGAAGCTTTTTTTGGTTGGGTGCGTGCGTGTGTGGCCAAAACTGGATATTGGAATTCTCTCTGTCTCTGTGGGAGAATTTCCAAAGCAACTATTTTTCACATTGCTCAATGGGAAATAGATTAACACATGGACAATCAAGAAATGTGACTGCAAAAGATTATGAAGATTCGGATATGGGGATACCCGGTAAGTGAGGTCGATCAATTCGTTAATAATTTTCTTACTTGTAAATCTTTCTCTGTGTAGCTGAAGCCAGTGGACTTTAAATGTCCTCAATATTTGTAACAGATTGTGGTAAAAGGGATAATATTATAATAATAATAATCCTTGCATTTGATATAGCGCCTTATCATATCTTCAAGACTTCTCAAAGCCGAATATACTGTAAAGTGAGTCGTATAAAGTGTATATTCTGTGAATTTTGGGACGTTTTGAAGACGTGATAAGGTGCTACATCAAATGCAAGGATTATTATTACACTGTAAAGTGAACTGACTGTATATAGCAATTGATTCCCGTATTTCACCCACAAATTAAACAGTCAATTCAGTGGAAACTGTGAAGCACTTTGAGATATCTTAACAACATGATAAGACACTATATCAAATGCCACGATTATATTATATATTGACTGAGCAAAAATATACCAGAGATGAGGGAATTCAATTATGTGGAGAGACTAGAGAGGCTGGGATTGTTCTCCTATGTGCAGAGAAAGTTTAGGGGAGATACAATTATGTGGGGTTTTGAGAAGAGTAGATAAGGAGAACCTGGTGGGTGGGTCGGTCATCAGAGGACATGGATTTAAGATAATTGACAAAAGAACCAGAGGGGAGATGATGAGACTTTTTTTATGCAGAGAGTTGTTACGATCTGGAACGCACTGCCTGAAAGGGTGGTTGAAGCAGATTCGTTAGCAGCTTTCAAAAACGGGCAGGGCTATGGGGTAAGAGCGGGGGAGTGGGGCTAGTTGGGGTAAGAGAGGGGGAGTGGGGCTAGTTGGGGTAAGAGGGGGAGTGAGGCTAGTTGGGGTAAGAGAGGGGGAGTGAGGCTAGTTGGGGTAAGAGAGGGGGAGTGAGGCTAGTTGGGGTAAGAGCGGGGGAGTGGGGCTAGTTGGGGTAAGAGAGGGGGAGTGGGGCTAGTTGGGGTAAGAGAGGGGGAGTGGGGCTAGTTGGGGTAAGAGAAGGGGAGTGGGGCTAGTTGGGGTAAGAGAGGGGGAGTGGGGCTAGTTGGGGTAAGAGAGGGGGAGTGGGGCTAGTTGGGGTAAGAGAGGGGGAGTGGGGCTTTTGCACCAAGGAATTATAAAGGAGTAATGTAACCAGAAGAAAAAAACAAGAGAAAAACAAGACATTCCTTTTGGTGCAATGATTACATTTTGACACAATTTCACATTTGACTTGTTGAGTTGCCAAACTCTTATTCGTGATAAAAGAGATTATCTTTGGGATTCCTTCTGTTATCAGTTATATACAACAACTGTGCACAGCGCCCCTCACGCAGGGCAGCGTCCCAGAGCGCTCGACAGTGGTGGAGCACGACGCCGAACTGGGGGGAGGGGGAGGTGACCGTAGGCCACGGTCGAAGAGGAAGGTGCGACCTGAAGATGGGGAAGGAGGGGGAAAGGCGGAGGGATAGAGGGAGAGAGCGACAGAATTTCGGAGCGTAGTGGCTGAAAGCATGGCTGTTGATGGTAGAACGGAGGGCGCGAGGGACAAGCAGGAGGTCGGAGTCCGCCGAGCGGAGGCAGCGGGTAGTGGGTTGGGAATGAGCAGGTCGGGGAGCGAGGGAGCTGCCAGGGCGTGAAGGGGTTTGAAAGCAAGGGTGAGGATCTTGATTCATCCCCAATTCATCCTTCTTAAATCCACTGTCCTAGCCTTCATCACTCTTCCAGTTAATCCGTTCTACCTCTATTTAACCAAATATTTCCTGGGGGATGTTCTAAACTTGTTCTTCATTACTCTGAACCCGTGTCCTCTTGTCCGACTACCTTATTGTAATAATAATATACGCACACAGCTGCTTTTGCAGCTGTAGTGTGTGAAGTGCAATGAGACGTTCTTTTGATATGAAAATGGTTTATCAAAGTTTGGCCACGGGTATCCAATAATACTACTCCTTGCTTTTGATATAGCGCCTTAACACATCGTTGAGACATCTCAAAGCGCTTCACGGGATATACTGTAAAGCGTAGTGACTGTATATTTTATGGGGGAAACGGCATCGGCAGCCAATTGTGCACAGCAGTGTCCCACAAATAGTTGTGGACTGAGTGACCAAATTATGTAGTATATTCTATTAAGCGCTTTGAGACGTGATAAAGTGCTATATCGAGTACACTCAATGAGATCCCAAGACTGAAAAGATCTAGTTTATGTGGTTATGCTGCACAGTTCATTCCTTTATATCAGGGTTATTGCTCTCCATTGTATAGCCTCGAGGGTTTAGGGAGCCCTTTGATGTCTCACTGACCTATATGAATTTATTCTATTGCGATCTGGCCACAATGCTATTAAACTGCATATCAGCTCTTTGCAGAATGACTTTTTGGATACAATGCATGTGATTTGGCAACAGAACAAATGCAGCCGTTGCTTCTATTTGAATTTCTGACGAGCCACATTATTTGAAGTGAATAGGTTATGATATACATTACTTACCTTCTTTGCCTCTCTATTTCCCAAGGACTCAACAAAAATTTGTGGAGTCCTGTAGCGTAGTGGTTAGAGCTCTCGCCTGGGTTCAATGACCGGGCAGGATGAAACCTTAGGCAAGTTTCCTTGCTTCACACACGTGCCTCTGTTTACCGGCAGTAAGTAGGAATCTGTTTTTTTAAGTCGATCAGTGGATCGCTTTCCGGGGTAATAATCCCTCAAAAAAATTTGGTCACTCAATCCACGACTGTGTGTGGGACACCACTATGCACAATTGCCTGCCACGTTTCGCCCACAAAGTACATTCACGACACTTTGCAGCATATTCTGTGAAGTGCTTTGAGGTGTCTCAACGACGCGATGAGGCTTTATATCAAATGCAAGGATCATTATTATTACTGGTCTCTAAAGTTTTTAGAATTGTTAATGATGAAATGATTTGCCTCTCACTGGAGAGGAGAAACTGAAACGCAGAATGTCAAAGCCAAAGTGATTTCACCATACGAATTTACTGTGTGTCAAGATGACCCTCATATATTGAGTCACTATTGAAAGCTAATTGCTAATCGTCTGATGAAAGCCGACGCTGTACAGGCAATAGCAACACTCCTTTCATATAAAATAAAATAAATGTCTCAAAAGCAATTTGGGCGAAACTTAGGCAAGTTTGCTTACTCCACACACACACACCTCTGTTTACCTAGTAGTAAGTAGGAACCCGGTTGTTAGTCGATCGGTGGATCGCTTTCTGGGGGTAAAAGAAAAAAAACTCACTCGACGGCTGTGGGACATCGTTGTGGGCAATTGGTTTCACCCACAAATCAGTCACTACACTTGACAATATATTCTGTGAAGTGCTTTGAGACGTCTCAACGATGTGATAAGGCGCTGTATCAAATGCAAGGATTATGATTATTATAAATTATAAATGCAACAAATTTTGTTATTCAATCTGTGCCAGCCAGCGACCGTCAGCACTCAACAACGAGAGGAGATGCTATTTATTTTGAATTTGGGTGAAATTGAATGAAGAGAGAGATACAGGCCAGGATAAAAGAGAGGGGAAACTCCCAACTTTTATTCAAATAGCGCTGGGGTATTCACCAGCTCAAGGGCGATCCCTGATTGTTCAGTGCCTTGGGACATCCTCCTGACGTGAAAGGTGCTGTAACAAATGTAATTTGTTGTTGCTGTTGGGGGAAGGGAATTTCCACACCAACCACGAACTGACCCCAAGGTGACAAGCCTCGGCAATGGAATGTGGGCATCGAGCCAGTCCTCTGTGCCGGTCTCTAGTCCCGGTTCCTGAGCCAGGAGGGGCCGCAGTGTCCCAGGGAACTCACTGCTGATGGCAGCCCTGCCCATCGGCAGGACCTGGAAGGGCCGAACAGTCACTGTGGGCAGGGAATCCTCCCACTTAGCTCGTTAACCCTGCAGCCAAAGCCCTAATGGGAAGGGTGGTCTCAGATGGACAAGCAGCGGAAGGAGAGAATATAATGAAACGTATCCTTGCCCGCAACTATCCACCATAATCAGGGAGCTGGATAATCCACTCAGCTCCTGCTTGCCCGAGGGAATCTCTGGCTGATTTTTTCCCATCCCTATTGCAGGCTCGCATCTCTGAGAACGTCGTGACAAGCCCCCTCAATACTGAAGATGGCTTAAACCCATAATTCTGGCTCTGGATCCTATTTCCTCTGATGGATAACGGAATCTAGAACAATGGAGCATCATCTTAACATTAGAGCGAGGCTGTTTAGGAGTGAAATCAAGAGGGAGTTTTTCATCAAAAGGGGAGTGGAAATCTGGAACTCTCTCTCTCTCCCCCAAAAGGCTGTGGATTAAGGCTGGATGCCTTCACATTGCCCAGACAATGTGAGGCGGATAGATGTTTGTTAGGTCAGGGTATCAAGGTATATGGGGCAAAGGCGGGTAATTGGAGTTGAGGTAGAGATCAGCCATGATCTTACAGAATGGCGGAATAGGCTCAAGGAGCTGAATGGCCTCCTCCTGTTCCTATGTTCCTATTGTAGTCCCCGTTTGTTGCTTAATTCAACAGTGATTCAGCACAGACTGAGCTTGGAATGCTTGTAATTTATAATGTGGAGTCCCGGAATGTATTGGTTAGAGCGCTCGCCTCGCAAGTGAGAGGACCTGGGTTTGATTTTCGGGTGGGGCAAACTCTTAGGCAAGTTTACTTACTCCACACGCCTCTGTTTACCAAGCAGTAAGTAGGAACCCAGTTGTGAGTCGATTGGGAGATTACTTTCCAGGGGTAATAACTGCTTAAAAAAAAAATAATTTGGTCACTCAATTCACGACTGTGTGTGGGACACTGCTGAGTGCAATTGGCTGCCGTGTTTTGCCCACAAAATATGCAGTCAATTTACTTCACAGTAAAACAACAACAACGTGCATTTGCACAGTGACCTTCATGCACGGCAGCACCTCGGAGCGCTTAACATTGGCGGAGCCTGATTCCGAGCCAGGGGGAGGGAGGAGATGACTGTAAGCACGGTGTCGTGATCAGTCGTGATCTAAAAGAGGGGTAGGAGGGGGCCAGACAGAGGGATTGGGGATTACAGTATACAGTATATCCTGTGAAGCGTTTGAGACGTCTCAACGACGTGACAAGGCGCTATATCCATTGCAACGATTATTATTATTATACTCCACATTAACTGAATGTTTCCTTTCTTCCTCATTCAGGCCTTTTTGCATTAATAGTGATGTTACTGGGTTACATAAAACCAACAAAGCTGTCTCCACCTCATTCTATCTGTGACAGCAGGATATTGGACAAGTACATCAAAGAGGCGAAGGAGGCAGAAAATGCAATGGTATGCCATTGTGTGGGTGTGTGCGTCTGTTACAGCATAAGGAGTCCTGTAGCGTAGTGATTTGGGGACATGCTGTCAAGTCAAGTGTAGCGACTATTATTGTAGGCAAATGCGTTCAACAAATGAAGTGCCGCTGCCGCCTTTTGCCCACAAATATACAGTCAATTCACTTTACAGTATATTCTGTGAAGCGCTTTGAGACGTCTAAAAGACATGAAAAGCGCTATATCAAATGCAAGGATTATTATTATTATTATATTCTGGAAAGTGCTTTGAGACGCCTCAACGACGTGATAAGGCCCGTATCAAAAAAACCTGCAAGGATTATAAGTTGTGTGAAGACAGCTATGAAGCGAGTGAGTGATTTATCTGTAGTGTTGGCGTGTTTGTTTGTCAGCAGGCAAGTGGAAAGAATCCTGTCCCCAGTGAGAAAAGCAACCGTTTACTACCACTCTCTGCTTTCTGTCTCCTAGTTCTGGATCCATGTTGCCACAGTCCCTTTATTACCGTGGGCTTCTATTTTGTTTATAAGTCTCTTATGTGGCAATTCGATAACAACTTTTAAGAGAGTAATTATTTAGGGAGGACAAGTTTGCAGCGTTATGGGGAGAGCGCAGGGGAGTGGGATTAATCAGGGCTATGGGGAGAGCATGGAGGAGTAGGGTTGATCAGGGCTATGGGGAGAGAGCGGGGGAGTGGGGTTGATCAGGACTATGGGGAGAGAGTGGGGGAGTGGGTTTGATCGGGGCTATGGGGAGAGAGTGGGGGAGTGGGGTTGATCAGGGCTATGGGGAGAGAATGGGGGAGTGGGGTTGATCAGGGCTATGGGGAGCGCGGGGGGAGTGGGGTTGATCAGGGCTGTGGGGGGACAGCGGGGGAGTGGGGTTGATCAGGGCTATGGGGAGATAGTGGGGTTGATCAGAGCTATGGGGGGACAGCGGGGGAGTGGGGTTGATCAGGGCTATGGGGGGACAGCGGGGGAGTGGGGTTGATCAGGGCTATGGGGGGACAGCGGGGGAATGGGGTTGATCAGGGCTATGGGGAGAGAGTGGGGTTGATCAGGGCTATAGGGAGAGAGTGGGGGAGTGGGGTTGATCAGGGCTATGGGGAGCGCGGGGGGAGTGGTGTTGATCAGGGCTATGGGGGGACAGCGGGGGAGTGGGGTTGATCAGGGCTATGGGGAGAGCGTGGGGTTGATCAGGGCTATGAGGAGAGTGTGGGGGAGTGGGATTCATTTGGAATCTCTTTTCATAGGCATGATGGGCCGAATGGCCTCCTTCTGTGCTGTATAATTCTATGAAATTGTTCAAGTCTGTTCCAGTCTGATTACAATGTGTTTTCATGCAGAAACAATGCAACGACACGTTCAGTCTCCCAGGAAATGTCACGCTTCCAAAAACCAACGTTAACTACAGAGAATGGGCAGAAAAGGACGTAAGTTTTCCTTATTCCATTTCATGTTCAGTAAAGACTGAGTCTGGTAGTCAGGATTCCATCAGAAAAGAGAAGGGAGTTTCTCTCCCAATGTCCTGGCCAATGATTCCCCAGATAAAATGATGTACGAGAATATGGTTGTGTGCATAAGTTGGCTGCCACATTTGCCCACAAATATACATAATGAGTCCTGTAGCGTAGTGGTTAGAGCACTCGCCTCGCAAGCGAGAGACCTGGGTTTGATTGCTGGGATGGGGTGGGGTGGGCAAACATAGGAACTGGTTGTTAATCGATTGGTGGATTGCTTTTCCGGGGGTAATAATAATAATCCGTTCAAAAAAAAAAAAAAATTCTGTCACTCAATCCACGACTGTTTATGAGACACTGCTGTGCGCAATTGGCTGCCGCGTTCGCCCACAAATATACAGTCAATTCACTTTACAGTGTGTTCTGTGAAGCGCTTTGGGACGTCCTCCCGACGTGAAAAGCGCTATATCAAATGCAAGGATTATTATTATTATTATTATATTCAGTGACGCGCTTGGAAACAACTCAACGATGTGATAAGGCGCGATATCAAAATACAAAGATTATTATTATTAATATTATTATTGTAAAATAACTTTAAAGTCCAAGAGAGGATGTTGGCAGCGTTAACAAGCCTGGCAAACAAGTTCCATCTCTCCCTCAACATATCGACAATCATGCTTATAGTTCCTGGTGTGAGCTGGCAAGTAACAGAATGCTCTAAAACACTCTCCTGCTCTCTTAAACAAATGGAAGCCATTTCACTCACATTGTACCTCATAAGAGCATGTTTGCAGTTCAGTGTAGAGATATCTCCTCTCTCCCCTCTCCACCCCATTCAGAGATATGCACTGAATTGCAGCCAGAATCACTCTTAAATTTCGACATCCTTCCCACTTCAATGACTGAACTCAACGACTGTCAATACTCTCAGCATGGCTCAACAAAGCATGTTTGCCTACAATGTGGTCAGCATTTGTGATTGATAAACGTGGCCTGAGTAAAGGGGGAAAGATTCTGGTGGTTTTTGCTGGTTTTGGTGACTGCTATGGTCCGCTTGTAAGTGTGAATGTAAAGTTGCAAGCGAGAGGACCCAGGTTCGATTCCCGGGCAGCGCGAAATCTTAGGCAAGTTTCCTTATTCCACACACGTGCCTCTGTTTACCTAGCAGTAAGCTTGTTAGTCACTTGGCGGATCGCATTTCCAGGTCACTCAATCCATGATTGATGTGCGCAATTGGCTGCCGCGTTACACCCACAAAATACACAGACACTACACTTTACAGAGTATCCTGTGAAGCGCTTTGATGTTGTGATGTGATAAGGCTCTATATCCAACGTAAGAATGATTATTATTATCTCTGCAGATGGGAAGGAAGGCAGAAGAGATTCAGACTGGCCTCAAACTACTAACAAACGCAATCGAGATGGCCCAGAATGTGACTACAAACAGCAACAGATTACATGTGATAGAGAAGAGCTACAGTAATATTCGCAGTGTAACACAGATGGTGAAAAGTTTAACTATGCCGGTAAGTGATGTAAAAATTTAACTGACTTCAACTGACTTTGGTCTAATGGTTTGAGGTAGTTAGTTTAAAGGAGGTGTTGGGAGTCCTGGTTAGAGAACCTGCCTTGCAAGCGAGGTTCAATTCCTGGGAGGGTTCAGGGTGAAATGTTGGGCAAGCTTCCTTACTACTCACACAGTTTACCCAGCAGTAAGTAGGAACCTGCTTGTTAGTCGGTTCGCGTATCGCTTTCCGGGGTGATAATCCCTTCAAAAATAACTTTTAAAAAAAGGAGCCGGGCGAGGGTGGAGATGATGGGGTCATGGAGCTTGGTGCGGGAGAGGACACAAGCTGCAGAGTTCTGAATGATCTGCAGCTTGTGGAGGGAGGAGTTGGGAAGGTAACGAACAAGAATCTTTATTATCCGTCCAGTTTTTGAAATAATTCAACACTTTTATACTCAAAGAGCCAGTGATACAAGACTATCTTTAAATCCCAGACAGAGTTATCTGGCAAAGTTCCAGCAATCAACGGCAATTACATTTGAACTTATTAAAACTTCATTGGACCTTCAGACCCAACGGCCACATTTTGTTCCTTTCCAAGAAATGCTTTGTCGATTGTGTCCTGTGTAGGTTTAATTCAACCTTCAATTATTGACTTACGGAAAAAGAAGCAGGAGGGGGACACAAGCTCCTGCTTTTTGTCACGTAATCCATCCTGTCATTGCTGACAACACACAGGCCACAGGATATTGACCTTAGGATGTAATCAGCTTTTCAACAATTTATTAGACAAGGAATTTGTAACAATAATAATCCTTGCCTTATCATATACTATACTCACTGTATGATGTTTTCGGATCCACCTTTGTGGTAATAAATCGAGCCATCACGAACAGTGTGAGCACAACCATGAAAGAAGTACGGCAGTAAGATATTCTTCACCTTACTCCCATTCTTCAGTGCTTCTAAATTCTCATATTCAGATACTGTCAGACCTGCGGTGGGATTTAGCATTGCAGAAACATTTAGGAAAATGAGATTGCTACAATTACAACAATAGCTTGCATTTATATAGCACACCTCACGCAGGCTAGATGACTCGTGGAGTGCTGTAGCTCAGTGGTTAGAGCTGGGTTCGATTCCCAGCAGGGGGTGAAACCTTGTACAAGTTTCCTTACTCCATACCGTGCCTGATAATAATCCCTCAAAAAAAATAATAAATTGGACATTTCAATCCACGACTGTTTGTGGGACACTGCTGTGCGCAATTGGCTGCTGCATTTTGCCCACAAATATACAGTCAATTCACTTTAGTCTATTCTGTGAAGCGCTTTGAGACGTCTAGAAGATGTATCCTCAAATGCAATTATTATTATTATTATCATGTCTTCTAAATGCCTGAAAGCACTTTACAGGATACACTGTAAAGTGTAGTGACTGTGTATTTGTGGGCGAAAAGCGGTAGCCAATTGGGCATAGCAGTGCCCCACAGTCATAGTTTGAGTGACCACATTTTAAATTTATTTTGGGGGCAGGAATTATTACCCCCGGAAAGCGATCCGCAAATTGACTAACAAGCAGGTTCCTACTTACTGCTAGGTAAACAGAGGCGTGTGTGTGGACTTGCCTAAGGTTTCACACTACTCTGTCCAGGAATCGAACCTGGGTCCTCTTGCTTGCAAGGTGAGCGCTCAAACCACTGAGCTACTGGGCTCCACAATGAACTACAATCCAGCAGTTCAAAGCTTGGTGGATTGCTTTTCTGGGGGTAATCATCCCTTCAAAATAATAACAATAATAATTTGTTCACTCAAACGTACTCTGGTGGCATGTTATGTGTGTAGAGAGGTTGTGTCCCAAAATCTGGTTGATGGCCAAAGTGTCTTTTGTATTTTCATGGAAAATAGCCAAGAGCCTCAGCAGTAAACAAGAGATAACAGACTGCAAAATGCCAGAATTTGGGTCCAATATTCTCTTGTTTACTCTTGGAATACTAGCTATGTTTAGCTTTCAATTAAACAGTGAGTACACCACTTATAAAACCTTATCATTAATAATCTGCACTAAACCAAGCGGGTGCCTACTCACTGCTAGGTAAACAAACACGTCGTGTGGAGTAAGGAAATTTGCCTAAGGTTTTGTCCTGACCAGGGAATCGGTCCTCTCGCTTGCTCTAACCACAGTACTCACGACAGGACTCCACTATACTTCAAAGTATCTCACTGTGCTGTGTTTTAAAATGTTGTGACTGAATGAGGGGCTTGTAACGAATGTGAGTATTATTCCTTTCTATAATAAATACAAATCAAATTTACAGGTGGTGTACTATAGCTTAGTAGTTAGAGCACTCACCTCAAAAGTGAGAGGACCTGGGTTAAATTGGCAGGTCAGGGCAAAACCTTAGGCAAGTTTGCTTACTCCACACCTCTATTTACCTAGTAGTAAAGGAACCCACATGTTAGTCGATTGGTGGATCGCTTTACGGGGGTAATAATCCCTTCAAAAAATTTGTACACTCAATCCACGATTGTTTGTGGGACACTGTTGTGCAATTGGCTGCGTTTCGTCCACAAAGTATACAGTCAATTCACTTTACAGTGTGTCCTGTGAGACATCTCAAAGTCGTGATAAGGCCCTGTATCAAATGCAAGGATTATTATATGATCTTTATCGTTAAAGATGGTCCGGCAAACAAATCATTATTATATTATTACTTCACTGAGCCAGTAGTAAACATGGAACAGGGCTCCCAAGGGAGACAAACGGTGGAAGCAGAAAATTTGTTTGTTTCAAGAACAAATAATATCTGGGAAGACAGTATATAGTTTGGGGATATGAAATGTCCATCGACTGCCAGAATGGTGGAAGGTGAACTAGATGTACCTTAGCCTTCTTTCACCAGCAAGTTCTTATGTTCTTATGACGAATGACTGGACTGATGAATCAAACCCTTTGTCGTGCTTACAGTCTCCGCTGTTTTGTTCCTGCGCAGGACTTGGCTCATCAGGAAGTTCAGCTACTGGAAACCTTCCACACAAGAACGCTGAGAGCCATTTTCCACGTGTATTCGAACTTCCTACAAGGGAAAGTCAGACTGTTATTCTTTGACGCAAAGCCCTGCAGATTGGCCAGAAGCTGACGCTTTGCGGATGGCGGGGACCCTGTACAGGTTTTGCACACGGATTATACAATGTAACCTTTCGCGCACCCAACTCAACGCCGAAAAAAAAAAGAGGGAAAGCAATGACAGGACGAAGACTTTTGTGCTGGAATGTGTAACTCGGAGGGATAATCACTCACTTGTGTTCCCAAGACAAAAATGCTGTGTGCAATTGGCTGCCGCACTTCGCCCACAAAATACACAGTCACTATGCTTTGCGGTAAATCCTGTGAAGACCTTTGAGACGTCATGTAAACGTGATATGTCAAATGCAGGGATTATTATTTTTATTAATAAGATAATCTCCGTGCCAGGATATTTTGACTGCTCATCCAAGAGAAGGTCTCCTGAACTTAGCAGCTAGCTTTCCGGGATGCTTGATCTTCAATTCACCCTCTTGACGCCTTTGTGAGAAGACAAGATGGGAGGAAGCTTATAAGAGGGATCCTCGCTCTTCTGACTGGTCATTTGATACCAAACTCTGTACATTTGCTTCAGAAACCACCTTCCGGCACTTGAAAAGACTCCACTTTGTTTGGTGAGAATGTTGGCCGCAAGCATTTCGAATGTCTTTTGTATGTTTCAACCAGAAACTATCTGCTGCAACCTCAAGACTTTTTTTTGGCCGTTGCTGAACTCATTGAGTATTCTGGCTCGCGCGTGTGTGTGTGTGTGTGTGTGGGCAACGTGTTAGTTATTGTTAGAAACGATGAGAATTAACTCCCGGTGGATGTTATTGTCTGAGGAGGAAGGAAGATTAAAAATTTATGTGGATTCACGATAGGTCAACTCAGTTTGGCGTTAAAAGATTGTATATTTAAACATATTTATATGCTGCGTAGGAGCAAAGCGAACAGCCAAGCCTCATTCTACCCCTTCGTGCCTGTGCCAGCTCTTTGGAAGAGCTACCAACTAGTCCCACTCCCCCGCTCTTACCCCAACTAGTCCCAATCCCCCCCTCTTACCCCAACTAGTCCCAATCCCCCCCTCTTACCCCAACTAGTCCCCCTCCCCCACTTTTACCCCACTAGTCCCACTCCCCCACTCTTACCCCATCTAGTCCCAATCCTCTGCTCTTACCCCAACTAGTCTCACTCCCCCACTTACCCCATCTACTCACACTCCCCCACTCTTACCCCATCTAGTCCCGCTCCCCTGCTCTTACTCCTTCTAGTCCCACTCTCCCACTCTTACCCCAACCCCACTCCACCGCTCTTACCCCAATTAGTCCCACTCCACTGCTCTTACCCCATAGCCCTACACATTTTTCCTTTTCATGTACCTACCTAATTCCCTTTTGAAAGCTATTATCAAATCTGCTTCCACCAGTGCATTCCAGACCAACAACTCACTGAGTTAAACACAAATTCCCCTCGTCTCTCCCTTCCTATTCTCCCTTCATAATTCTTTTGACAATTAATTCTTAAATCTGCATTCTCTGGTTACTGACCCAAGCGCCAGTTTCTCCCTATCTACTCTATCAAAACCACTGTTAAACCTCCCCTCAACCTTCTCTGCGCTAACAATCCCAGCCTTTAGTCTCTCCACATAATTGGAGTCCATCATGCCTGGTATCATTCTTAGTCATTCAGTTAAAAGAATAACAGCGCATTTACACTAACTACTTGCAACACTGTGGTGCAGTGCTGTGCATTAGCTGTCAAATGTGCTGTCATTTTCTGGGGAATACCACTGAGCAAGAAATAGTTAGTGTCTGGGGCTGCTATCCTCACGGGGTATAATAAACTGTTTCAATACCTTGCCAGAAATATTCCTTTTTTCCCCATTGTTAATAAATAATATTAGTCCTTTCATTTGATACAGCGCCTTATCACATTGTCGAGACGTCTCAAAGCGCTTTGCAGAAAACAAGAGTCCTGTAGATCAGTGGGACAGCACTCGCCTCGCAAGTGAGAGAACCTGGGTTCGATTCATGAGCAGGGCGAAACCTTAGGCAAGTTTCCTTACAACTTTTGCCCGGCCTGGGAATTACCGACCTGTCCGCTCCCTACGCTCAGCAGACACTGCCCTCCCCGACCCACCTCGGGGGCATTGGCAGTCGGGCTTTCAGCCTCTCTGCCCCAACCCTTTGGAACTTCATCCCACAGTCCCTCCAGCTTGCCCCCTTCAAGGCCCGTCTCAAGACCCTCATCTTCAACCGCGCCTTTGGCCACCCTCCACCACCTACCCTCCCTGCCCTCCACCCCTCCTGATCCCAACCCCGAGCTCGGGTCAAAAATGCCTGACTGTCCAGCGTGTTGGGACATCCTGTTGACATGAAAGGCGCTGTGTAAATGTAATTAGTTGTTGTTGTTGTAAGTAGTTAATACAGGGAGTGGAATCCCCCTAACACATTGCAATACAAGGTCATGAAAGTTGCAAATGACCAATTGCATTCCACTGCTTTGACAAATTGTGGAACAGCCCCAGTACAATCAGGTTAAGCACGCAGACACGTTCCACAAATATTGACAAGGAGCAAAAAGTGCAAAGGCTATCGTATTGGGTGTGTTGCTACCACTGGCTGAAAATTCTGAGTTTGCCATTTTGCCCTAAAGGTTTTTCTATGGAGACCTGTAACGTAGTGGTTAGAGCACTCACCTTACAAGTGAGAGGACTTGGATTCAATTCCCGAGCAGGATAAAAACTTAGGCAAGTTTCCTTACTCTAAACGACTGTATGCCTAGCATTAAGTGGCAACCCGGTTGTTAGTCGTTCGGCAGATTGCTTTCCGGTGATAATAATAATCACTTAAAAAAAAGTGGTTGCTCAATCTGTGACTGTTTGTGGGACTCTGCTGTGTGCAATTGGCTGCCGAATTTCACCCACAAAATATACAGTCAATTCACTTTACAGTATATTCTGTGAAGTGCTTTGAAACATCTCAAAGATGTGATAAGGCGCTATATCAAATGCATGGATTATTATTAAGGTCCTGAAGTCATACTCAGAAACGTCAGTGCCTTTGCACATCCTCCCAACGTGAAAGGTGCTATACAAATGTAATTCGGTATTGTATTGTAAATTAGTTGTGTTCAGCCATTGGGAGTGCTGGAAATGGCCTCAATGGGGTAAAAACAAAGTGCAGTTTCATACATTGTTACGTTAATCTCACCATTAGAGGCTAAAATTGGCTTCAGTTATCCATGTCATGGGAGAGACAATCAGTCAAGTCATCCACTCCTCATTGCTGAACAGTGGCAAGCAAAGCAATGGCAAACTCCGTGGTTTTAGCAGCAGACACCCCAACGCACACTCTGGGCTCCCCCCCAAGCCTTGGCTCTTGCCAACCAGTACCTAACACTTTCCGGAATTAACAGGATGTATCTCTCCAGGGAGAGAGAGAGAGAGAGAGAGAGAGAGTGCATTCCATTCCAACAAACTATCTCTGGGATTTCCATGTGTAGATGGGATGCATGGAATTCTCAGCTTGGTTTGGAGACTCTTTGTTGGTTTCGGCAAGCGTCAGACACCCGGCTGGCCAAGAAGAACATTGCTATAAACAGTGACCTCTGCTGGAAGAGTTATGTGCAGATTATTGTGTGTTCAATTATCTTGTTCTCTGGTTACCAACCCATCCGCCAGAGGAAACAGTTTCTCCCTACCTACTCTAGCGTGTTCCCTCAGGTAAATAGCCAGAGATCTTTTCAACCTGCTTTATTTTATACTCACTAATTGAGGGACATAGTTGCTGGAATCCGGCCTGCTTCACATCGCCCTGCTCGGCCCACTCCACCATTGGCGGTCGGGCCTTCAGCCCGTCGCAAAACCTTTTTTCCTCTTTGACCATGCCTTCAGCCATCCTCCTACCCCCATCCTCCCTACCCTCCACCCCTGCCTAATCCCAACCCCCAGCTCGGGTCAAAATCCTTGACCGTTCTCCCGACGTGAAAGGTGCAGCGTGAATGCATTCTGCTGTCGTTTCACATCCAGATTGGGATCTGCCTCTCCCAGGTCACGTACTTCCCAAGTTGGAGGCAGAGTAGAGGTCCCTCTGTCTGCACTACGCCCACACTCCCAGGTGACAGTGTCCACAAAGTCCTATTAGCCCCGTTACAAAACAGCGATATGAGACTACGGAGGAGCTGAAACAAGTTATCAGAGATGCATTTTGCCTCCTCATTCACTCCCTCATGTTCTCTGGTTACCTTTCTTCATGAAAGAGAGGCGGCAATAGGACATTGTGGACACCCTGTATATTTTATTGCAGGGCAAACATCCTTTGCCTCAAGCCCAAATGCTGAAGAGGAGGGTCACCTAATCAAGGTGCTATTTTCATTTTCTGCCATTCATTGGTCATTTATCACCATTCCTTCATTGCCGATGGGTCAAAATCTTTTGAGCTTCCTCACTCAATGATCATCTGTCCGTTCCCTCCGCTCAGTGCCTGCTGCACCTCCCCCGCTCGGCCCACCCCACCATCGGCGGTCAAGCCTTCAGCTTCTTTGCCCCCACCCTCTAGCCTCTCTGTCTGGCTCCCTCCCTTGCCTCTTTCAATACTCATCTCAAGACCCACCTCTTTGACCGCATCCTTGGCCACACTCCTAGCCCCACCCTCCCTGCCCTCCACCCTTCCTGATCCCAACCCCCAGCTCGGGTCTAAATCTCGATGTACACCTCAATCCTACTCGAAAGCTCAGATTGCCAGAATGCTCCATCTCTAAAATGCTTTGTTCAAAGACTTCACCTTTTATTCTTACCCTTTTTGCCTTTTTTAGAAGAGATCACCAAATAACTTCGAGCAAAATAGCTGTACAGACTCCTTGTGTTCGTATTTGTTTAAAGACAATGTAACATTTACTGCTATTATGCAACGTTTTTTGTTGTCTGTATATACTAAACAGAGAATTTTTATAATATATGTATCTTCAGATATAATGTAGGTCAACCTTATTACTGTTCTTTGATGCATTAACTATATAAAAAGCACCTTTGGTCATTATCTGAAAGTGCGTGGTGTTTGTGCAATTGTTTCATGTCACCCAATAATCCTTGCATTTATTATATCACCTTATCAGTTTGAGACATCTCAAAAGCATTTCACAGAATATATGGTAAAGTGAATTGACTGTATATTTTTGGGGTGAAATGGAGCAGCCAATTGCGCATAGCAGTGTTGTGGATTGTGTTTCCAAATTATTATTTTTATTTATTTATTTTTTGAAGGATTATTACTCCCGGAAAAGAGATCTAACAATTGGGTTCCTACATACTGCTAGGTAAACAGAGGGTGTGTGTGTAAAGAAACTTACAACAACAACTTGGATTTATATAGTGCCCTCCATGCCGGATGACGTCTCACAGTGCTTCACAATAACGGATCCCGGGGCTGAGCCAGGAGGAGGGGGGAGAAGGTGACCAAAGGCGCTGTCAAAAAGAAAGGTCTTTAGACGAGACCTGAAAATAGGAAGAGAGGGGACGAGGCGAAGGGAGTGAGGAAGGGAGTTCCAGAGCTTCGGGGCATAGAGGCTGAAGGCACGGCCGCCGAGGGTGGAGCAGAGGATTCAGGGGACAAGGAGGAGGCCAGACCCGGTGGAGCAAAGGCAACAGGCACTGTTGTGAGGAGAGAGGTCAGAGAGGAAGGGGGCTGCAGAGAGGGACTTGAAGACAAGGGTGAGGATCTTGAAATCGATCCTCTCCTGAGACAGGCAGCCAGTGCAGTCTGGCAAGGACTGGGGTAATCGGGGAGCAGAGTTTGGTGCGGGTAAGAATACGGGCGGCAGAATCCTGGATGACCTGTATTTTATGAATGGTAGTGGAGGGGAGACCGGCGAGGAGGGCTTTTGAATAGTCCAGCCGAGAGATGACAAAGGCATGGACCAGCATTTCGGCGGCTTTTAGGGTGAGATATTGGCGGAGACGGGCGATGCGTCGGAGGTGAAAGAAAGCGTTGCTGGTGAGAAACCGGATGTGGGGGAGGAAGGATAATCGGGGGTCGAACCCGAGGTTGCGTACGGGTTCGGAGAGTTTTACGGGGGAGGTCGGGTAGGTGGAGGTGAGAATCGTGTGGTTTTAGACGTTGACGAGAGCCAAAGAGTATGGCTTCCGTCTTGTCAACCTTTTAGCTGAAGGAAATTCATGTTCATCCAGCTCCTGATGTCTGACAGGTAGGCTGAAACTTACTTGGGTCCCCTCGTTTGCGAGGTGAGTGCTATAACCAACAGACTAAAGGACTCCAAGTATTTGTTAAGAGCACTCAGCTCGCAAGCGAAAAAACCCAACAGTCAGGTAAAAATACGAATGAATCTGCGCCAGACGTTTTGTTCCATTTACCCGACGTTAACACAGCACTGTCCGTCCGGCGAGGAACCGTCTCAAATTCCAGGATTATTATTATTATTATTTAGCAATCAGCTAAAGCGGCTTCCACTATACATTGTAAAGTGTAGTGACTGTGTACGTTACGCGGGCGAAACGCAGCAGCCAACTGCGTCCCACAAACACGTGGTGGATCGAGTGACCGAAAAGAGTCTTGCCCCCACCCCCTCCCGCGACAGGCTGTGTAACAAGCCTCGCGGCTCGCCTGGCCAGCGAGAGGACCCGGGTTCAACTCCCGGGAGGCTCGGGGGCAAAGCCGGTGACGGCGTGGGCGAAACCCAGCAGCCGACCGCGCGCAGCCGCGTACCGAGTGACCCAAGCAATTGCCCCCCCCCACCAAACCCGACATGGTGGGGAAAAGGCGCTCCAGCAAACGCAGTGATTATTATTATTATTATTATTAATGGCCCTCTGCACCCGCCACGTGCTCCCGCATCACGTGGGCTGCTGGGCGCACTTCCGGCACGTATCCCCCCCCCCGCGCACTAACCTCCTGGCCAGCTCCAACCACGACTATTTCCTCTCTAAAAGAGAGCTCAACCTCCCCACGACCCATCTCAACAGTATCTAAGGTCGTTTTTTTCCCCCCCTCATGACACCCACCGTCGTCGCAGCCGCAGCCGCCGCCGGAAAGGAGCCAACGCTCGCGCCCCGCATAAAGATGGCGTCGCCGAGGGTGACGCGCTCCCATTGGTCAGGATCAGTGACGTTCGGGTGAGCGGGTGGGATCCTGACGGTTTGAAACGTCAGAGAGGGGCGGGGCGCCGCCCGAGTTTCGGTTTGAAAGCAGCCGCCTGCACGATTGGCTGGCTGGGCAGGCCGAGTGAGCGACTGTGATTGGTTGTCATGAGGACGCCTGGCTGTGATTGGCAGTACGAGGACGCCTGGCTGCGATTGGTTCTAAGCGGACGCCTGATTGGCTGCAAGAGGAAGCCTGGCGACGACGGCTGGTTGCAAGAGGAAACCGGTTGGTGATTGGTTAGGAGAGAGCTGCCCGACTGTGATTGGTTAACTGGAAGACGGCGCCTGGTGGTGATTGGCCGGCCGGTCGGCCGCCCGCCGTGGAGGAGTCTGGGTGCCACCACGAGCTGAGCTGTTCTTTGGCGGTGGCGTGAATTGACGGTTGGAGATGGTAAGAGAGACGGGGCGCGAGGCGGGGGGAAGGGGGTGGAAAAGAGGCGCGAAAAGCGCACAGACTGACTGGAAAATCGTCCGTTTTCACCTCCGCTCGAGTCTGAGGAGATTGTTTTTCATGTTTTAAGTATAATTTTTATCTAAAATTTTTATCTAACTGTGATAAATAAAGCGGCTGCTGCGAAGCTGTGAGCCCTCAGCCGACCCCACCCCCTCATCCCAACCCCCCCACACAACCCCAACCCCCCCCCCACAACCCCAACCCCCCCCCAACAACCCCAACCCCCCCCCAACAACCCCCAACGTCCCCCAACAACCCCAACGTCCCCCCCACAATCGCAACCCCCCCACAACCCCAACCCCCCCCCACAACCCCAACCCCCCCCACAACCCCAACCCCCCCACAACCCCAACCCCCCCACAACCCCAACCCCCCCCACAACCCCAACCCCCCCACAACCCCAAACCCCCCCCCACAACCCCAAACCCCCCCCACAACCCCAAACCCCCCCCCCACAACCCCAAACCCCCCCCCACAACCCCAAACTCCCCCCCACAACCCCAAACTCCCCCCCAAACAACCCCAACCCCCCCCAAACAACCCCAAACCCCCCCCACAACCCCAACCCCCCCCCCCCACAACCCCAACCCCCCCCCCCACAACCCCAAACTCCCCCCCACAACCCCAAACTCCCCCCCCAAACAACCCCAAACCCCCCCAAACAACCCCAAACCCCCCCCCACAACCCCAAACTCCCCCCCACAACTGCAACACTCCCCCCTCCCACAATCCCAAACTCCCCCCCACAACCCCAAACTCCCCCCCACAACTGCAACACTCCCCCTCCCACAACCGCAACACTCCCCCCACAACCCCAACAACCCCCAACGTCCCACCCACAACCCCATCGTCTGCCCCCACAACCTCATCGCCCGTCCCCACAACCCCAACGCCCCTCCCACAGCCCCAGCGCCCCCCCCAACCCTAACGCCCCCCCCCCCCCCACAATGCTCGTGGGGCTGAATGGCCACCCCCTGTTCCTGTGAGTTTCAGGGCAATATGAAGGTTTCTGCCCATCCTGCTCAGGGCCAGGTAGTAAAATTGCTGTCCGTCTACAGTTGCTTTTTTGTTAATGTAGACTTTATTGATTTCTCAGCAGACAAATAGGCCTTTGCGCCTGAGAGCTTCAGTGTCCACACCACAGCAAGCAATGGAGCCGGAAGCTGTACCAACGAAACAGGTAATTGCTCAAGTGACCAATCCACTTTGTGCAAATGGCTGCTGCGTTTCGCCCACAAAATATACAGTCGATTCACTTTGCAGTGTATTCTGTGAAGCGCTTTGAGACGTCTCAAAGAAGAGATGAGGCGCTATATTAAATGCATGGTTTATTATTAGTATTATCTTAACATGAGACTGAAAGTCCGGTCATCGTGTGGGGTACAAGTGACTGAGAACTTGTGTCCTAGACTCTGTAAACTCTTGCTTTACTGAATCCTATTGTCAAAGTAGTACAACGTAACATCTCTCTTGAGTATGTTTGGGCTCATTCTTTTGAGTTTATTTGTGCTCGGGGGAGCTACACTTTGTGTCCAGCTTGTGAGGGAGAGGACCTCCAGTGTTGCGAAGGTAAGTAGAACTGGAAAAGCCCTCCCCAGCTCCACCATGCACAGGATCCAAAACTCCACTGCCTGCATTCTCACCCGTATTAAACTCCGCACCTTCATCACACTAGTCCTCAACAAGCTCCACTGGTTTCAATCACACACATTAAACTCCGTACCCCATCACCCAAGCCCTCGCCAAGTTCCACTGACTCCCTGTTGCCAAACGGGATCCTCACACTTGTTTTCAAATCCCTCATGCCCTGGTACCTCCCTACCTCTCCGACCTGCTTACCCCCAACTCGCAGCCTCTGCTCGACTGGTTCCGGCCTTCTGCATGTCCCTCATGCCCTTCGTTCCACTATGCCCTGAAACTCTGGAACACTCTTCTTCTATCCCTCCCCCTTGCCCCTTCCTTCCCCATCTTCAAGTCACACCTGAAGACCTTCCTCTTCGACTGTGGCCTATGGTCACCTCCTCCACCCGGTTCGGCGTTGTGCTCTGCCACTGTCAAGCGCTCTGGGACTCTATCCTATGTGAGGGGAGCTGTGTTGTGTTCTGTGAAGTGCTTTGAGACTTCTCAAAGACGTGATAAGGGTATATCAAATCTATTAAAGATATTTCTCAATCCACTCCCATTGACTTTTATTGTCATAATGAAAATGTGAGGCAGCATATATTTGCAGAGCGTGAGGAGAGAGGAGGAGAGCAGCAGCTTTAGCTGAAGAGGATGGACAAGTGTGGAGATTAAGAAGGCAGTTGGGGGAGCTGGATCATTGTAAAGTCATTGAGACGTTGGAGAAGGTTTAGAGAAGATGAATAATTGTGGGAGTTAAAGTATTGTCTAAAGTACTTTATGAGTGAGAAGTGATGTGACCAAGATCTTCAAAATGCTGGGATGTAGACAGAGGCAGGATGTTTAAAAAGCCCTAAGATAAATTAACAATAGATTAAATAAAAAATAATTAGGTAAATGGATACGTGGAACTGTCTTTTCAGAGGAAAAACAGATGTGCTGTGTCAATTAACTCAGTTAAAGCATTAATCTTTCGTAGAAAAACAAGATGCTTTAATAAACCCGCTGTCTACAGGTGCTCGGTGCTGTACTGTGTGTTTGGTCATGTGGCAGAATGCTTTTGGTGATATCCCACCTGCTGAATGGTGGCTGTCTAATAAACAACAATTCTTTTGTGCTTCCAGTCTTTTGAGAAACAGTCGTCAAGTGGAGAGGCTGTGAGTCCAGATACGAGGATTCAAGAGGTACGAATAGTTGTATGCCTACATTTTTGTGAGACATTGAAGGAATTAATAAATGTTTCCGATTAATGAGGATGTAAGAGAAGGGGAGTAAATTGACAAAAACTAAACTATCCACTTTGCTCTTGGCTTGCGTTAGCGCCTGCGAGTTGACCAAATACTTGTGGAAAAACTGCCATGGTCTTTCACTTGAAACTTTCATTGAACTATTGGGGTATTGGTGGATCGCTTTTCCAGGGATAATAATCCCTTAAAACAATGACAATTTAGTCACTCAATCCACGACTGCTGTGTGCAGTTGGCTGCTGTGTTTCATCCACAAAATATACAGTCAATTCACTTTACACTATATTCTGTGAAGCGTTTGAGATATCTTGAAGATGTGATAAGGGCGCTATATCAAAGGCAAGCGTTATTATTTATTCAGCGCATTTTTCTCATCAACAACCCGGGCTGGGCAGCCAAGCTGGGGGCCGGAGTCAAGGGAGGTGGGATGGGGAGGGGAAAAGATGTCTGAAAGTCTGGTCAAAGAGTTGGGTCTTGACGTGCCTAGAAATAGGGGAGGGAGTCGAAGGGACTGTGGGAATGGAACTTCACCTGCTGAATGGTGGCTGTCTCATTAACAACAGTTATTTTGGGCTTTCAGACGTCTGAAAAACAGTCGTTAAGTAGTAAAGAGACTGCGATTCCAGATGCCAAGATTCAAGAGGTACGAATAGTTGCGTGCTGAAAGCCCTGTTAGACGTCTCAATGCAAGGCCCAAGATCAAATGCAAGGATTATTATTATCAAACCAGAATAATTTTGTGAGGCATTGAGAGAAGTTATAAATTTTTTTGATGATTTGAGGATGTAATGTTAATTCCTTCAGAAGACAAGGGGAGTAAATTGACAAATAATCTCTTGTTTTTAATTACTAGACTCCTAGACGGCACTTACGGAGTAGAGTTATTGAAATTCAACCCCCTGAAGGCAACAAGGTAAGAGATTAGTGAATTAATCACTTAGTTGAGACCAGGTATATTCCAGGGCAAACAAAAAGTTTTTTTTCCAAAGTGCGAGGTGTTTGTGTGTGTGTGTATATAATGTAGCTACTTCACTACTTCATCTCCTTCACCACCTCCACCCCCCTCCCCACCTCCACCAGACCCACCACCATCTTCTACCGCCCTTGGAAGAAGTTACCCCCACAATCCCTAACCGATGCCTTGGAGTCCTCTGAACTCCTCTCCCTCTGGCCTTCAACCCTCACCGACCCCTCTTCTCCTCTCTCCCTCCTCCACAATATCCTCTCCTCCACACTCGATACTCTTGCCCCCATCACTTCCCGCACTGTCTCCTACTCCCGCTCCTCCCCCTGGTACACCACCCACCTCCGCTCACTGAAATGCCAGGTGCGGGCTGCTGAGCGCACCTTTGTCAAATCTGGCCTAACGGTCCACCGACAAATCTGGCTGGACCTCCTCAAAATTTACCGCTCCACTCTAGCCTCGGCCAAGTCGTCCTTCTACTCCAGGATAATCCTGGAGGCGAAGAACAACCCCAGGCTACTGTTTTCCACCACATCCCGACTCCTCCGTCCCCCCCGCCACCCCGCGCAGGTCATCTCCTCCAACCTTCACTGCGAGGAGATGCTGGATTTCCTTGAATCCAAGATCAAGGGAATCCGCTCCGCGGTCACTTCCCCTCCAACTTCCACCCACCACCCACCCCTTCCCTCCCACACTCCGACTCCTACCCATCCTCCCCTACACACCTTCGTACCCGTTTCCCCACCCTCTGTCACTGAACTCATCCTATCCCTAAAACCAACCACCTGCTCCCTTGACCCCATCCCCACTCCACTCCTTATCTCCCAGCTCCATTTTCTTGCCCCACACATCACTGACATCATAAACCTGTCCCTCTCCTCTGGCTCTGTCCCCATTCCATTAAAAACTGCCATCATCACGCCCACCCTGAAAAAACCCTCCCTTGATGCGTCGCAGCTATCAAGCTACCGGCCCATCTCCAACCTCCCCTTTCTCTCCAAGGTCTTGGAAAGAGTTGTCGCCTCCCAACTGCGCTCTTTCCTCTCCACCCATTCTCTTTTTGAACCCCTTCAGTCAGGTTTCCGTGCTGCTCATAGCACAGAAACTGCCCTGGTCAAGGTCACCAATGATATCCTGACCATCTGTGACCAGGGCTCCCTCTGTCTCCTCGTCCTCCTCGACCTATCGGCAGCATTCGATACGGTCGACCACGCTATCCTACTCCACCGCTTGTCCTCCCACCTCAACCTTCAAGGCACTGTCCTTGAATGGTTTAGCTCTTACCTTTCCCACCGTCTTCACTTCGTCTCAACGAATGGCTTCTCCTCCACCCCCCGTACTGTCTCATGTGGTGTCCCTCAGGGCTCTGTCCTCGGTCCCCTCCTCTTCACCCTCTATATGCTCCCCCTCGGTGACATCATCCGCAAACATGGGGTTAACTTCCACATGTATGCGGATGACACCCAACTCTACCTTTCCTCCTCTACTCTCAACTCCACGACCACCGATGTCCTGACAGCCTGCCTGTCCGACATCGAGTCCTGGACGAGAGACAACTTTCTTCAGCTCAACGTGCGAAAAACCGAGGCCCTCCTGATTGGCTCACGTCAGCGCCTCCGCACCTCAGGCGCTGACACCATCAGCATCCAAGGCTGCACTCTCCACCTCTCAAAGCCAGTCAGGAACCTCGGCGTTTTGTTCGACCCTGAGCTGTCCTTTCTCCCTCACATCCGCACCACAACTGGCACCGCCTTCCATCACCTCCGGAATATCGCCAGATTACGGCACTACCTCACCCCTCACGCTGCTGAAACCCTGGTTCACGCCTTTGTCACCTCAAGGCTGGACTATGGGAACTCTCTCCTCGCCGGCCTTCCCGCCCCTCCCTCCACAAGCTGCAGGTCATTCAGAACTCTGCAGCTCGTGTACTGTCCCGCACCAGGCTTCGGGACCACATCACTCCCACCCTCGCTCGCCTCCACTGGCTCCCCATCCCCCAGAGGATTGATTTCAAGATCCTCATCCTCACCTACAAGGCCATTCACGGCCTTGCTCCCTCCTACCTCTCCAACCTACTATCCCCCTACCTACCTGCCCGTACCCTCCGTTCCTCTGGCTCCGGTCTGCTCCACGTCCCCCGCCCCAACCGCCCTACTATCGGTGGTCGGGCCTTCAGCCTCTCAGCCCCCAGGCTCTGGAACTCCATCCCCCAGTGCCTTCGCCTTGCTTCCTCCCTTTCCTCCTTCAAGGCCGGTCTCAAAACCTTTCTCTTTGACCGTGCCTTCAGCTCCCCTCTCGACTCTCTTCCTCCTCCTCGCTCCCTCCCTTCCCTCCCCTCACCCTGACCATTTCCCCCTCCTCTCTCCCTCCCTTCCCTCCCCTCACCCTGACCATTTCCCCCCTGCTCGGGTCATGACCCAACTGTGCAGCGCCTTGGGACGTCCTCCTGACGTGAAAGGCGCTCTATAAGTGGAATCTTGTTGTTGTTGTTGTTGTTGTAGCAGATGAATACATTTCTTAATTATTCTGAGACGTGAGAGGTTTTTCTAAAATGTCTCAATGATGGATAATAAAATATTTACTTTTCCTTTATGGAAAGCCAAGGAAAAAATAACATTAATTTTTGGTCATATTTAGATTACAAGACCATCTCAAAGGAACTCTCAAGATGTTCCTCTTAATGGCACTACACCAACAAAAGGGGCAGTCTGGAGCCCAGAGGCTGATTCAGGTTCTGATTCAGGTAAAGCAATGTCGTGCACCATACAATGCAAAATTTACACTTATACAGCACCTTTCACCTCAGGAAGATCCCGGGGCGCTGGACAGTCAGGGATTTGGACCTGAGCTGGAGTTTGGAATCGGGGAGGAAGAGGAAGGTTTTGAGACGCCTTGAAGTTGAGATACGCTGGAGTCGGGCTCCGCTACTGTTAAGCAATCTGAGGCGTTACCCTGTGTGGAGGGCGCTATATAATTGCGAGTTGTTGTTGAAGGAGCAAGGGAGGGAGGGAGGCGCAAGGAATGTGGGATGGAGTTCCGTAGGGTAGGCAGAAAATGTAGAGACCGGTGTCTGCTTCATCTAAAAGGAGTTATTCAGTCCATAATGTGTGTTGAGTTAGCTGATCTTAGCTGGAGGGTCTGCGAGAACCTTATTTGGTGCGGATATCAGATCACTTTTATTGTAGAATTACTGAGTGGCAGGTAAGAGTGTTATATTGTGTCCTCTCTTCCCAATCACAGGTTACTTACTGTTCTGCTAATCCTAATATACAGTGCCTGTGAGAATCTGAATTGCACTACTTCAGAGGCCTTACAGGCAGAATCAATTGGGATGTTTAATATTAATCCTTGTATTTGATATAGTCTTCGAGACTTCTCAAAGCTCTTCACAGGATATACTGTGAAGTGAATTGACTATATTTTGCAGGTGAAATGTTTCAGCCAATTAAGAACATGCGGTGTCCCACAAACAGTCATGGATTTAGCGACACATTAATTCTTTGGAGGGGTTATTATCCGCAGAAAACGATCCACCAATCGACTAACTATGTAAACAGAGGCATGTGGAATGTAGTAAGGAAGCTTACCCAAGGTTTCACCCCTCGCTTGCGAGGCGAGCGCTCTAACCACTAAACTACAGGAATGTGCTTGATTGGTTGAATAGCTACTTATCATCTTGTGTTCATAACTGAGACTTTTTCCCATGTTTATCTCTTTCAGATGAATGTGTGGTATTGGAGTCCAGACTGGATCTGACAGAGAAGGAGCCAGGGAACGTGAGCCCTGCGAAAGTGAACAGAGGGCAGGAAGTACAATTGGAGACAGAAGATGCCAAAAAATGTGATTCAGATCTGGAAACGACAGAGGTAATGATCAGTATTCTGTACAATCAAAAGTGCAGTGTGTCAACCTGGCTCAGTGGTAGCATCCTTGCCTCCGCATCAGAAGGTTGTGGGTTCAAGCCCCCTGTCAGGACTTGGAATCACATAGTCTTAAGCCAGTGTGGGTCCAACCTTTTGGCTGCAGAGGGCCAAATGCTGGGCTTATGAAACATTATAAGCAATATTTTTGTTCCAGTAACAACATTTGTTATATACAGGAGGATGAAAAATACTTGCTTTGTTACAAAGACGCCCTGTTATTATTAAGTGCCAGAATGCAGTTGAATAGATGCGTAGCCTAAAGAGCAAGAGCCTGCAAACTAATGAACCTGTGTTTTTTACCCACTTTGCTCTTGGCTTGCGTTAGCGCCTGCGAGTTGACCAAATACTTGTGGAAAAACTGCCATGGCCTTTCACTTGGAACTTTCATTGAACTCTTGGGGTATTGGTGGATCGCTTTTCCAGGGATAATAATCCCTTAAAACAATGACAATTTGGTCACTCAATCCATGATTGCTGTGTGCAATTGGCTGCTGTATTTCATCCTCAAAATATACAGTCAATTCACTTTACACTATATTCTGTGAAGCGTTTGAGATATCTTGAAGATGTGATAAGGGCGCTATATCAAATGCAAGCGTTATTATTTATTCAGCGCATTTTTCTCATCAACAACCCGGGCTGGGCAGCCAAGCTGGGGGCAGGAGTCAAGGGAGGTGGGATGGGGAGGGGAAAAGATGTCTGAAAGTCTGGTCAAAGAGTTGGGTCTTGACGTGCCTAGAAATAGGGGAGGGAGTCGAAGGGACTGTGGGAATGGAACTTCACCTGCTGAATGGTGGCTGTCTCATTAACAACAGTTATTTTGTGCTTTCAGACGTCTGAAAAACAGTCGTTAAGTAGTAAAGAGACTGCGATTCCAGATGCCAAGATTCAAGAGGTACGAATAGTTGCGTGCTGAAAGCCCTGTTAGACGTCTCAATGCAAGGCCCAAGATCAAACTAGAATAATTTTGTGAGGCATTGAGAGAAGTAATAAATTTTTTTGATGATTTGAGGATGTAATGTTAATTCCTTCAGAAGACAAGGGGAGTAAATTGACAAATAATCTCTTGTTTTTAATTACTAGACTCCTAGAATGCGGTTACGGAATAGAGTTATTGAAATTCAACCTCCTGAAGACAGCAAGGTAAGAGACTAGCATATATTTCTTAATTCTAAGATGTGAGGATATTCTATAAAATATCAGATGTATAAAAAATTATTTACTTTTCTTTATGGCAAGCCAATAAATTAATTTAATATCAATTTTGGTCATGTTTAGATTACAACACGATCTCCAAGGAAGTCTCAAGATGTTCTATACAGCACTACACCAGCAAAAGTGGCAGTCTGGACCCCGGAGGCTGATTCAGGTTCTGAGTCAGGTAAAGCAATGTCATGTAGAGACCAGTAGTGGTGTCTGCTTCAACTAAAAGAAGTGTCTTGATTGTGGGTGTGAGAATATGAAGTGGCCATGCAGATAGAATCAATTGAGATGTTTAAAATGGAGATAGACGTGGAGTCCTATAGCGTCGTGGTTAGACCACTCGCCTTGCAAGCGATAGGACCTGGGTTTGATTCTCAGCGGGTCAGGGCGAAACCTTAGGAATGCTTACTTATTCCACACTTACGCCTCTGTTTACCTAGCAGTTGGAAGGAACCCACTTGTTAGTCTGGGGGTAATAATCCCTTCCAAAATAAATTAAAAAATTATAATAATTAGGACACTCAACCCATGAGTGTGACTGTTTGGATTGTGCACAATACCTGCCGAGTTTTTCCCACAAGATTTACAGTCTATTCACTTTACAGTCTATGAATTCTGTGAAGCGCTTTGCGACGTCTCGAAGATGTGATAAGGTGAATGCAAATCAAATGCAAATTTAATATTATGGACACTTTAAGGTACTTGTAGGGTAAAGGTGGTAGGACAAATTGATAAATCTGTTTTTTAAAAAAAATGGGATCCTTGGCTTTATAGAGCACAAAAGCAACAAAATTATGCTAAATCTTTATAAATCACTGGTTAGGCCTCAGCTGGAGTATTGTGTCCAATTCTGGGCACCACTCTTTGGGAAGGGTGTCAGCTTTGGAGAGGGTGCAAAGGAAATTTATCACAATTACACCGGGGATGAGGGACTTCAGTTATGTGGAGAGACTAGAGAACAATAATAATAATCCTTGCATTTGATACAGCGCTTTTCACGTCTTCTTGATATCTCAAGCGCTTCACACAATATACTGTAAAGTGCATTGACTGTATATTTGTGGGCAAATTGTGGCAGCCAATTGCGCACAGCAGTGTCCCAGGAACAGTCGTGGATTGAAATGACCAATTTATTGTTGTTCCTTTTTTGAGAGATTATTATCAGGTGTGTGGAGTGTGGAAACTTGCCCAAGGTTTTACGACCTGCCGGGAATCGAACCCAGGTCTCTCGCTTGCGAGACAAGTGCTCTAACCATTGAGCTGCAGGACTCCACAAAGGTGGGATTGTTCTCCTTAGAGCAGAGAAGGTTGAAGGACGATTTAATAGAGGTGTTCAACATTATGAGAGGTTTTGATAGAGTAAATAGGGAGAAATTGTTTCCTCTAGCAGGTGGCTCGAAATCCAGAGCAGTCAGGTTTAAGATAAGTGGCAAAAGAACCAGATGGGTGGCAAACAGATTTTTTCTAACCCAGAGAGATGTTATGATCTTGAATGCATTGCCTCAAAGGGTGGTGGAGCAGATTCGATAGTAGCTTTCAAAAGGGAGTTGGATAGGTACTTAAAAAGGAAAACTTTGCAGGGCTATGGAGTAAGAGCGGGGAATGGGACTAGTTGGCAGCTCTTTCAAAGATCCTCCATGATTCTATGCCATTAGGAGGTATAATAAAATGTTTAAACTGTTGGAATGTGTTTGATTGGCTGAATAGCTACTTATCATGTATTCATAACTGAGACTTGTTCCCATGTTTATCTCTTGCAGATGAATGTGTGGTAGTGGAATCCATGCTAGATCTGACAGAGAAGGTGCCAGGGAACGTGAGCCCTGCGAAGGTGAACAGAGGGCAGGAAGTACAATTGGAGACAGAAGATGCCAAAAAATGTGATTCGGGTCTGGAAAAGGCACAGGTAATGATCAATATTCTGTACAATCAAAAGCGCCATCGTTCAGATGAGATGTAGCAAGGCAATTTTGTGAGGCATTGAATGAAGTGAGTTTAGTGGCTATAGAGCTCGCCTTGCAAGCGAGAGGGGCAGGGCAAAACGTTTGGCAAGTTTCCTTACACCTCACACACGCCTCTGTTACCTAGCAGTAAGTAGAAACCTGCTTGTTAGTCAATTGACAGATTGTTTTTTCCAGTGGTAATAATCCCTTTCTAAAAAAAGAAATAAGTTGGTCACCTAATCCATGACTGTGGGACCACAACTGTGCACAATTGGCTGCCGCATTTCACTCACAAACTATACAGTCAATTCACTTTACAGTACATTCTGTGAAACGCTTTGAGATGTCTCAAAGACATTAAAAGGCACTATATCAAATGCAAAGATTATTATCATTTATAATGTTGATGGAAATTACACAAATGCTCTGCATTTAATTATTTATTTATGGGTTTGTTCCTTTAGGTTACACAAGAGCCATTTCCAAAGACTTTGAGATGTATCACTCCAGTGTTTCTCATGTCTGAGCAGATCGCCCCTGGCAAAAGGAACAGCAACCACTCTGGTAAGGGCATCTTTCTCTGTGTTACTGGGGCCTCAGTGGAAGGAGGAGTATTGTGGGTATTCTCAAAGTTGGATGTGAAGTTGGATTCAACTATCAATTTACTGAGCAAGCAAATTTGGTGTCACTAAGCCAGTCAGGAACCTGGGTGTCTTGTACCTACTGTCTTGACCTACTGACCCAGGTACTTAAACTCGACGCCGGAGCGAGTTCAGCTGGGGGGGGGGAGGGGAGGGGGTGGTCTGGAGGCGGAGCGGGGGAACCGCTGACGTCATAGATTAGTTTTCAGGTGAGTGCGCGCGCAAAAAAAAAAAACCCTCTGCGCCCCCCCCCACCAGGGCTCACATCAGAGCCCACTATGGTCCTGTTGGGTTCGCTGCCCCAATCTACGGGATAATGCCATCCACCTGACCGCTCGCTCCCGGTCCCCGCGTGCGCACTATGGCTGCCGCTTTGACCCGAGCCCCCTCACCCCCTCCCTCCCCCCCCCTCCTCTCTCCGCCCAAACCCTCCCCCCTCTGCATCTCTCTCCTCCTCTCTCTCCGTCCCTCTCGTCTTCTATCCCCACTTGACCCTCCCACAACCTCCCTCTGCTCCAGCCTGGGAATCCTCCGCCGGGCTCACCGTGGCACTCGGCGTTGGCTGTCCAGCAGCAGCCACACCGACTGCCCCATTCCCCACCACACTCGCCAGCCACCCCGGACACAGACCCGGGGAGTTAACCTCTCATCCCCATTCCCCCCACCCCTGCCTCACAACCTGGACCCCCCTCCCCTCCCACACACCCTTCTGTCAACCGCTCCCTCCACATCGGACTGCAAAATGTCCGCTCCCTCTGCAACAAGGCCCTGGTCATCAACGATCTCATCCTTGATGAGAACGTTGATATCATGGCCTTAACGGAAACCTGGCTCACCCCAGGCGACACCTTCCCCCTCACGGAGGCCACACCACCCGGCTACACCTCCCACCACATCCCCCGCCCCAACCGCCGTGGCGGTGGTGTTGCCCTTATCTCAAGGACACCACTTGCCCTATCCCCCTACTCCACTGGCTCTTTCCCCTCCTTTGAGCACCTCACCCTCTCCCACCCCTCATTCCTCTCCCTTAAAATCCTCCTCCTCTACCGGCCCCCTAAAACCTCTCCCACCTTCATCTCTGACATTTCAACACTCCTCACATCTCTTTGCCTCTCCTCTGATCGCCTCATCATCCTGGGCGACTTTAACCTACACTTCACCCCCTCCTGCTCCATCTCCACAGACTTCTCTTCCCTGCTCTCCTCACTCAACCTCTCCTTACACATAAACTCCCCCACTCACAGTCACGGCCACCCACTCGATTTGGTGATCACCCGGGGCCTCAGTGTCTCGGATGTCACTATTACCGACAAGGCCATCTCTGACCACTACTTCATCTCCTTCACCACCTCCACCCCCCTCCCCACCTCCACCAGACCCACCACCATCTTCTACCGCCCTTGGAAGAAGTTACCCCCACAATCCCTAACCGATGCCTTGGAGTCCTCTGAACTCCTCTCCCTCTGGCCTTCAACCCTCACCGACCCCTCTTCTCCTCTCTCCCTCCTCCACAATACCCTCTCCTCCACACTCGATACTCTTGCCCCCATCACTTCCCGCACTGTCTCCTACTCCCGCTCCTCCCCCTGGTACACCACCCACCTCCGCTCACTGAAAAGCCAGGTGCGGGCTGCTGAACGCACCTGTGTCAAATCTGGCCTAACGGTCCACCGACAAATCTGGCTGGACCTCCTCAAAATTTACCGCTCCACTCTAGCCTCGGCCAAGTCGTCCTTCTACTCCAGGATAATCCTGGAGGCGAAGAACAACCCCAGGCTACTGTTTTCCACCACAACCCGACTCCTCCGTCCCCCCCGCCACCCCGCGCAGGTCATCTCCTCCAACCTTCACTGCGAGGAGATGCTGGATTTCCTTGAATCCAAGATCAAGGGAATCCGCTCCGCGGTCACTTCCCCTCCAACTTCCACCCACCACCCACCCCTCCCACACTCCGACTCCTACCCATCCTCCCCTACACACCTTCGTACCCGTTTCCCCACCCTCTGTCACTGAACTCATCCTATCCCTAAAACCAACCACCTGCTCCCTTGACCCCATCCCCACTCCACTCCTTATCTCCCAGCTCCACTTTCTTGCCCCACATATCACTGACATCATAAACCTGTCCCTCTCCTCTGGCTCTGTCCCCATTCCATTAAAAACTGCCATCATCACGCCCACCCTGAAAAAACCCTCCCTTGATGCGTCGCAGCTATCAAGCTACCGGCCCATCTCCAACCTCCCCTTTCTCTCCAAGGTCTTGGAAAGAGTTGTCGCCTCCCAACTGCGCTCTTTCCTTTCCACCCATTCTCTTTTTGAACCCCTTCAGTCAGGTTTCCGTGCTGCCCATAGCACAGAAACTGCCCTGGTCAAGGTCACCAATGATATCCTGACCATCTGTGACCAGGGCTCCCTCTGTCTCCTCGTCCTCCTCGACCTATCGGCAGCATTCGATACGGTCGACCACGCTATCCTACTCCACCGCTTGTCCTCCCACCTCAACCTTCAAGGCACTGTCCTTGAATGGTTTAGGTCGTACCTTTCCACCGTCTTCACTTTGTCTCGACGAATGGCTTCTCCTCCACCCCCCGTACTGTCTCATGTGGTGTCCCTCAGGGCTCTGTCCTCGGTCCCCTCCTCTTCACCCTCTATATGCTCCCCCTTGGTGACATCATCCGCAGACATGGAGTTAACTTCCACATGTATGCGGATGACACCCAACTCTACCTTTCCTCCTCTACTCTCAACTCCACGACCACCGATGTCCTGACAGCTGCCTGTCCGACATCGAGTCCTGGACGAGAGACAACTTTCTTCAGCTCAACGTGCGAAAAACCGAGGCCCTCCTGATTGGCTCACGTCAGCGCCTCCGCACCTCAGGCGCTGACACCATCAGCATCCAAGGCTGCACTCTCCACCTCTCAAAGCCAGTCAGGAACCTCGGCGTTTTGTTCGACCCTGAGCTGTCCTTTCTCCCTCACATCCGCACCACAACTGGCACCGCCTTCCATCACCTCCGGAACATCGCCAGACTACGGCACTACCTCACCCCTCACGCTGCTGAAACCCTGGTCCACGCCTTTGTCACCTCAAGGCTGGACTATGGGAACTCTCTCCTCGCCGGCCTTCCCGCCACCTCCCTCCACAAGCTGCAGGTCATTCAGAACTCTGCAGCTCGTGTACTGTCCCGCACCAGGCTTCGCGACCACATCACTCCCACCCTCGCTCGCCTCCACTGGCTCCCCATCCCCCAGAGGATTGATTTCAAGATCCTCATCCTCACCTACAAGGCCATTCACGGCCTTGCTCCCTCCTACCTCTCCAACCTACTATCCCCCTACCTACCTGCCCGTACCCTCCGTTCCTCTGGCTCCGGTCTGCTCCACGTCCCCCGCCCCAACCGCCCTACCATCGGTGGTCGGGCCTTCAGCCTCTCAGCCCCAGGCTCTGGAACTCCATCCCCAGTGCCTTCGCCGCTTCCTCCCTTTCCTCCTTCAAGGCCGGTCTCAAAACCTTTCTCTTTGACCGTGCCTTCAGCTCCCCTCTCGACTCTCTTCCCCTCCTCGCTCCCTCCCTTCCCTCCCCTCACCCTGACCATTTCCCCCCTCCTCGCTCCCTCCCTTCCCTCCCCTCACCCTGACCATTTCCCCCCTGCTCGGGTCATGACCCAACTGTGCAGCGCCTTGGGACATCCTCCTGACGTGAAAGGCGCTTTATAAATGGAATCTTGTTGTTGTTGTTGTTGTTGTAAAAAGGAAAACTTTGCAGGGCTATGGAGTAAGAGCGGGGAATGGGACTAGTTGGCAGCTCTTTCAAAGATCTTCCATGATTCTATGCCATTAGGAGGTATAATAAAATGTTTAAACTGTTGGAATGTGTTTGATTGGCTGAATAGCTACTTATCATGTATTCATAACTGAGACTTGTTCCCATGTTTATCTCTTGCAGATGATTGTGTGGTAGTGGAATCCATGCTAGATCTGACAGAGAAGGAGCCAGGGAACGTGAGCCCTGCGAAGGTGAACAGAGGGCAGGAAGTACAATTGGAGACAGAAGATGCCAAAGAATGTGATTCGGGTCTGGAAAAGGCACAGGTAATGATCAATATTCTGTACAATCAAAAGCGCCATCGTTCAGATGAGATGTAGCAAGGCAATTTTGTGAGGCATTGAATGAAGTGAGTTTAGTGGCTATAGAGCTCGCCTTGCAAGCGAGAGGGGCAGGGCAAAACGTTTGGCAAGTTTCCTTACACCTCACACACGCCTCTGTTACCTAGCAGTAAGTAGAATCCTGCTTGTTAGTCAATTGACAGATTGTTTTTTCCAGTTGTAAAAATCCCTTTCTAAAAAAAGAAATAAGTTGGTCACCTAATCCATGACTGTGGGACCACTACTGTGCACAATTGGCTGTCGCATTTCACTCACAAACTATACAGTCAATTCACTTTACAGTACATTCTGTGAAACGCTTTGAGATGTCTCAAAGACGTTAAAAGGCACTATATCAAATGCAAAGATTATTATCATTTATAATGTTGATGGAAATTACACAAATGCTCTGCATTTAATTATTTATTTATGGGTTTGTTCCTTTAGGTTACACAAGAGCCATTTCCAAAGACTTTGACATGTATCACTCCAGTGTTTCTCATGTCTGAGCAGATCGCCCCTGGCAAAAGGAACCGCAACCACTCTGGTAAGGGCATCTTTCTCTGTGTTACTGGGGCCTCAGTGGAAGGAGGAGTATTGTGGGTATTCTCAAAGTTGGATGTGAAGTTGGATTCAACTATCAATTTACTGAGCAAGCAAATTTGGTGTCACTAAGCCAGTCAGGAACCTGGGTGTCTTGTTTGACCCTGAATTGTCCTTTCTCCTCCATTTCCGCGCCACGACTGGCATTGCCTACCAACACCTCCGCAACATTGCCAGACTCCGCCACTGCCTCACCCCTCAGGCTGCCGAAACCCTTACCCATGCATTCGTCACCTCAAGGCTTCATTTCGGGAACTCTCTCCTTATCGACCTTCCGAACTCTTACCTTCACAAGCTGCAGATCATCCAAAACTCTGCAGCTCGTGTACTCTCACGCACCAGGCTCTGCGACCCCATCACTCCCACCCTCGCCAGACCCCATTACTACCACCCTTGCCAAACTCCACTGGCTCCCCATCCCCCAGAGGATCGAGTTCAAGATCCTCGTCCTCACCTTTAAGGCCATCCATGGCCTTGCCCCCTCCCACCTCTCTGACCTGCTGACTCCCTACCAACCTGACTGCTCCCTTCGCTCATCAGGCTCCGGCCTGCTCTATGTCTCCCGCTTGACTCGCCCTACCATCGGTGGCCGGGCTTTCAGCCTCTCTGCCTCCACACTCTGGAATTCCCTCCCACGGTCCCTTTACCTCGCTTCCTCCCTTACATCCTTCAAGGCTGGTCTCAAGACCCTTCTCTTCGACCATGCATTTGGTCTCCCTCCCACCTCTCTGCCTTCCCTCACCCCTACCCCACCCCCATTCTCGGTCCCCAACATCTGACTGTTCAGCGCTTTGGGACGTCCTCCCGTGAAAGGCGCTCTATAAATGTAATTTTGTTGTTGTTGTCAGCTGTTAGAGATCTTCAGACACTTACTGGAACAATGTATTTAACCATGTAGAGTCTGTACTGGTTAGAGCACTCGCCTCACAAGCGAAAGGTCTTGAGTTTGATTCCTGGGCAGTCAGAGCGAAACCTTAGGCAAGTTTCTTTACTCCACACACGCGCCTCTGATAACCTAGCAGTAAGTAGGAACCGGTTGTTAATCGATTGACGGATTGCTTTTCAAAAATAAATGTTAATAATTTCGTCACTCAATCCACAACTGTTTGTGGGACACTGCTGTGAACAATTGGCTGCCACGTTTCGTCCACAAAATATACAATCAATCCACTTTCCAGTATATATTGTGAGGTGCTTTGAGACGTCTCAAAGACAAGATAAGGCGCTGTATCCAATCCAAAAATTATTATTTAAGAAGAAACTTGATGCATAGATGAGGAAGAATGGGAAATAGGATTAGGGAATAGGAGTGGTGGGGGCTCATGTTTAGTGTAAAGACCAGCATGGATAGTTAGGCCAAATTATCTGTTACCGTGCTTATAATTCAATGTAATTTGTAATTAATGCTTGATAATGCATTTAATCTTCCAATTAAACGCTATGTCTTTGTTCATATCCTAGAAGAACCCTTGCAGACGGAACCAGAGCTGAAGACTGAGGAGGAGAATGAAGAGGAAAGAAAGCCTTTGGAAAAAAGTGAAGTGTTAATCGAGGAGATAGAAGAACTATATATGGAAAATGAAAAGGTGAGGTTGCAATGATAGTGTTCAAAATCCTCATCTTCAAAGCCCTCCATGGCCTTGCTCCTTCCTACCTCTATGACCTGCTAACCCCATATCATCCTTTCCACTCCCTCTGCTCAGCAGGCTCCGGCCTTCTTCACATCCCTCGGCACTCCCACCCCAAAGTTGTCGGGCGAACCTTCAGCCTCTTTGCCTCCACCCCCTGGAACTCCATCCCACAGTCCCTCCGCCTCGCCCCATCCCTTACCTCCTTCAAGGCCTGTCTCAAGACTGCGCCTTCAGTCACCCGCCTACCCCCGCCCTCCACCCGCCGTCCCCTGCTCGGGTCATGACCCAACTGTGCAGCGCCTTGGGACGTCCTCCTGACGTGAAAGGCGCTCTATAAATGGAATCTTGTTGTTGTTGTTGTTGTTGTCGTGATCCAAACCCCCAGATCGGATCCAAATGCCTGACTGTCCAGCGCCTTGGAGCATCCTCCTGACATAAAAGGCGCTGTGTAAATATAATTTGTTGTTGTTGTTTGTTTTGCCAGTATTTCAATTGCTATCAGTAATTTAACACCTTTTGTCCCTTGCTCTCACTACTTAACACCCACTTCCCAGGAATGTATAGGGAAAGAAAAGTTCTCTCTTGCTCAAGAATTCCCACTCTCACCAAATTCCTCAACAGAAGTTTCACTCTGTTCCCCTCACTCACTTCCCACCTCAATCTGCTGAGCTCTCTGCTAGACAAGAGTGAAATTCTAAATATGTAATTATAAATGTAATGTTTAATACAAATCAGAAACTATTTGGTGTGACTTCTAATGAGAAACCTGTTCCTTAGCATGTGAAAGACGTCTCGCTGAAGGAATCAACACCGTTGGCTACAGGATTTCTGCCACCACAAGAACTTGGAAGACTCCCAGTAAAAAACAGCAACTCTGGTAAATAATAATAATCCTTGTAATTGATATAGCGCCTTATCACATCTTTGAGATATCTCAAAGCGCTTAACAGGATATATTGTAAAGTTTATTTTGTGGATGAAATGTAGCACAGCAGTGTCTCACAAACAGTCATTGATTGAGTGGAATGGAATCTTGTTGTTGTTGTTGTTGAGTGACCAAATTATTATTATTTATTTTATTTTTTTGAAGGGATTATTACTCCCCACCTGGAAAAGCGATTCACCAATTGACTCACAGCTGGGTTCCTACTTACAACTAGGTAAACAGGCGTTTGTGTGGGGTAAAGAAACTTGCCCAAGGTTTCGCCCTGCCCAGGAATCAATCCCAGGTCCTCTCGCTTGAAAGGTGTGAGCTCTAACCACAGGACTACACAGCAGAGTTGATGCTCCTGTGAACAGTGACGTTTAGTGCTGTTAACCTGAGCCCTGATCCCTCTGTAACTAACGATGTCTGATGTCAATGGTAGCCCCATCTGCTCCTCCATTGGAGATCTGCTAACACAGCAAACAATGGGGTGGGGGGGGGGGTCCCAATCTGAATGGTTCATCTACATGCTGCATAAACTTGCTGAGAGTGTAATTTGCTTGCTTTGTTAATCTCTCTTCCACCGTCAATGAAAAGCCTTGCTGGTTGCTACTCCCAGGGCAAAATGTTAATCACGCATGAAAAATTAGTTTGAGATTCAATTGCATGTTCCACCTAATCTCCACATGCTCGCTGCATCCTCACCATGTTGTAATCCAAATTTGTGGCATAGTCTGCTACAGTTACTTGAAGGAGCTGGGACAGGCTTGAGTCCTTCACTAGGTTTCGTAATAAACAAACCTTTTATTTTTATTAAAATTCCCAAGAATTATTCTGCAATTTCCGTCCATTGAGCCTCTCTCCTCCATTTCGGATTGACCTACCATCTGCTCCCCAGACTCTGCTGTTATTCTATGTCCTATTGGTATTCAGCACTTTAATACTAATTTCCTTTATATGCATTTATTTGCCGGCTGGTCATTTAACGCTAAAGATCATACAATAATCCTTACAGCGCCTTATCAAGTCTCAAAGAGCTTCACAGGATATATTGTAAAGTGTAGTGACTGTGCATTTATATGTATCATACACTCCATCTGAGAAACCGCAGTCGCGCTCAGCTACATTTGTAAGAGTTAGTCTGTCCCAGGAAAAGCGAGTGTTTCAATTACAAAATCAATTTGCCTGGAGTTCGAGTGTTCTTACAGCATATTTTATTATTCATGAAAATTGGAACATAACAGGTGGGGGGGTACATTGTTTAGACAAAACTTTGTCAACTGGGTTAATAAAAGCTGACAGGCTTCATCGTTGCGTGCAAGAGGAGATCAACTGAGTTTGTAGTTGAATGGGAGTATTTTGCTGATGAGTAGAAATAACGATGGGTGCGACTCAAATGTATGGTGCATGTAATCACTTGCTGAGCTCTTCTCCGCCTCCCCCCCCCCAACCCCCCCAGCATTTGTACAGAAAGATTGTTGAAGAATGTAGTGCGTTTGGCCACTGAACTATGCACACTGAGATTCCACGTCCTTTAGATTCTGCTTTCTCAAGTTACTTAAAGTATATTTGTAAAAGTTGCAAGGTTTCTGACGATGGATGCTCTTGAAATAGGAAATCAGCATTCTCCAGCTGGACCGGAAACTTTGGCAAACGAAGAGAGAGTCGGAGGTTTATGTCATAAGCAAGGAAGTCATTGTGAAATAGATGTGCCTGTCAACTGGGACCATGCAGGGGAGGAATGTTCTGAAGAGACACATTCTAAAGTTGAGAGCAAGGACGAAACGTTTGCCGTATGCTTAGAGATGGCGTCTCCGGGCAATGAAAATGGCGAGACTCCCAATGATGATTATACGAAGGAATCGGAAAATGGAACGGATACTTCAGTTTGGTGTGTCAATGCCACACTCAGCAAACTGAAAACCACAGAAGGGATCCAAGAAACACTGGGAATGTTTACTGAGACAGGAATTTCTGGTTCGCTTGACCACAGCTGTGCATTAAATTCTACATCCATCGATGCTGGAGATGTACAGAATGCTGGAGAAGACCTTCATAATGACTATGTGCAGGATGTAGGAGCTGTGCACAGTGAGAGGGTGCAACATAGTGAGTGTGTGCAGAATGCAGATGTGTCTGAGTGTGTGCAGAATGCAGATGTGTCTGAGTGTGTGCAGAATGCAGATGTGTCTGAGTGTGTGCAGAATGCAGATGTGTCTGAGTGTGTGCAGAATGCAGATGTGTCTGAGTGTGTGCAGAATGCAGATGTGTCTGAGTGTGTGCAGAATGCAGATGTGTCTGAGTGTGTGCAGAATGCAGATGTGTCTGAGTGTGTGCAGAATGCAGATGTGTCTGAGTGTGTGCAGAATGCAGATGTGTCTGAGTGTGTGCAGAATGCAGATGTGTCTGAGTGTGTGCAGAATGCAGATGTGTCTGAGTGTGTGCAGAATGCAGATGTGTCTGAGTGTGTGACGAAAATAGGAGCTGTGCAAGAGGAATGTGTGGAGAATGCTGGAGCTGTTCACAGTGAGAGTGTGCAGAATACTGATTTGTCGGAGTCTGTGGGTGTACAAAATGCTGGAGACGTGCATGATGACCATGTACAGAATGCAGGAGCTGTGCACAGCGAGTGTGTGCAGAATGTAGGAGCTGTGAATGCTGAGTGTGTGCAGAATGTGGGAGCTGTGAATGCCGAGTGTGTGCAGAACGCAGACCTGTCTGAGTGTGTGACGAATGTAGGAGCTGTGCAAGAGGAATGTGCGCAGAATGCTGGAGCTGTTAATCTAGTTCTCACGGGCGTGATGCTGATTAATCAACCAGACAATTGTGGGTCTGCAGTAGAAGGAAGACAACTTGAAAATGTGTTGACTACAATGACAAACCTTTCTAGCATTGAAGCTGATTGTAGCCCATCTGTGGCATTACAGCAGCCATGTGCACAGGGAATAACCAACTCTCAAGAGGAGTCCAGTGTGTCCGTGCAGGCAGCTGAATGCCCAGGGATGGAGTCTACATCAGTCTCTGAAATACATTGTTCAGTAGATCAGGGAGAATCTACAAGTTCACCACTGGAAAGGGTGCACATTCCTGAATTTAAGAATTTAGAAGTTGAAATTGACTTTAAACCAGAGGAGCATACCTCCGATAATGGATCCATTAGTGGGTTGGAAACCTCTGAAGAGTTGATGGCGTTTGGTCCTCAAGATAACACAAAAGAACAGACAAGTGTTTTGATTCAAATTACCGATGGAGAGCATGCTTTGGAGTTAAAATCCGAAGAAACTCGCTCGACAACTCAAGGCACAATTAATGTTTCCAGTATTGTTGTGAATACACTGGAGGCTGGAGATGTTTCAGCAGGTTCTACCCCTACTATTGAAGCAGAAATCCACGATGATACTGCCGGTGGTGTAAATGCGGTGGAGGGTCAAGACTTCGAGGCAACACCGCATTTTATTCAGCCAGAAGAGCAGGCACATTATGTGCCTGAAGGCAAAGAGCTTCCCACCGTAGCTAGCGAGGCTCCGTCTCCAGAAAAACAAACGGTTCTCTTAAGTCGAATTTTAAAAAGGAGGAGGCAGAGGAGAAGGAAGAAAGCTCGCTCCATTGAGCAAGCAGCCACAGAAGCAGTGAGTGCCCGCCTCTCGGCAATGTTGGCTCAAGCACCCCTCAGCCAGATGGAAGATTCTGAGTACCTGGGCTCTGCCCACTGCGAAGGGGATGGAAGAAATGAAGCCGTGTCTCTCCACAAAGTAGATGCTCCCATTTCTGAGAGACTAGAGACGGCAGTAGAACGCAGTGATGATCGTATCAAAAGTAAGATTTGAGATCTCTCTCACGTAAAGTCCTTTAGTGAGTTTAGCACAAAATCAGTTCATTGCACTATGGAAACAGCGATTATATTGTGCCTGCCACAACTAACACTGTTCTGGGAGAAGGGCCAAGATGAACCTTAATTGCTGTATTGTTATGGCTCAGTCACAACATTCCTGTCCTCACACACCAAGTTCATTCAAGATCCCATAGTGCCGGAGGCTAAGTTTCACCCACAAAGCACACAGTTACTACACTTCACAATATATTTTGTGAAGTGCTTTGAAACATCTCGAAGATTTCATTAGGCACTATATCAAATTATTATTATTCCCTGATAAAACTACTGAAAGAGGTGTGGATTTTTTTTGTCTTTGTGTTTATGATAGTAGAATTTTTTTTGCTAACTTCAATGACCAGTTTATGATGTTTGTGATGCGCTCCTTCCTACCTACAATTCATTCATTATATAACAGTTTGTATGAGTTTGCGAGGATTCAGCACTCTGACCCGCTGTCCGGCATGGAGGGCGCTATATAATAATAATATTATATATGAACCCAAGTTGCTGTTATTGTTATTAGTCTCCAGGATGGAAGAGCAGCTAGTCCTGTTGCGTAGTGGTTAGAGCACTCGCCTTAGGCAAGTTTCCTTACTGCCCACACACTCCTCTGTTTACCTAGTTAAGTTGGACCCCCCTTGTTAGTCGATTGGCAGATCGCTTTCCGGGAGTAATAATCGCTTCAAAATAAATAAATGAATGAATGATAATTTGGTCACTCAATCCATGACTGTTTGTAGGATACTGCTGTGTGCAATTGGCTGCCACTTTTCACCCACAAAATATGCAGTCAATTCACTTTACAGTATATTTTGTGAAGCGATCTCAGTCGTCTCGAAGATGTGACGAGGAGCTATATCAAATGCAAGGATTATCCTGTCTATGCTTTTACCAATTAATATTACTGTAAAATATTCCCCAATTTCATTATTGGTTATTATTAGCGGTTGTTATTGAACAGGCATTGATCACTCTGTATGTTTTAGTTGGAAGGGGACAGCTGGGAACTGTGCACTCACAGATGGACAGTAAGGTGGAAGAGCATGAAAATCCTGTGAAGATCTGTAAACAAAAGGTCAATAAAAAGAGGAAGAAAGATGATGATGTGGAAGAGGTAAAAGTGTTAATAAAACCGCACAGTCTTTAAGATTCTGAATAATGTGGACGATGATAAGCTGTTTTATCTTGTACTGAAGAGTAGAACCAGAGAACATGGCCTGTGATTGAAGGGTGATAAATCCAGAACAAATTTGTGGGAACACTACTTCAGTGAATGAGTAGTAAATGTATGGAACAGGCTCCCTAGGGAGACAAACAGTGGAAACAGAAATTGTACTTTGTTTCAAGAACAAATACATTATATAGTTTGGGACATGACATGTCAAGCAACTGCCAGGATAGTAAACGGCGACCAGGTGGACCTTGGTCTTTTGCCTAGCAAATTCCTATGAGATAACTGGTTTCCTATTTAAATACATCTGAAAACAAATCACCCATGTTATTCATGCATCTCCGTGGTTCCAGTATTAGAATACGTTAGAATACACATCACAGAAACAGACCATTCGGCCCAAGTACTATATGCCAGTGTTTATGCTCCACATGAGTCTCCTCCTGCCCTTCCTTAACTAAGCTTGTGGAGTCCTGTAGCTCAGTGGTTAGACCACTTGCCTTGCAAGCAAAACACCTGGGTTCAATTCCACGCAGCGTGAAACCTTGTTCCTTCTTCCACACTCCCAATAATAATCCCTCCAAAAACAAAACAATAATAAATTGGTCATTTTCAACCACGACTGTTTGTGGGACGCTGCTGTGCACAATTGGCTGCCGCTTTTCACCCACAAATATACAGTCAATTCACTTTACTGCATATTCTGTGAAGTGCTTTGAGATGTCTAGAAGACGTGAAAAGCGCTATATCAAATGCACGGATTATTATAAGCCTTCAAGCATAACCTATTCCTTTCTCCCTCATGTACCTGTTTAGCTTCCACTTAAATACATCTATGCTATTCGCCTCTACAACTCCTTGTGGTAGCATGCTCCACATTCGCACTCTGTAAAGAAATTTCTTCTAACTTCCCTATTTGATCTGTATGTGACTATTTTATATTGATGGCTCCTGGTTTTGGTATCCCCAACAAGTGGAAATATCTTCCCTATGCCTACCCTATCAAAACCTTTCATCATTTTAAAGACCTCTATCAGGTCACCTCTTACCCTCTTTTCAAGAGAAATGAGTCCAGGCCTTTCCTGATGGGTATAACCTCTCAGTTCTGGGATCATCCTTGTGAATCTCCTTTGCACCCTCTCCAGTGCCTCGGCATCCCTTCTACAATGTGGGGACCAGAACTGCACACAGTATTCTAAGTGTGGTCTAAGCAAGATTCTGTAGAAGTTTATCATAACTTCCCTGCTTTTCATTTCTATCCCTCTAGAAATGAACACCAATGCCTGTTTTTTATGGATTATTAACCTGCGTTGCTACTTTTAGTGAATTGTGTATGTGTACCCCGAGATCCCTTTGCTCCACTACCCCATTTAGGTTTTTATTTTCCAAGTGATTAAAAGACTTCAGGATGTTTTTTTATTAGCTACCAGAACAGGTTTTGATTTTGTTGCTAATCTCAATTTCCAGGCAAGGCCGCAAAAGGCTCTTAAGAAAAGGAAGCATTTCACTGACCAAACTGAAGAGAAGCTGGAGGAGGTGGAAAGTGAAGGAACAGAGGAGTGTGAGAAAATATCGGCTAAGCCAGGTAATGGAGCAGAAATGCTGTCCCTGCAAGCAAATGGTTTTAACTCTCCCGTTCAGTAAACATGACGGTTGGGGTGTTATAATTGGTGTCCATGCACCATGGCCTAGAGAGAGAGAGAAAAGAAGCCGGCACTCCTCTTCCTGATAGTTGTGCAGTGGCATCTGCTGGAAAGTGGCTGTATGTTCAATTGGGTTTGAACTGGACTTTAAATTCGCACGTGCTACAGTTGAATGGCCTGCTACAGTCTGGGCGTACACATCATCCCTTGCAGTCCTATAGCTCAGTGGTTAGAGCACTCACCTCGCAAGTGAGAGCACCTGGTTCCATTCCCGGGCAGGGCGAAACGTTGGGGGAAAAAAGTTTCCTCACTCCCCAAAGTTTCCTCACTCCACAATCACTCCACTCCTGACCTTATTATAATAATAATCCTTGCATTTGATATGGCACCTTATCACATTGTTGAGATTGAGTATCCTATAAGATACCATTATTATCCCGCAACCACTCTCTCACCCCCTCTCTTGTCTCCTTCAAGTCCCGACCTTGCTCTTCGACCATGCCTTGCACCCCCCTTCCCACCTCCACACGCACTGCCCTCCACTCTCCTGACCCCAACTCCCAGCTAGGGTCCCAAACTCTTGATTGTCCAGTCCTAGGACGTCTTTCTGATGTGAATTGTGCTGCAAAAATATAATTTATTCTTGTAAAGTGCAGTGACTATGTTTGGTGGGTGAAATGCGAGACAAGATACTAGTAGAGCAAAATCAATTCACTTGAAATATTCTCCGAGCATCAATTACCACCTTCAGGCGAGACATTCTCTTGCTGACATTAAACATTTCTGGCAATTAGCAGCTAGCCCATAGCTGAAGCTTACAGAAGAGTTGTATTAGTTGAGTCTTCTTTGTCTCCATTAGAACATCGATTGATTGTGCGGAATCTGGATCCTTCAAAGACCTTCAGCGAGCTCCAGATCGCTCTCATTCATTTCTTTTTGAAAAGAAACCTGTCACTTACTGGCATCAAAATCAAGAAATCTAGGTAAGACCATGCAAATTGCTGTTCTCTTGCATCAGGTGTGTGACCTGGAACCAACCTGTTTCAAAATAACGCCCCAAATGGCTGCTTTCATCAACCTGCATCAATAGTCCAGGCATTACTAGGGTTTCAATGGTGACCGACATGGATAGAAGTTTGTTAGATCGAGGTATCTCTTTGACCGAGCCTTCAGCTCCCCCCTCTCGACTCTCTTCCCCCTCCTCGCTCCCTCCCTTCCCTCCCCTCACCCTGACCATTTCCCCCCTCCTCTCTCCCTCCCTTCCCTCCCCTCACCCTGACCATTTCCCCCCTGCTCGGGTCATGACCCAACTGTGCAGCGCCTTGGGACGTCCTCCTGACGTGAAAGGCGCTTTATAAATGGAATCTTGTTGTTGTTGTTGTTGTTGTATCAAGGGTTATGGGGCAAATGCGGGTAATTTGACTTGAGGTACAGATCAGCCGTTGGCCTTCTCCTGTTTCTATTTTTTTACACACAGTAAATTCTGGATAACTTCTCACTCCAGGGGAAGGGGCCCCGAAACAGATTATTCAATGTGACGAGTGAGCCATAGGTCCTCACCTTATGCTGCTCAGCGCCTCTCTCTCTCTCTCTCTCTCGCTCGCTCAGCCAGCACCTGCTCACTGCAGACACAGTATCTGACCATTTGTGCCCAAACCCCCGACCTCCCTCGCCCCTGACCTCCGCCGTCCCCGATCCTCCGTGGAAGGACTGTTAGATGGAGTTAGAAAGGGTGGTGGCAGAGAGGCTGAAGGCCCTGACTGCATCACTCGCTCCCTCGCCTCCTTCAAGATCTGTCACAAGACTCTCCTTTTCGACCTTCAGTCGCCCTCCTACCCCCACCCTCCCCACCCTCTACCCCTCCTGATCCCAACAAAAACAACAACTTGGATTTATATAGCGCCCTCCACGCCAGACGGCATCTCAGAGCGCTTCACAGTAACGGATCCCGGGGCCGAGTCAGGGGGAGGGGGAGGAAGGTGACCAAAGGCGCAGTTGAAAAGAAAGGTCTTCAGCAGAGACCTGAAAATAGGAAGAGAAGGGGCGAGGGGAAGGCAGTGAGAAGGGAGTTCCAGAGCCTCAGGGCATAGTGGCTGACCGCATGGCCGCCGAGGGTGCAGTGGAAGACTCGGAGGACAATGAGGAGACCAGACCCAGAGGAACGAAGGCAACGGGTACTGTTTTGAGGAGAGAGGACGTCAGAGAGGTCGGGGGTGCAGAGGAGTGGAGGGATTTGAAGACAAGGGCGAGGATCTTGAAGTCGATCCTCTCTGGGACAGGCAGTCAGTGCAGTTGGGAAGACTGGAGTGATCGGGGAGCGGAGTTTGGTGCGGGTGAAAATGCGGGCGACAGAGTTTTGAATAATCTGAATTTTACGGATGGTCAGGGAGGGGAGACCGGCGAGGAGGGCATTTGAATAGTCCAGCTGCGAGGTGACAAAGTCATGGACCAGGGTTTCAGTGGCTTTCGGAGAGAGGTATTGGCGGAGACAGGCGATGCGTCGGAGGTGGAAGAGGGACTGGATATGGGGAGGAAGGATAACTGGTGGTCGAACCTGACGCCGAGGTTGCGTACGGGTTCGGAGAGTTTTAGGGGGAGATCGGGTAGGTGGAGTAGGTGAGAATCGTGATTTTAGACATTGACGAGAGCCAAAGAGTATGGCTTCCGTCTTGTCAACGTTCAGCTGAAGGAAATTTGCGCTCATCCAGCCCCTGAGGTCTGACAGGCAGGCTGACAGAACAGATCCCAACCACCAACTTGGGTCCAAATCCCAGACTGTCCAGCGCCTTGGGACGGCCTCCTGACGTGAAAGGTGCTGTTTTTTTGTGAGCCTTTTCATTGTTTTTGTGAGCCTTTTCTTGTTGTTGACTGTGTTCTGCACTTTTCTGCTCTCAGAAAACAAGGCCATGTGACCTTCCTGTCGCAAAAGGATCTGAATCGAGCTGTGGAGTTAGATGGGAAGCTATTGCTGGGTAACGTGCTACAATTGTGTAAGGAGCAGGACCTTGAAATCCCTGCAGCAGGTACGTCAGAAAGTTACCTTATTATTAATAACTCAGCCATTTGAATTTCAGCATGCCTCTGTTTACCTAGCAGTAAAGTAAGTAGGATCCCCTTTTGTTGGTAGATTGGCGGATTGCTTTTCCGGGGGTAATAATAATCCCTTCAAAAAATATAACTAATAATTTGGACACTCAAGTCACGACTGTTTGTGGGACACTGATGTGCACAATTGGCTGCCGTGTTTCGCCCACAAAATGTACAGTCACCACAATTTACAGTGTATTCTGTGAAGCGCTATGAGACGTCCTGAACAATCAGAAGGACATCTCAAAATACTTGACACTGCTGACTGCGGTGAGTAATAGAATATTAAATTACCAACGTAATATGTCTAATAGCCTGTCAGTGTGTGGGGTCTTATAGAGATAAGCTTAGTGTTGTCACCAAAGCAATGTTGTTATTACTAAAAAAAAACACTTTTATTACTCAAGCAGTTTTAAATGAGAAAAGCAAGGAGTTGGACACCGTATTTCGAGAAAAGAAGAAAAAGAAGAAAATTCAGGAAATAGGTAGGTAGCTGTTTTTCACAAAAAAAAGTAATTTTCATGATTTAATTTTGTTTCCATTATTTCGTCATCAAAGGAATAAGCTTCTCAGTCTTAGGGCTGTTACTGGGAGGGGGTACATAGCCAGGCTTAGCCACTGGGGGGAGAAAGCAGGAGTCCTGTACCATCGTGGTTACAAGTGAGAGGACCTGGGTTCAATTCCCAGCCAGGGCAAAACCTTAGGCAAGTTTCTTACTCACGCCTCTGTTTACCTGAGGACCGTGGAGTCCTGTAGCTCAGTGGTTAGAGCACTCGCTTTGCAAGTGAGAGACCTGAGTTCAATTCCAGGCAGAGGGCGAAACCTCGGGCAAGTTTCCTTACTCCACACAGAGCCTAATAATAATCCCTCCAAAACAAAACAATAATAAATTGGTCATTTTCAATCCACGACTGTTTGTGGGACATTGCTGTGCGCAATTGGCTGCCGCGTTCGACCATAAATATACAGTCAATTCACTTTACAGTATATTCTGTGAAGCGCTTTGGGGCATCCTCCCGACGTGAAAAGCGCTATATCAAATGCAAAGATTATTATTATTACCTAGCAGTAAGTAGAAACCCGCTTTGTTAGTCGATTGATGGATCGCTTTTCTGGGGTAATAATCCCTTCTAAAAAAACTAATAAAATAAATAAATCATTTGGTCAGTCAATTCACGACTGGGACACTGCTGTGTGCCATATACAGTCACTTCACTTTACAGTATATTACATTATATTCTGTGAAGCGCTTTGAGAAGTTTCGAATACGTGATAAGGTATTATATTAAATGCTTGTATTATTATTATTATTAATATTATTACTAAAAAAAAACTTATTATCCAAGTGGTTTTAAATGAGAAAAGCGAGGATTTGAACACCGTGGTTCGAGAAAAGAAGAAAAAGAAGAAAGTTCAGGAAATAGGTAGGTAGCTTTTTTTAAAAAAGAATACTTTTCATCATTTGGTTTTGTTCCAAACCAGGGCTTGGTTTACAGTAAGTTGTATCAGTTGGGACCATCTGTTGCTCAGTGGCTAGCCTCACAAGCGAGAGACCTGGGTTCGATTCCCAGCAGGGCAAAACCTTGAGCAAGTTTCCTTACGCCACATGCCTGATAGTAATCCCTCAAGAAAATAACCCAATAATAATAATAATCCTCGCATTTGATATAGCGCTTTTCACTTCGGGAGGACGTCCCAAAGCGCTTCACAGAACACACTGTAAAGTGAATTGAATGTATATTTGTGGGCGAACCCGGCAGCCAATTGCGCACAGCAATGTCCCACAAACAGTCGTAGATTGAAAATGACCAATTTAATTATTGTTTGGGGTTTTTGGAGGGATTATTATTAGGCTCTGTGTGGAGTAAGGAAACTTGCCCAACGTTTCGCCCTCTAACGGGAATTGAACTCGGGTCTCTCACTTGCAAAGCGAGTGCTCTAACCACTGAGCTACAGAGCTCCACAATAATTTGGTCACTCAATCCACAACTGTTTTGGGGACACTGCTGTGCACAATTGGCTGTGCATTTCGGCTGTAAATATAATGTCAATTCACTTTATAATATATTCTGTGAAGAGACATCTCAAAGAGGCTCTGTATCAAATGCAAGGATTACTATTTAAGTCATATTACATATTACATACGACTTGTGCAAAGTTGTGTATAAGTCAGATTTTATACACAACAAATACACAAGTACTGAACTGACTGGTGACATCAAGGCAAGGTTTAACCCATATATAAAGCTATGGTAGCCCAATCTTTCCATATACTGTCCTGTACTGTATTTCATGTGCAGAAAATATGTACAATCAATGGATCAACCAAACAGGTTTCAAAACAACAGTTTTAATAGGAATGTCATCTTCCGACGAACTACAGTATTAACACTAACGAATTATCAATTACTTTTTAAGACAATGTCACATGGCAAATGCTGCTGTTTTCCCGAGCAGTAAGTAGGAGCCCACTTATTAGTCGATTGGTGGATCGTATTTCTGGGGGTAATAATTCCTTCAAACAAAAAAGAATAATAATTCAATACAAAATTACATTTACACAGTGCCTTTCATGTGGGAGGACGTCCCAATGTGCCACACAGACAGGGATTTGGACCCAAGCGGGATGGGGTTGGGATAAGGGAGGGTGGAGGGTCGGAGGGCGAAGACACGATCGAAGAGGAGGATCTTGAGATGTGCGTTGAAGGAAGCAATAATTTGGTCACTCAATCCACGACTATTTGAGGGACGAACAGGAGGTCGGAGACGGCTGAGCGGAGGCAGCGGGTGGTGGGGTGGGGGTAAGCATTGTTGGAGCAATAGGGAGGTGCGAAGGCTTGAAAAAGATTTGAAAACGAGTGAGAGGATCTTGAAGTGGATCTGTTCGGTAGTTGGGAGCCACTGCAGCCTGGCAACGACTTGCGTGATGGGGGTCCAGAGTTTGGTGCGGATTAGTATCCGGATGGCGGAGTTCTGAATTAAATGAGGTATGCGCGGGAAACAAGTTTTGACCGGATAGCCAGTAACTGTGGTAGAGACTTAAGAGTTATGCAATTGTTAATAATATTATTAGATGATTATAATAATTTTATTATTATTATCATCACATTTTCAAGACGTCTTCACAGAATATACTGTAAAGTGAATTGACTGTATAATTCGCGGTAGCTAATTGTTCATAGCAGTGTCCTACAAACAGTCGTGGATTGAAATGACCGTATTTTATGTTTTTTTAAGGAATTATTATCTCCAGAAAAGCGATCCGCCAATCGACTAACAACCGTTTCCTACTTACTGCTAGGTAAACAGAGAGAAGTGTGTGGAGTATGGAAACTTGCCCAAAATTTAGCCCTGCCGGGAATCGAACCCAGGTCGAGGCGAGTTCTCTAACCACTGAGCTACAGGACTCCAGCTGTACGACTGGTGCAGATAAATTTATGTGGATTTAATAGGAAATTCGATGGGACTTGGGCAGATAGATGACTTGTACGATTTAATGGATCAGACTTTTGTGAGGTTTACATTATAATTAGGGCTCAGGGGATAGTTAAGAGCTTAGCCACTGGATGCATAACCGGGGGGCCCTGCTGATTCTTTCCCTGTGAGCTTTGTGTTACCACAATAATGTTATTATCACTAAAAAATAAGCACTTTATTATTCAAGCAGTTTTAAATGAGGAAAGCAAGGAGTTGGACACCGTGTTTCGAGAACAGAAGAAAAAGAAGAAAATTCAGGAAATAGGTAAGTAATAATAATCCTCGCATTTGATATAGCGCTTTTCATGTCTTCGAGACGTCTCAAAGCGCTTCACAGAATATACTGAAAAGTGAATTGACCGTATATTTGTGGGCGAAACGCGGCAGCGAATTGCGCACAGCAGCGTCCCACAAACAGTCGTGGATTGAAAATGACCAATTTATTATTGTTTTTTGTTTTGGAGGGATTATTATTAAGTACCTTTTTGGGGGAAAAATGTACTTTACTCACCAATAAGTGTGCTTTACTGGAGACGCTGAACTACTTCCCACTCCTCATGGGTGCCAGGCACTCTCCAGTAACAGTAATAATAATCCTTGTCTGCCTTATTATGTCATTGAGAGGTCTCAAAGCGCTTCACAGGATACGCTGTAAAGTGTAGTGACTGTATGTTGTGAGATGCAACCTCGTATGAAGAGTGGGATGTAAATACAAGTCGTTGCAGTGACAGGGCTTTGCTTGTGTCTCCTCTGTGCCAGTTCAGTCTCCAGCGATGCCTTGCTGATCCTTCCCTTCCCCTCCAGGATATGCTCATTCCATTGATCTTGAAAGATTGAGTGATCCCATCATTATTTTGACCCCAATCTGTTGGCCCTCCTCTCCACATTGATAGCTGCACTTTCAGCCACTGCGTCACAAAACTCTGGAACTCTGTTCCTCCATCCCTCCACCTTGGCCCATCCTTCCCCACCTTCAGGTCGTACCTTCCTTTTTGACCTTGTTTACACTCGCCTTCCCCTGGCTTGGAGTTATGCTCTGCTGCTGTCGAGTGCTCTGGAGCGCTACCTTGTGTGAGGGGCCTCTATATAGCGGCAAGTTGCTGTGTTTGTGCCGCACACCCATTGTTGATACTAACCTGTTCCTGTGACAGCCTCCTGGTGTCTGTATATGCGGAACCTGAACTCTAAGAAGACGTCAAATACACTGAAGACACGTATCGGGCTTTTTCTATCCAAGAGACAGCTGCCTTTCCAGACGGTCACAGTGGATCCTTCCAGGTATATTTCACATTCTTCCTGATGCAGGGTTACCCAAGGCTATTCTTTGAGTTACAAACTGTGTCATCGTTTGTTTGGGGGTTTTTCAATACTTGTTGAAGACAAATGATTGTACTTTTATTTTTAAAATATCCCTCGCCAATTTCTCCTCAAGGCATTTGACTACTTTATCCCTGTAGCATATTGGTTAGTGCGCTTGCCTTGCAAGCGAGAGGACCTGGGTTTGATTCCTTACCCTTTCGCAGGGCGATACCTTAGGCAAATTTCCTTACTCCAAATACACAGTGCCTTTGTTTATGGGGCAGAAGTAGGAGGAACGTTGTTAGTCGATTGGCGAATTGTTTGTCCGGGGTTAATAGTCCCTTCAAAAAAATAAATAATAACAATTAGGTCACTCAATCTACAACTGTGTTGGGTCACCGCAGTTTGCAAATTGGGTGCTGCGTTTCATCCACAAAAATTCAGCATTAACTATTTTGACAGTTAAATACTGACTCATGAACGTGTGCTATTTTGTTTTTCAGACGCTCTGCCTGTGTAGACCTGTCCTCTGAGGATGACCTGAATAAGGTGCTGGAGTTTGATGGCTTTAAGATCTTGGGGAGAATTGTCAGATTCAGCAAAGTGGAGAAACTTGGCGAATTGGACCAAGGTAATTGCTGTGCTCATTTGGCTGCAGCCCACAAAAATACAGTCAATTCACTTTACAATATATTCTGTGAAGCGCTTTGAGACACCTCGAACACTTGATAAGGCGCTGTATCAAATGCAAGGATTATTATTAATAATTTGAATGTGCTGTGTCTACTGTGTGTGAGTACAGCTAGTCTCTGGTAATGAACCATTCAGAAAGATTATTTTATTCCCTCAGTTCCTTTTGCTTAGAATATGTGTGGCGATCAGAGGAGGCAACATTATCTCTCACGTGTTGCTTTAATTGTCTATTTGCTTTGCAGAAAAAGACGCCAGGATACTCTACATCAAAAATTTTTCCGCTACGTGTTCCCCAAAGGACCTGAAGAATTTATTTACGAATGCCATTAATGTTAAGATAAAAACCCATCCCAAAAAGAGCAATAGGTATGTCTCTGCGGTCTTGCTTTCCAGCGATATTTTGTATTTAATGTGATTTCAAAGAGGAGGGAGGAGGAGAAGAGAACCTGTTCTCTTATTCTCTTTTTCTTTGACCGAGCCTTCGGCTCCCCTCTCGACTCTCTACCCCCTCCTCGCTCCCTCCCTTCCCTCCCCTCACCATTTCCCCCCATGCTCGGGTCCTGACCCAACTGTACAGCGCCTTGGGACGTCCTCCCTACGTGAAAGGCGCTCTATAAATGGAATCTTGTTGTTATTATTCAGTTATAAATTCAGTATATATTGAATATTCACTTTCTTTGGCAGGTTTGCATTTGTTAAATTCAAAACCGTGAAAGATGCAAAGCAGGCCTTCCGGAAAATTGGGAAGGAGGGGAAAGGCAAAAATATAGAAATAAAGCGGATCTTCACCCCAGTTCTTCACAAAGTCTGCAGCCAGAACCCAGCAAAGAAACTCCACACACAGGATGAAGCATCCAGCCAGCCCCTAGCAAAGAGAAAGTACACACAGGCTGAAGACAAGGGTAGGACTTATGGTTATTTATTAGCATTCCTGGGGATTATTAGCATTACTGGGGAATATCTGAGCCTCCAATTGGCGCCCAGGGCTGCCTTGGCACTTCCATTTTTTCCAGGATCTTTCTGTAAATCATGTGCTGTCCTTTTCCAGGATTTTCTGGGGGTCCAAAGATAGGAGGAAATGAGAAAAGCGAGGAATCGGACTCTGTGCTTAGAGGAAAGAGGAAAATTCAGGAATTGGGTAGGTAGCTTTTTTTAAATAAAAAAAGTACTTTTCATGATTTGGTTTTATTAACCATTATTTTGTCACCAAAGATATAAGCTTCTCATTGGTGCTGTGACTGGAGAGGGTGCATAGCCAGCCTCAGCCACTGGGCAGAGAAAGCAGTGTATACCCAGAGCTTAACTAAGATTCAACCACTGGGAGTGCTTAACTGAGAAGCTCTGAACTCACTCTCACTCTTCACGGGCATCAGGCACCCTCCAATAATGCCCTCCATTCAGTGGCCCCGTGTATACTACATGCTGAGTATTACAGCATATTTCACAGCCTTGCTCCTTCCTACCTCTGTGACCTGCAAACTCCAACCTGTCCACTCCCTCCGCTCAGCAGGCTCCTGCTTGCTCCACGTTCCCCACCTGGCCCACTCCACCATCGACGGTCAGGCTTTCAACAACAACAACAACAACAGCAAGATTCCATTTATAAAGCGCCTTTCACGTCAGGAGGACGTCCCAAGGCGCTGCACAGTTGGGTCATGACCCGAGCAGGGGGAAAATGGTCAGGGTGAGGGGAGGAAGGGAGCGGAGCGAGGAAGGGGGAAATGGTCAGGGTGAGGGGAGGGAGGGAGCGAGGAGGGGGCGAGGAGGGGGGAAATGGTCAGGGTGAGGGAAGGGAGGGAGCAAGGAGGGGGAAATGGTCAGGGTGAGGGGAGGGAAGGGAGGGAGCGAGGAGGGGGAAGAGAGTCGAGAGGGAGCTGAAGGCACGGTCAAAGAGAAAGGTTTTGAGACCGGCCTTGAAGGAGGAAAGGGAGGAAGCGGCGAAGGCACTGGGGGATGGAGTTCCAGAGCCTGGGGGCTGAGAGGCTGAAGGCCCGACCACCGATGGTAGGGCGGTTGGGGCGGGGGACGTGGAGCAGACCAGAGCCAGAGGAACGGAGGGTACGGGCAGGTAGGTAGGGGATAGTAGGTTGGAGAGGTAGGAGGGAGCGAGGCCGTGAATGGCCTTGGAGGTGAGGATGAGGATCTTGAAATCAATCCTCTGGGGGATGGGGAGCCAGTGGAGGCGAGCGAGGGTGGGAGTGATGTGGTTGCGAAGCCTGGTGCGGGACAGTACACGAGCTGCAGAGTTCTGAATGACCTGCAGTGTGGAGGGAGGGCCGGGAAGGCCGACGAGGAGAGAGTTCCCATAGTCCAGCCTTGAGGTGACAAAGGCGTGGACCAGGGTTTCAGCCTCTCTGCCTCCACCCTCTGGAACCCCATCCCACGGTTCCTCCACCTTGCCCTCTCCCTTGCCTCCTTCAAGGCACATCTGATACCCTCCTCTTCGACCGCGCCTTTGCCGCCCTCCTATCCCCACCATCCCTGCCCTCCTGAACCCAACCCCCAACTCGGGTCTAAATATCTAACTGTCCAGCGCCTGACGTGAAAGGCACTGCATAAATGTCATGTGTTTTGTCATAGAGGGAAACTATTCACAATGTCTTCAGTGAGATGCTACTTCGTGTGAAGGGCGCTATGTAAATATAAGTGGTTGTATTGATTGGGCTTTGTTTGTGCCAGTTCAATCTCCAGCGAAGTCCAACATCTTGCATTGATATAGCACTCTACAAGATCCTTTCCCTATAAGCTTTCTGTTACCAAAAAAAAGTGGTCACTTAATCCACCCCTGTTTGTGAGACACTTGTGCTCAATTGGCTGCTGCGATTTGCCCACAAGACACGCAGTCAATTCAATTTACAGTATATTTGTGAAGCGCTTTGAGACTTCTCGAAGATAAGACGTGATAAGGTGCAATATCAAATGCAAATATTATAATTATAATGTCATTATTACTAAAAAACAAACTTTTTATTACTCAAGTGGTTTTAAGTGAGAATAGCAAAGAGTCGGACACTGTGTTTCGAGAAAAGAAAAAGAAGAAAATTCAGGAAATAGGTAGGTAGCTTCTTTTTAAAAAAAAAGTACTTTTCATGATTTGGTTTTATTAACCATTATTTTGTCACCAAAGATATAAGCTTCTCATTGGTGCTGTGACTGGAGAGGGTGCATAGCCAGCCTCAGCCACTGGGCAGAGAAAGCAGTGTATACCCAGAGCTTAACTAAGATTCAACCACTGGGAGTGCTTAACTGAGAAGCTCTGAACTCACTCTCACTCTTCACGGGCATCAGGCACCCTCCAATAATGCCCTCCATTCAGTGGCCCCGTGTATACTACATGCTGAGTATTACAGCATATTTCACAGCCTTGCTCCTTCCTACCTCTGTGACCTGCAAACTCCAACCTGTCCACTCCCTCCGCTCAGCAGGCTCCTGCTTGCTCCACGTTCCCCACCTGGCCCACTCCACCATCGACGGTCAGGCTTTCAGCCTCTCTGCCTCTACCCTCGGGAACCCCATCCCACGGTTCCTCCACCTTGCCCTCTCCCTTGCCTCCTTCAAGGCACGTCTGAGACCCTCCTCTTCGACCGCGCCTTTGCCGCCCTCCTATCCCCACCATCCCTGCCCTCCTGAACCCAACCCCCAACTCGGGTCTAAATATCTAACTATCCAGCGCCTGACGTGAAAGGCGCTGCGTAAATGTCATGTGTTTTGTCATAGAGGGAAACTATTCGCAATGTCTTCAGTGAGATGCTACTTCGTGTGAAGGGCGCTATGTAAATATAAGTGGTTGTATTGATTGGGCTTTGTTTGTGCCAGTTCAATCTCCAGAGAAGTCCAACATCTTGCATTGATATAGCGCCCTACAAGATCCTTTCCCTATAAGCTTTCTGTTACCAAAAAAAATGTGGTCACTTAATCCACCCCTGTTTGTGAGACACTTGTGCTCAATTGGCTGCTGCGATTTGCCCACAAGACACGCAGTCAATTCAATTTACAGTATATTTGTGAAGCGCTTTGAGACTTCTCGAAGATAAGACGTGATAAGGTGCAATATCAAATGCAAATATTATAATTATAATGTCATTATTACTAAAAAACAAACTTTTTATTACTCAAGTGGTTTTAAGTGAGAATAGCAAAGAGTCGGACACTGTGTTTCGAGAAAAGAAAAAGAAGAAAATTCAGGAAATAGGTAGGTAGCTTCTTTTTTAAAAAAAAAGTACTTTTCATGATTTGGTTTTATTAACCATTATTTTGTCACCAAAGATATAAGCTCCTCATTGGTGCTGTGACTGGAGAGGGTGCATAGCCAGCCTCAGCCACTGGGCAGAGAAAGCAGTGTATACCCAGAGCTTAACTAAGATTCAACCACTGGGAGTGCTTAACTGAGAAGCTCTGAACTCACTCTCACTCTTCACGGGCATCAGGCACCCTCCAATAATGCCCTCCATTCAGTGGCCCCGTGTATACTACATGCTGAGTATTACAGCATACTTCACAGCCTTGCTCCTTCCTACCTCTGTGACCTGCAAACTCCAACCTGTCCACTCCCTCCGCTCAGCAGGCTCCTGCTTGCTCCACGTTCCCCACCTGGCCCACTCCACCATCGACGGTCAGGCTTTCAGCCTCTCTGCCTCTACCCTCGGGAACCCCATCCCACGGTTCCTCCACCTTGCCCTCTCCCTTGCCTCCTTCAAGGCACGTCTGAGACCCTCCTCTTCGACCGCGCCTTTGCCGCCCTCCTATCCCCACCATCCCTGCCCTCCTGAACCCAACCCCCAACTCGGGTCTAAATATCTAACTATCCAGCGCCTGACGTGAAAGGCGCTGCGTAAATGTCATGTGTTTTGTCATAGAGGGAAACTATTCGCAATGTCTTCAGTGAGATGCTACTTCGTGTGAAGGGCGCTATGTAAATATAAGTGGTTGTATTGATTGGGCTTTGTTTGTGCCAGTTCAATCTCCAGCGAAGTCCAACATCTTGCATTGATATAGCGCCCTACAAGATCCTTTCCCTATAAGCTTTCTGTTACCAAAAAAANTGTGGTCACTTAATCCACCCCTGTTTATGAGACACTTGTGCTCAATTGGCTGCTGCGATTTGCCCACAAGACACGCAGTCAATTCAATTTACAGTATATTTGTGAAGCGCTTTGAGACTTCTCGAAGATAAGACGTGATAAGGTGCAATATCAAATGCAAATATTATAATTATAATGTCATTATTACTAAAAAACATAAACTTTTTATTACTCAAGTGGTTTTAAGTGAGAATAGCAAAGAGTCGGACACTGTGTTTCGAGAAAAGAAAAAGAAGAAAATTCAGGAAATGGGTAAGTAGCTTTTTTTAAAAAATAAGCAGACTGTTGCAGAGAGAAACTGTTCACAGTGTCTTCAGCAAAATGCTAACCATATTGAGGGAGCTATATAAACAACAACTTGCACAGTTAAACAGTGCCCTTCAGGCTGGGTAGCGTCCCAGAGCGCTTGACAGTGGTAGAGCACAACGCTGGGGAGAGTGGGGAGGTGACCGTAGGCATAATCGAAGAGGAAGTTCTTCAGGCATGATCTGAAGATGGAGAAGGCGGAGGGATAGAGGAAGAGTGTGGTGCAGTGGTTGAAAGCACGATCATCAATGGTGGAACGGAGGCCACGAGGGACATGTAGGAGCCTGGAGCCAGTCGAGCAGAGGCAGTGGGTTGGGGATAAGCAGGTCGGAGAGGTAGGGAGGTGCCAGGGCATAGACTTGTAAGAAAAATAGAAGCCCACGGGACAGTGGCAGCAAGGATACAGAACTGACTGTGAGACAGAAAGCAGAGAGTGGTGGTGAACGGTTGTTTTACTGACTGGAGGGCAGTGTGCAGTGGTGTCCCCCAGGGATCGGTATTGGGACCACTGCTGTTTTTGATCTATATAAATGACCTGGACGTGGGTATAGAGAGTATAATTTCCAAGTTTGCAGATGATGCTAAGCTGGAAAAGTAGTAAACTAGAGGATGATAGTAGCAGACTGCAAAAGGACATAGACAGACTGGTAAAATGGGCAGACATGCGGCAGATGAAGTTTAATGTGGAGAAATGCAGAGTGATTCATTTTGGGAGGAAGAATGAAGAGAGGCACTATAAGCTGATGTTAAAGGGGGTGAAGTAACATACACCTAGGATTCATATAAATAAATCTTTCAAGTAGGCCGGACAGGTAGATAAAGCTGTTTTTTTTAAAAAAGCATACGGGATACTAGGCTTTATAAACAGGGGCATAGAATACAAAAGTCAGGAACTTATGATGAACCTTTATATAAAGCACTGTTTAGGCCTCAGCGAGAGGCTGTGTTCAGTTCTGGGCACAATATTTTAGGAAGGATGTCAAGGCATTGGAGAGGGTGCAAAGGAGATTGACCAGGATGAAACCAGGAATGAGGGACTTCAGTTATCAGGAGAGGCGAGAGACGATAGGATTATTTTTCTCTTTGACCGTGCCTTCAGCTCCCCTCTCGACTCTCTAACCCTCCTCGCGCCCTCCTTTCCCTCCCCCTGACCATTTCCCCCTTGCTCGGGTGCTGACCTAACTGTACAGCGCCTTGGGACGTCCTCCTGACGTGAAAGGCGCTCAATAAATGGAATCTTGTTGTTGTATTCTCCTTGGAGCAAGGAAAGTTAAGAGGAGACTTAAAAGTTTTCAAAACTATGAGGGGATTCGATAGGATGAAGATAGAGAAACTATTTCCACTTGTGGTGGGTCGGTAACCGAGGACACCAATTTAAAATAGTTGTTAAAAGAAACAAGTGAGATGAGGAAATTGTTTTTTGCACAGTGAGTTGTTGGGATCTGGAATGCAATGCCTGAAAGGCTGGTGGAAGCCGATTCGATAACATCTCTTAAGAGAGAAGTAAACTATTTTGGGAAGACAAGTTTGCAGGGCAATGGGGAGAGCGCGGGAGAATGTGATTGATTTGGACAGGTCTTTTCAAAGAGCTGGTACGGAGATGATGGGCCGAATGGCCTCCTTCTGTGCTGTATGATTCTATGAAGGGATTCGAAATACAAATATATTATAAAGATTGACTGCGCATTGCCTGTGTCCCCTCTGTGCTAATTAATTCTCCAGCGATGCACTGCTGATCCTTCCCTTTACTTCCCCTCCAGGATATGCTCATTTTATTGATCTTGGAGTCCTGTAGCTTAATGGTTAAAGCACTCACCTCATGAACGAGAGGACCTGGGTTTGATTCCCGGGTGGGTCAGGATGAAATGTTGGGCAAGTTTCCTTATTCCGCACACAAGAAACATGGTTGTTAGTCGATTGGTGGATCGCTTTTCCAGGGTTAATAATCCCTTCATTCAATAAATAAATAATTTGGTCACTAATCCACGACTGCTGCCTTTCGCCTACAAAATACATTCAATTCACTTTACAGTATATTCTTGTGAAGCGCTTTGAGATATCTCGAAGACGTGATAAGGCGCTATATTAAAAGCAAGAATTATTATTATAACTTGTCCTGTGTGTTTGTGCTTCACACCCATTGTTGATACTAAGCTGTTCCTGTGACAGCCTCCTGTTGTCTGTACGTGCGGAATCTGAACTTAAGGAAAACGTCAAAAGAACTGGAGGAGGCCATTGGGAATTTTCTGTCCAGTAAAAAGCTACCATTCAACACGGTCACAGTAAATCCTTCCAGGTATATTTCATATTCTTCCCGTTTCAGGGTTTCCCAAGGCTGTGTCAGTGTTTTGGGGTTTTCGATATTTGTTCATTGCAAATAAAATGTGCCTCGACTTTCTCCTCCTCAAGGCTTTTGACTACTTTTTCCCTTCTAGGAACACGGAAACAGGAGTAGATCATTCAGCCCTGCAAGCCTGTTCCGCCATTCTGTCAGATCATGGCTGATTTGTACCTCGACTCCAATTATCTGCCATGTCCATATCCCTTGATACCCCGACCTTATAAAAAAAAATCTCTCTACCTCAGTCTTGAAAATTTTAATGGATCCAGTCATAATCCCCAACCTTTTGGGGGAGAGAGAGAGTTCCAGACTTCCTACCGTTGTGTTAGTGACACGCTGCTCTGCTTCTGATACCTTGCTCCAGTGCCCATCCAGTGCGGCTTTCACAGTGAATATCAGCAAACTATTCAACTGTTAAATACCTCATTGCAGACCCAGGTGCTGCTGACACCTGAAGCCCATTCACATGCACTTTCCAGCAGTGGGTATCTCGGCCACAATCAGGAGTGGAACCTTAGCTGAATTTCTCCTTCTTAAGGTTATTAGCAAAAATAAAAGCGCGTGGAATCGGAGATAACCTTGCACTGTGGCTTGGTAATTGGTTGGGCGGCAGGAAACGGAGAGTAGGGATAGGGGGAACATTCTCTGATTGGTGGTCCGTGACAAGTGGTGGGGCCTCAGCTTTTCACCATATATAAATGACTTAGATGAAGGAATAGAGAATTTTATATTGAAATTTGCAGATGCAAAGTTAGCAGTAAGTTGTGCAGATAGGAGCAGGAAGATACAAAGGGACTCAGACAGATTAAGGGAATGGGTAAAATTGTCAGATGGAATTCAATGTGGGGAAGTGTGAGGTCATCCAAAAATAGCAGAACAATATTTTCTAAATGTGGAGAAACTAAGAATTGTGGAGGAGCAAAGGATGTCCACATACACAAATCACTAAAAGCAAGCCCACAGGCGTAAAAAGTTATCAAAAAGGCTAATGAAATGTTGGCCTTTATCTCAGGGGACTGGAATATAAAGGAGAGGAAATGTTGCTTCAGCTATATTGAGCCTTGGTCAGACCCCATCTGGAGACTGCATTCACTTTTGGGCACCACAAGCATAATGGATCTGGAGTGGGTGCAGCACAGATTCACCAGAATGACACCAACTCTTAAAGGGTTACATTATGAGCGCAGGTTGCATAAACGTGGTCTCTATTCCCTTAAGTTTAGAAGGTTGAGGCGTGATCTGATTAAGGTTTTTAAAATAATAAAGGAATTTGATAGGATGGATACATATTTCCCCTGGTGGGGAACCCAGAACCACAGGGCATAATCTTAACATTAGAGCCAGGCCATTTAGGAGTGGAATCAGGAGGCAGTTTTTCACTGGAAATGTGGAACTCTTCCCCCCAAAAGACTGTGGAACCATTCACATTTGCGAGACGGAGGTAGATAAATATTTGTTAGGTCAGGGTGTTAAGGGATATGGGACAAAGGCGGGTCACTGGACTTGAGCTATAGATCAGCCATAATCTTATAAAATGGTGGAACAGGCTCGAGGGGCTGAATAACCTACTATTATTATTATAACCTACTCCTGCTTCTATGTCTATAAATCTATGTATCCAGGATCTCTGAAGTCCTGTAGTGTAGTGATTAGATGATTAGACGCCTCGCAAGCGAGAGGACCTGGGTTCGATTCCCAGGTGGGTCCGGGGGAAACCATGGGCAAGTTTCCTTACTCCTCACAGGATGCCTCTGTTTACCTAGCAGTAAGTAGGAACCCAGTTGTTATTCGATCGCCGTGTGCACTCCCATAATAGTAATAATCCTTCATTACATATAGTGCCTGATCACGTCATTGAGACGTCTCAAAGCCCTTCACAGGATCCACGATTCTACATGACTCTTGACCATGTGCCATTTTGTTTCTCAGACGCTCTGCCTGTGTGGACCTGCCCAGTGAGGATGACCTGATTAAGGCGCTGGAGTTTGATGGTTTTAAGATTCTTAAGAGTATTGCCAGATTCAGCAAAGTGGAGAAGCTTGGAGAATTGGACCAAGGTAATTGGAGTGTGCTGTGTTTGCATACAGATAATAATAATAATAATAATAATCCTTGCATTTTTGATATAGCACTTTTCACGTCTTCTAGACATCCCAAAGCGCTTCACAGAATATACTGTAAAGTGAATTGACTGTATATTTGTGGGCGAACGCAGCAGCCAATTGCGCACAACAATGTCCCACAAACAGTCGTGGATTGAAAATGACCAATTTATTATTGTTTTTGGAGGGATTATTATTAGGCTCTGTGTGGAGTAAGGAAACTTGCCCAAGGTTTCGCCCTCTGCCTGGAATTGAACTCAGGTCTCTCACTTGCAAAGCGAGTGCTCTAACCACTGAGCTACTGGTAATGAACCATTCAGAAAAATTGTTTTTTTTCTCTGTTCCTTTTACATAGAACATCAGCGGAGGCAACGTTGTCTCTGACCTCTCAAGTGTTGCTTTGATTGTACTCTCCAGCGCCTTGGGACGTCCTCCCGACGTCAAAGGCTCTATATAAATGTAACGTTTTGTTGTCATTGTAGTTGCCCCAGGGATAACAAATCCTCTGTCCTCTCTTTTGTTCTCCTTTTTGCTGTCTCAGTTCCTCCCATGATTTTCCTTTTACTCCCAGTCTATAGATTGGCTGTATTGAGATTGCATTTGCCTATAGATACAGTCACTACTCTTTACAGTGAAGTGACTGGAGATGTTTCAACAACATGCCAAAGGATTATTATTGAGGGTGAGGGATTTCAGTGCTGGGAGCAGAAATGTTTTCTATTTCTGTCACCCATTGTCAAGCACTCAGGTTAGATGCTGCTTGGAATCGTTGAAACCTTCCCACTCATTACTGTTATGAGTAAGCGTTCCGAGATGCTGCCCCACGTGAAGTGGAGTCCTGTAGGCTTAGTGGTTAGAGCGCGAGCCTTGCAAGCGAGACCTGGGTTTGATTCCTAGGTAGGCCGAAACTTGGGCAAGTTTCCTTACTCCACACGCCTCTGTTTACCTAGGAGTAAGTAGGAACACGGTTGTTAGACAATTGGCAGATCGCTTTTCTGGGGGTAATAATTCCTTTTTTAAAAAAAATAATAATTTGGGTCAATCAGTCCACAACTATTTGTGGGACACTGCTGTGCACAATTGGCTGCCAGTTTTCGCCCATACATATACATTCACAACACTTTAAAGTACATCCTGTGAAGCACTTTGAGACGTCTCAAAGAAATGATATGGCGCTATATCAAATGCAAGGATTATTAAGGGTACTGTATAAATACAAGTTGTTATAATAGTGAGTAATGAGGTGAAGGTAAAATACAATGGCACTGAGGATTGCCATTGGGATAAATTAATGATCTGCAACTTATCCTGAGTCAATTTGCTTTGTAGAAGACGACTCCAGGATATTACACGTCAGGAATTTTCCCGCTACACTCAGCCCAAAGGACCTGCAGAATGTATTTACCAATGCCATTGACGTTCAGATAAAAACCCATCCCAAAAAGAGCAAAAGGTATGTCTCTTGTATTTACTGTGATCTCAAAAGGGGTGGGGGGGGAAGAAGAGATAATTTTCAAAACAATGACAGAAATGTGAACTTGGACAGTAAATTGTGGAGTTGTAGTGTATTGATCAGAGCACTCACAAGCGAGAGGACCTGGGTTTGATACCCGAGCGGGTCAGCGCGAAACCTTAGGCAAGTTTTCTTACTCCACACACCTCTGTTTACCCAGTAGTAAGTAGGAACCAGGTTGTTAGTTGATTGTCAGATCGCTTTTCTGGCAGTAATAATCCCTTCAAAAATATATATCTTTTAAAATGTCGCTCAATCCACGATTGTTTGTGGGACAATACTGTGCGCAATTGGATGCCGTGTTTTTCCCACGATATATACAATAAATGTAATTCACTTTACAATATATTCTGTGAAGCACCTTTGAGACAACAAATGTAATTTGTTATTGTTGTCTCGAAGACGTGATAAGACGCTATTATCAAATGCAAGGATTATTATTAGTAGTATTAAATCAATCAGTATGTGTTCTAAATCTGAAGTATATACCCATCCTTTCTGATTGGAAGTTCACAATATATTGAAAAGCAATATTTTCTTCGGCAGGTTTGCATTTGTTCGATTCAAAACCAGGAAAGATGCTGATAGGGCATTTCGGAGAGATGAGATGGAGATGGAAGGCAATATAATAAAAATAGAGAGGACCTTCTGGAAAGACTCTGAAGAGTGTTCGGGAAAGAAAATCCACACCCATGCTGAGGACTCCACCCAGATCCCAGCCAAGGGTAGGACTGATGATTGTTATTATTACTGAGGATTATTATCATTGCTGGGAATGATAATTCCAAATTGTGGGCTGACCTGTGTTGTGTTATTAATTACAGATTAGGCTGTGGTCTAAACAGATCTCTCTTAGAATAATAATAATTGCACTAAACTCTGTTTTCCCCCCCGACCATCAAACCAGTCCTCGCCAGGCTCCACTGGCTCCCTATCACCGAACAGGATCCTCACACTTGTTTTCAAATCCCTTCATGCCCTGGCACCTCCCTACCTCACCGACCTGCTTACTCCCCAACCCTGGCTGCCTCCGGCCTCCTGCTTGTCCCTCGTGTCCTCCATTCCAGCATCGGTGGCCACGCTTTCAGCCACTATGCCTCGAAACTTTGGAATACATTTCCTCTATTCCTCCGCCTTGCCCCTCTTCTATAGCTTCAGGTTACGCCCCCTGGCTTGGTGTCGTGCTCCACCACTGTCAAGCGCTCTGGCTTGCTACCCTATATTAAGGGGCGCTGTGTAAATGCAAATTGTTGTTCTGCATGATGAGCTAAATAGTCACTTGTGTTGTGAATGTTTACAGCTCTAAAGGTACAGATTGCCTGCAAAGAATTAAACAGTTCCATTCTGTTTTCTTTGCTTGCATTTTATGAAGAAGTAAAGAGTTTAAATGGTTTCTTTTACAGTTACGAATCCCACTAACAGCCTGTTTATACGTGGACTAAGACATAAAACCAAGATTGAGACTCTGATGTCTATCTTTGAAGGGGCAGTGAGTGCCATGATACCAAGAGGTGATCAGGCAGTACAGTAAGGAATCGCTACTTATCTTTTCCTTGCGCTGTGTGAATGAGCATCCAGACAGACTCCATCTGCCCTTTGTTACTGCCTACATACAGCATATTGTGCACATTCAGTATATTCTGTGAAGATCCTCGTCTTCCAAGGCGTCTTCGGTCACCCTCCTACTCCCACCCTTCCCGCCTCCATCCCTCCTGATCCCAACCCCCAGCTCGGGTCCAAATCCCTGACTGTCCAGTGCCTTGGGCTATTCTCCCGACATGAAAGGCGCTGTGTAAATGTCATTTAATGTTGTTGTCGTTCTCTCTTCGTCTCTTGGAGGGATTCGGTTCCATTTTCCTCCTACTCTGCTACTCCTCCCACTGCATCATTCATATATGAGCATAACGTTGGCTGTCAGGAGAACATCTCATGGGATCAAAGAACGTCACAGCACATTCTGCCCATCGTGTCTGTGCCTGCTCTTTGAAAGAGCTAACCAGTCAGTGCCCTGAACTTACCCTGTAGCCCTGCACATTTTTTTTCCTTTTCAAGTACCTATCCAATTCCCTTTTGAAAGCTATTATCGAATCTGCTTCCACTACCCTTTCATGTAGCACATTCCAGACTGTAACAACTCTGTATTTTAAAAAAAAGTCTCCTCGGTCTTTTGCCAATTTTTTTAAAACTGTGTCCTCTGGTTACTGACGCACCCGCCAGAGGGAAGTGTTTCTCCCTATCTACTCTATCCAAACCCCTCATCATTTTGAACACCTATTAAATATCCCATCAACTTTCGGCATAGTTTGGAGGTGAGGGAATCAGGACGTAGCACTTGGAAATGGAAACTTTGTGCTGCCTTTTCTGCTCTCAGAGATGTTAACTGTTGGATCTAACTATTTTCCAGGTTTGGGTTTGTTCACTTTGAGACGGCAGAAGAGGCAGAGGAAGCCATGACAAAGATGCAGAATAAAAAAATAGATGGCAGAAAGGTGGAGATTTATTTTGCAACATGCCCCCGGGGAAAGGGAGGCAAGCACAGATCATTCAACAGAAATATGGTTGCCAATGGTGCGCAAAGAGTTACTGACGGTAAGCAGTCAGCACAGGGAAGACGATATAATTATGTGATCTGATGTACTCTGTATTACTCACTCCCTCAATCCCTCCACCTCGCCCCCTCCCTCATCCACCTTCAAATCACGTCTAAGGACCTTCCTTTTTATCTCTTGGTTCAGGGTCAGACTCGGCCACTGTCAAGCACTCCAGAACACTCACTACCTCGCATGAAGGGCGCATTGTAAATAATAATAATAATAATCCTTGCATTTGATATAGCGCTTTTCACGTCGGGAGGACGTCCAAAAGCGCTTCAAAGAACACACTGTAAAGTGAATTAACTGTATATTTGTGGGCGAACGCGGCAGCCAATTGCGCACAGCAATGTCCCACAAACAGTCGTAGATTGAAAATGACCAATTTGTTATTGTTTTTGGTTTTGGAGGGATTATTATTAGGCTCTGTGTGGAGTAAGGAAACTTGCCCAAGGTTTCGCCCTTTGCCTGGAATTGAACTCAGGTCTCTCACTTGCAAAGCGAGTGCTCTAACCACTGAGCTACAGGACTCTCGAAATGCAAGTTGTTGTGTGTGTGCGCACTCTTGTGTGTGTATTTGTGCACTCGTGTTAATACACTTGCAGCATATAATAATATTATTATATATAATATATAATATTATATATTATAATAATCCTTGCGTTTGATATAGTGCCTTATCACGACTTTGAGACTCTCAAAGCGCTTCCCAGAAAAAACTGTAAAGTGGAGTAGTAACTGTTTATTTTGTGGGCGAAATGTGGCAGCCAATTGGGCACAGCAGGAATGGAGATATTAATTCTCCCTGAAAGTCATCTGCCAATTGACTAACAAACGTTTTCCTACTTACTGCTAGGTAAATAGAGGCATGTGTGCGTGGAGGAAACTTGCCTAAGGTTTTGCCCTGACCGTATAGGGGTAAAAGGGTCTTTTGTTTGTGAAAAATGATCTTTAACTGTGTGGGAGGTTATAAAAAAAGCATAAGACTTTTAAAAAATATATAAAAAAAACTTACCCTTTTCGTTCTTTGCTCCACACAGAAATTGAACGTGATCAGAAAGAAGACATCCAGTACACAGAAGGCATTTAAGAAGAAATAATTATGAGCTTGAATATCTTTTAAAATCAAACCTTTTAAAAAGGTAATTGCTCCGATTATTTCTTGAAGGTTTTGACTTGAGGGGAAGCACCGTTTCCTGGGTGCCGACTGCCCTGTATCTCAAGCAGTCTGTTTCTTGTAACTCAAGTAGTGAGTGGAGGTATTGGAGGCGATGGGAGTGGGTGAAAGCCCAGCTGAACCCCAAACCTGAACTGACCTGAGCTGCACCTGTGCACTTTACAGAAAAGGTCATTCAATCCAATTAGGGCAGGAATGCTATTGATTATCTTCTCTCCCTCACACAGCCCAGAGATCCCCAAAGCATCCCCAAACAATACAAAGGTCCTGGGCACACAAAACACTGGTGTTTGATGGAGTCCTGTAGCTCAGTGGTTAGAGTACTCGTCTCTCAAGCCAGAGGACCTGGGTTTGATTCCTGGGCTGGACGAAACCTTTGAAACTTTTGCCGGCTCTTTGAAAAGAATTACCCAAATCAATCCCACTCCCCTGCGCTCTCCCCTTGACCCTGCGAACGTGTTCTCCCCAAATAATTATCTACTCTCTTAAAACTTAATGAATCGGCTTCCACCATCCTTTCAGGCATTCCAGATCCCAACAACTCGCTGTGTGAAAACATTTCTCCTCACCTCCCCTCTGTTTCTTATAACAATTATTTTAAATCGGTGCCCTCGGGTTACTGACCCACCCACCAGTAGAAATAGTTTCTCCTTGTTCACCCTATCAAATCCCCTCACTATTTTGAAAACTTCTGTTAAGTCTCCTCAACCTTCTTTTCTCCAAGAAGAATAATCCCAGCTTCTCTCGCCTCTCCTGAGAGCTGAACTCCCTCATTCCTGGTACCATCCTGGTAAATCTCCTTTGCACCCCCCCCCCAATGCCTTCACATGCTTCCTAAAGTATGGTGCCCAGAACTGAACGTAGTCTCTAGCTGAGGCCTAACCAGTGTTTTAGGGGTGTCTGGTATTAGCTCTCAGTGGAATGTCACACCTCGGAAGCCAGGGCAGGAGGGGAAGATGACTAGTGCATGAGAAATGGTTGCTTGAGATGAGGTATAGGAGGCGACTGATGTCCTTCTCAACGCCCTTAGGAGAGGAGTGAGAATTTTTAAAATATTCTTCTGAGGTTCATGAAACTGGAGCATTTGAAATGTTGCAGCTGCAAAACCGACTGTTACTTGTTCCTGTTACTAATCACGTTTTACAGCTCTAACGTCAAATTCTACATGGTGATGGAGCTGGGACTTCAGTTTATAGATTTAGTTTGCTTTATATGTTACGTGGAATGCACATCGAGCAAAGAACATGCAAATCTCCATGTAATAAATTGGTTACCACATTTGGTATTCATTAAGGTTTGGTTTTTGAGTACTGTCTCCCACTTGTCAGGTCTCTTAATGGCTCTGTATGCTGCTCTATTAACAACAACAACAACAACTGGAGGTCACAGTCTGCGATTCAAGGGTTGTAAATTCACAGCAAAAATCTACGGAAACACTATTTCATTGAGCGAGTAGTAAAGTATGAAAAAGACTCCTTAGGGAGACAGATGGTGGAAGAAGAAAGTGTTGTTTATTTGTGTTGAAATGCCGTCAGACAGGAGGCTGGAGCAGAGACCGAGCGGAGACCGAGGCCTAAAGCCGAGGCGCTACCTGGAGCTCTTGCCTCCCGCAGTGGGCACGTCTGCAGTGGGGATCAAGGACAACACTGGCGTGGGGTTCGAAGCCCCCCCCCCCCACCTAACGGCAACCAGATCCAATGCAGGGACCAAGGCTTACCGGCGATGTGCGGAGCCAACGTGGGACCCGTGGCCTCAGCTGTCCCAGGCGCCAACACGGCCATTTCAGAACCCAACGCATCACCAGTCGGCTGACGCGCGACATCACTTCCGCCATCACATTCAAAACTCTGAGCCTGGACTCACGATGACTATCGCACCCTCCTTCGCATTGACCATGCCAGCGGCTGACCATACTACACTGCCCCACTCTTAATCTCAGCGTGCGCATTTTGCCTACCACCACTGACCCGAGTTGTTACTCCGAAAAATGCTCCCACCCATGTTCCCTACCCTTCGCTACTCCTGCTCAACCCATCTCTCAAGGCCCTACCTGCCTCCTTCCCATGCTTGACCGTCCCTCAGCCTCCCTCTGCTCCAGTCTGCAAATACTCCGTCTCACCCACCGTGGCAGATGCTGCTGACCCTCACCCTCCTCTCGGACATATCTTCCCTCTCCCTCTGCTCCTCATCCTAGCGACCTGCACTTCAACCCCTCCTGCTCTATCTCCGCTGACTTTTCCTCTTATCTCCTCCCTCAACCTCTCCCTCCACATCCACTCTGCCACCCGTCCATCGCCACCCGCTTGGCCTGGTGATTACCCAAGACCTCAGCATCTCAGACCTCACCATCACCGACAAAGCCATCTCAGATCATTACTTCATCTCCCTTAACTGCTCAATCCCTCGCCCCATCCCCACCGAACCCACCTGCATCTCCTACCACCCCTGGAAAATAATGTCTCCCCTCCCTCTCCGCTATCTTGGAGTCATCTGAGCTCCTACCCCTCTGGGCTTCCTCGCAATAAACTATCCTTGTCGGTCACTCTTCTCCACAACTCCCTCTCCACCTCTCTCGATGCCCTACCCTTACCCACCCCCACCCCCTCACATCCCGAACTGTCTCCTAGTCACAGAAGTCACCCTGGTACACCAGCCCCCTCTGCTTCTTTAAGGCTCAGGTGCGTGCCGCTGAACGCACCTAGCTCAAATCCAATTTAACAATCCATCCAGCAGATCTGACTGGACCTTATCAAATCTTACCGCTCCGCCCTCGCCTCCGCTAAATCGTCCTTCTACTCCAAGGACAACCCTAGGCTCTTCATCACCAACCAGCTCCTCCGCCCACCCTCTTGCGCCTCACCCATCCTCTCCCAGTGCCAACTGCAAGGAGATGCTGGACTTGCTCAAAACCAAAGTCGAGGGGATCCACTCAACTGCCTCTGTGCTTCCAACCACTACCCCCTCCCCATTTCCCCCTCATACCCTGGCACCCACCCATCTCTCACTCCACACCTTCGAACCTAACCCTCTCTCAATACCACCATAACCCTCATGAAACCGATGACCTGCTCCCTCGACCCCATCCCTACCCCTCTTACCTCCCAGCTCCACCTTCTTGCCTCCCCTGCTCACAGACATCAAAAACCTCTTCCTGTCCACTGGCACTGTTCCCATCCCTCTAAAAACATCTGTCATCACTCCTATCCCTAAAAATTTTCCCTGGGCCCATCCCTTCTCTCAAACTACCGCCCCATCTTCAACCTTGTTTCCAAGGTTCTGGAACAAGCCAGCTTCGCTTCTTCCTCTCCCGCCACTCCCTTCACGAACCCCTCCAATTAGGTTTCCATGCCACCCACAGCACAGAAATGGCTTTGGTCAAAGTGATAAATATCCTTGAATGGTTCAGATCCTACCTCTCTCACCGTCCCCACATTTTGTCCATCTCTGACCAGAGGTCCCTCTGCCTCCTTGTCCTCTGCTGCCTTCGATGCCGTTAACCACTCTATCCTCCTCCACCGACTCTCTTCTCACTTCAACCTTCATGGTTCTGTCCTTGAATGGTTCACATCCTACCTCTCACACTGTCTCCACTTCAGCGCCAAAAACGGCTTCTCCTCTAGCCCCCACACTGTCTCGTGTAGAGTTCCTCAGTGCTCTGTCCTTGGTCCCCTCCTTTTCAATATCTATATGCTGCCTCTTGGTGACATCATCCGCAGACGTTGGGTCAACTTCCACATGTATGCGGATGACGCCCAACTCAACCTCTCTACCTCCACCCTTGACTCCAGGACCCGCTGCTGTGCTGACAGAATGTCTGTCAGACATCAAGTCCTGGACGAGGGAGAAGTTTCTTCAGTTGAATGTCAACCAGACCGAGGTTCTCCTGATTGGATCCCGTCAGTGCCTCCTCACCTCAGGCGTTGACAGCATCACCATCCATCAACACTCCACCTTGTTGAGCCAGTCCAGAACCTTGGGGTCTTGTTTGACCCTCAACTATTCTTTCTACCCCACATCTGAGCAAAGACCTGCTTTGCCTTCCCCCATCTCCGACAATATTGCCTGGCTACGCCACTGTCTCACACCGCGGACCACCGAAGCCCTCATACATTCATTCATAACATAGAGGCTTGACTGCAAACTCCTCCCTCCATAGGCTGTAGATCATCTAGAACTCTGCAGCCCGTGTCCTCTCCTGCACCAGGCTCCGTGACCCTATCACCCCCATCCTCGCCCAACTCCACTGGCTTCCCATCACAGAGGATACAGTTCAAGATCTTCCCTCACCTTCCCTCAGCCTCGCCCCCTCCCTTGCCACCTTCAAGACCCTCCTCTTCGACTGCTTTTGATCACTCTGCTTCACCCCTTGCCCTCCACCCTCCCCGATCCTGACCCCCAGCTCGGGTCCGAAATTCTGACTCCAGTGCCTTCCTCTCGACGTGGAATGAGCTATACACATGTAATTTTGTTGTTGTGCAAAGCCCGCTAAGCCTCGATCACCCTAACTCTGCGACCTCTTAACCCACTACCAACCTGCCCGTTGGATCTGCTTCACGTCCCCCACCATTGGGGGGTGGGCCTTCTGACATTCTGCCCCCACCCTCTGTAACTCCATCTCACAGTCCTTCCGCCTCGCTCCCTCCTTTACCTCTTTCAAGACCTGTCTCAAGACCCTCCTCTTCGCCCGTGCCTTCTCAGTGTCCAGCGCTACCTCACAACACGATGACCGCAGGAAGCCCTGTACCTTTTTTGGGGTTGTGGTTCCTACAGTCAGCATTGTCATTTTCCTGAGAGTGGTGAGCATTTCTTGGGGCGATTTTGCAATTTACTGCCCAGTCACCCTCCTTCCCACCCCCCTGCTCTCCACCCTCTCCGATCCCAACCCCCAGCTAAGTCCAAAAAACTGATTGTCCAGTGCCTTGGGACGTCCTCCCAACATGAACGGTGCTATGGACTCCTGCCTGGGTCTTCTCGCTTGCGAGGCGATCGCTCCAACCACGACACTACAGGGCAGCACTGTTTGATAATAATAATCCTTGTATTTGTTATAGCGCCTTATCACGTCTTTCAAAGTGCTTCACAGAATACACCACAAAGCGAACTGATAGCATATTTTGTGTGCAGTCACCACACGTTAAACAGTCACTGTAAAGTGCTTTGAAATATTTATGTGCTGTATCAAAAAAGCACGTTACAAAAAAAAATGCAAGAACATTTAAAGCGAGGAGGCCTTATCTTCTCTTCTCCCTCCCACTCCTGCTTCCCACCAGTCAGAGACTAGGTCTAGAGGAGGGACTTCCTTGAGTGCCTCTATTATGCAGCAAGGGCGTTTTCCACACTCTGGTTACTGCTAAAGCCTTCAATTGCAACGGGAATTGTGTGTCGCTGGTCAAAGACATATGAAAGCATCCCATGACTCCAAGAACTGTTGTATCTGGCAGCGAGTGGGATGTGACTGGGGCTTGGATGTATATATGCAGTGATACTAACCTTATTTACTGGTACTGACTGACACCTCTTTGGGATTGTGTTTCAGTTTATTCCTGCCTGTTCGGCTGGCTGTATCGGGTTCTGCTCTGCTCTCTGCTCTCGCCTTTCCTCTCCTCTGCCATGTCCAGTGAGACGTCGCCTCTGCTGAACTACAGGCTGTACAATGTGGCAGGTGGCTTCACTGGGGATGGAGTGGCCACTCAAGAGGAGATCTCAGTGTCAAGTGCTACCTCACAACACGATGACCGCAGGAAGCTCTGTACCTTTTTTGGGGTTGTGGTCCCTACGGTCCTCTCCATGTTCAGCATCGTCGTTTTCCTGAGAGTCGGTGAGCATTTCTTGGGGCGATTTTGCAGTTCACTGCGCACAATTGGCTGCCGCATTTTGCCTACAAGACCACACAAGTCACTTCACTTTACAATATTTTCTGCGAAGCGCTTTGAGACGTCTCAAAGACGTGATAAGGCGCTGTATCAAATGCAAGGACTATTATTGTTATTGCAGAGATGAAATGAGAAGAAATGTTATAAGTTTAAACAAAAAAAATCATCTCCCTAACTTTGCTTTCTTTGCCTTTTTTGGTCTAAATGGAAAAAAAAATCTGCTTTTAAAAGAAACTTGTCACAAAGCTTTCCTGTTTAATTTTTTAAAAAAATTGTAATGATAATTTGGTCACTCAATAGATGACTGTCTGTGGGACGCTGCTGTGCGCAATTGGCTGCAGAATTTCACCCGCAAAATGCACAGTCAATTCACTTTACAGTATATTCTGTGAAGCGTTTGGAGACATCTTGAAGATGTGCTAAGGCACTAACTCAAATGCAAGGCTTATTATTATTTAGTGTGGAACAATTAAGGACTACTAATTGGCAATTCACAATATCGAATATCAAGCGAACAATGATGGTCTTTCATTGAATGCAAAAAGAGGCGTTTTGTTTCACACAAAATGTGCATTTTAATGTTAAATCGTTTTTGCGGTTGTGCTTTTAATCTCTCTCTCTGTCTCTCTTTCCCAACCGCAATGTCTGTTCGTTTCCTGTGCTAGCGCACACACACACACACACACGTTGCTTGCTATTTTCCCTTCGTTCCTCAACACAGCCCAGCTGATCTGTCTCTAAACACAAAGCAGGCCTGAAATGACCTCCTTTAAAAAGAGTGGCAAATCTGCAACGTTGCAGAAGACTGGTTTATAGAGCACCATCACAATGTGCTGTGTGTGTAGGCGTTTAAAGGGGGAGGGGAGGTTTTTTTTNGTGTGTTTGTCCAAATAAAATACCCAACACAAAATGCGAGTTAGAATCATTTCATTGTGTGGCATCTGATCCAGACACTGAACTCGGAGATGGGGAGGGATTCTTTAATAGCTCACTTAAGTGCAGCTGGTTCTACCTCTTGTGTGTGCTGAGCAGACGGGCCGTTATAATTGTTCTCCCTGGGAGAGAAAGCTAATATCCTGCTCTTCCTATATAGTCAACTTGGCTCAGTCAGGGCCACTTGCCTCCAGGTTACAAGGTTCTGGGTTCACGTCTCCACTAACAATAATAATCCTTGCATTTGATATAGCACCTTATCACGTCTCAAAGCCCCTCACAGAATATACTGTAAACTGAATTGACTGTATATTTTGTGGGCAAAACACGGCAGCTAATTATGCACAGCGGTGGCCCACAAACGGTCGTAGATTGAGTGACCCAATTATTACTTTGGAGGGATTATTACCCCCAGGAAGCGATCTGCCAATCGACTAACAAGCGGATTCCTACTTAATGCTAGGTAAACATGTGTGTATGTGTGGAGTAAGGAAACTGGCCTACGGTTTTGGCCTGATCCACCTGGGATCTGAAACCGGGTCTTCTTGCTTGTGAGGCGAGGACGCTAACCACTACGCTACCTTGACCTCACAGTTGAGGTCCCAGTATAATAATAATAATCCTTGCATTTGATACAGCGCTTTATCACATCTTCGAGACTCCTCAAAGTGCTTCACAGAATACTGTAACACATAGTGTATTTTGGGGGCGAAACGTGGCAGCCAATTGTGCACAACAGTGTCCCAATTGAGTGACCAAATTATTATTAATTTTTTGAAGGGATTATTACCCCGAAAAGCAATGTCCCTGAAACCTCATTTGATTAGTCACAAATTTGCTGAATATGACCTTTGCATTCTGTGCGAGGAAGTCAGTGTAATTGGCATATCAGGTGGGCTTGTGCTGCATTGATGGATGTGTCCTGGCTGCCTGTTTGATTTTTTGGGGCCAGCCGGGTATCTGACACATGTGGAAATCCATCACCGTGATTAACAACAACAACACATTACGTTTACACAGTGCGTTTCATGTAGGAGAACATCCCAAGGCGCTGGGCAGTCAGGGATACCACACCCGAGCTGGTGGTTAGGATCAGGAGGGGTGGAGTGCAGGGAGGTTAGGGGTAGGAGGGTGATCGTAGGCACAGTGGAAGAAGACAGTCTTAAGGGTCTCCAAACCAAACCTAGAATTCCATGCATCCCACCTCCACATGGAAATCCCAGAGATAGATTGTTGGAATGGAATGCGCTCTCTCTCTCCCTAATCCTCTGGGGGATGGGGAGTCAGTGAAACCGGGTGAGGTTAGTGGTGATAGGTTGTAGCACTTCGGGACGTCCTCCCAACCTGAAAGGTGCTAATGAATGTAATCGGTTGTGTTTACATGGGACAGAATGTATCTATGAAGTGCTTCTAGATGTTTTTGATGGTATCGATGCTATAAAAGTGCAGATGTTCCCTTCGCATGAAGCTATAAAGCTGTCATGATTCCTTTTTACCATGATGTGTGATGGCACCACATTACTGAGTACCCCATAGTCTTAGTAAACTGGAAATTCTGGTTGCTGTCTGTGTTGCTCAGACTTGGTCATCCTACATGTTTTCACCAGTTTTGGGGTCCTGCAGCTCAATAGTTCGAGGCCTCGCAAATGAGAAGACCCAGTTTCGATTCCTGGGCAGGTCAAGCCGAAATGTTAGGCAAGTTTTCCCCACACACACACACACACACACACACACGTAGCAGTAAATTGTTAGTTGGCACTTGATTGCCACTTGTTACTTGATTGGCAGATCACTTTTCCAGAAATAATAATACTTTCAAAAAAAAAATTCGCTAATTATAATTTGGTCACTTCAATCCACGACTGTTTGTGGGGACACCGCTGTGCACAATTTACTGCTGCGTTTCACCCACAAAATATACAGTCTATTCACTTTACAATGTATCCCGTGAAGCGCTTTGAGATGTCTCGAAGACGTGATAAGGCGCTGTATCAAATGCAAGTGTTATTATTATTAAAGGGTGTAAAATTGAGCTGGAGAGTGGGAAAGCACACCATGAATGTGTACGTTAGTTGAAATTACTCACCTTGGTCAAATAGTGTGAGGCCGCAATGAAGGCAAAGCAGGATGTCAGCAATACCGCACAGTATTGCTTATTCAAGTCAGTTTAGAGTTCATGCAGAGGACAGACAGAGGGAGTTCAAGTGGAGTCTTGTCGTGTAGTCGTTGGAGCATTTACCTCGCAAGCAAGAGGACCTGGGTTTGATTCCCAGGCGGGTCAGAGAAAAAGTTTCCTTACTCCACGCGCATGCCTCTGTTCACCTCGCGTTAAGTAGGAAATCGGTTGTTTGTCGATTGGCGGATCACTTTCTGGGGGTAATAAAAAAAATGTGGACACTCACATTACATGAAAATTAATAATAATAACAATAATAATGCGGTCACTCAATCTATGACTGTTTGCGGGACACTGCTGTGTGCAATTGGCTGCTCCGTTTCGCCCACAAAATACAGTCACTACATTTTACAGTGCTATGGAGTGCTTTGAGACGTCTTGACACAATATCAAATGCAAGGATTATCGTTATTATTATTTTGACTGTGTTGTGCAGATGCTGTTGGAGTGTGGGATGTTGACGGCTGCTCTGTGTTCCAGGGTTTGTGGTTGGTCAGGCCGGCTTCCTCCAGTCCATCTTGATGTTGGCGGTGGCGTACGTCATCATCAGCCTGACGGTCCTGTCTGTGTGTGCCATCTCCACCAACGGAGCCGTGAAAGGCGGAGGAGCCTACTGTATCCTTACACTCACCAGCTGTACCCTCCAGCGCTCTGACACTGCACTGCGCATACAACAACCAGTGCGAGATCGACTAGAGAGACAGAGTCTGAGATGGGGAGAGAAACTGAGCGCACACAAGGAGAAGATAGTCAGAGAGAGAGGGACTGAGACAAAGAGAGAGAGGCAGTCAGAGAGAGAGAGGCAGAGAAAGACCGAGAGAGACACACAGAGAGAGAGTCAACAAATGATATTTACACAGTGCCTTTTACGTTAGGAGGATGTCCTAAGGCGCTGGACAGTCAGGAATTTGGACCCGACCTTGGGGTTGGGATCAGGAGGGTTGGAAGGCAGGGAGGGTGGAGGTAGGGTGGGGACAATAATTGGCTTTTTTTCCGCTTCCCATTTCCCTCTTCTCCCCTCTCTTCCCCCACCCTCCACCAAACCCAGTAATGTGACTATTTAGTGGCATTTGCACAGCATGGCACCAATCTCAGCCTGGCTCAGTGGTAGAGCTCTCTCGCCTCTGAGTCATAAGGTTCAAGCCCCTACGTCTGAACTTGGAATTACACAGTCTAAGCTGATTCTCCAATGCAGCGCTGGGGGTGTTACATTGTCAGAGACTCCGTTCTTCGGATGAGACGTTAAACCTCACTCCCCATCTGCCTCTTCAGTTGGAAATTAAAGATCTCCCGTAGTGTTATTCAAAAAGAGAAGGGAGTTATTCTCTCTCTCTCCCGGTGTCTTGGCTGACAATCTCCCAAATAAAATTGGTCGCTCACTCCCCGGCTGTTTGCAAACTGGGGTTGCCGTATTTGAAAACACACAGTTACTTCAGTTTACAGTATATCCTGTGAAGCTCTTTGAGACATCTCGATGATGTAAGAAGGCGCCTTACCAATTGCAAGGATTTTTCTTTCTCTAATCATTCGCTCATATCTCATTTCCTTGACGTTGGCCTCCAGTCATGATCAGCCGGACACTTGGGCCAGAGTTTGGTGGGAGCATTGGGCTAATGTTTTTCCTGGCCAACGTGTGTGCCTGTGCCGTGTATGTGCTGGGACTTGTGGAGGCTGTTCTGGATGTGTTTGGGGAGCTCCCCAATGCAGGTAAGTGCCAGAAGTTGAGTCAGTGTGGATGTCTGATGAACGCATCCTTATGCATGCTTCAGTACATGGAGTCTTATATCTTAGCGTTTAGAGCACTTGCCTCGCAAGCGGGAGGACCCAGGTTCGATTCCCGGGCAGGTCAGGGCGAAAAGTAAGGCAAGTTTCCTTATTTCACACAAAACACACACGCCTCTGTTTACCAGCAGTAAGTAGGAACCCGATTGTTAGACAATTGGTGGATCAGTTTTCCGGGGATAATAATAATTTGGTCACGCAATCCATGACTGTTTGAGGGGACGTCGCTGTGCGCAATTGGCCCCCGTGTTTGCCCGCAAAAAACACAGTCACTACACTTCACAATATATTCTGTGAAGCGCTTTGAGAAGTTTCGAAGATGTGATAAAGCGCTGGATCAAATGCAAGGATTATTGTTATAATTATTTATTACTAGAGTCGACTAAGGCACAAGGGATTCACGTACTGCCTCAGAGCTACCTGTACGATGTGCTGTATGCCTCTAGTATTCTGCTGCTGTGTCTCCTCATTTGCCTGGTGGGAGCCCAGATCTACGCCAAGACCACCTTCCTCATCTTCCTCGTGGTGCACGTGGTGCTGCTCACCATCTTCGCCAGCTTCTTCTCCGTGTCTCCCACCTCCATCCCCATCCTCCACCGCTCCAACAACGCCACCGAGCGCTTCAATGGCAGCTACACCGGCTTCAGCCTGGCAACACTGCGCAATAACCTGGCCGGTAAGCCCATCACCCCAATCCTCGCTGGCTCCACTGGCTCCCTATCATACACACTAAACTCCGCACCCCCATCAGCCCAGCCCTCGCCAGCCTCCATGGCTCTCGACTCTGTGTGTGTGTGTGTGTGTGTGTGTGTGGAGAATAACGGGTCATGGTAAGGTTTCTGTCTGGGAGAGGAGATCTCTGTATCCAGTGACCACTGCTGGAGGGAACATGTCTGGACACCAAGTGAAAACTTAACCTCCAGCAACACGTGGGGTAGCTCCTGTAGTGTTTGACTGTGGCGGAGTCTGACCCCGAGCCATGGGGAGAGGGAGGGGGAGGTGACTGTAAGCACGACCAAAAAGGAAGGTGTTTCGGCAGGATTTGAGTTGGGGAGGGAGGGGGCACGGCCACCGCTGGTGGAGGGAGGGCATGAGATTTGTGATAAGGCGCTGTATCAAATGCAAGCATTATTATTATTAGTAACATTACTGCTCTCTCTGCAGATGACTACTCTGCAGATTACACGACCAATTACATGATGACATTTGCAACGGTTTTCGCGGTGATGTTTAACGGCTGCACCGGGATCATGGCTGGTTCCAACATGTCAGGTAAGTTTAATATCTAATATGCAGGGGAGGGGGAGAGAATCCAGTTCAGTCTTTTGGTCAGGTTAAACCGAGGTCACATCTGCCTCTTTGATGTGGATGTTAAGGATACATTCTAATAATCCTTGCAGTTAATGGAGCATTTAATATAATCCTTGCATTGAAAGGGACCGATTTATTATTATTTTTTTGAAGGAATTATTGCCCCCGGAAAAATGATCCACTAATCGACTAACAACTGGGTTCCTACTTACTGCTAGGTAAACAGAGGCTTGTGGAGTAGTTAACTTGCTCATTTCGCCCTGCCGGGAATCAAACCCAGGTCTCTTGCTTCCGAGGCAAGTGTTCTAACCACTGAGCTATAGGACACCACAATACTCCATAATACAGGACTTTTATTAAATAAAGACTTAATTTCTCTTTGTAGGTGACTTGAAAAATCCCAGTTATTCCATTCCCAAAGGCACAACTATTGCTGTGATCTACACTCTCTTGGTTTACCTGTTGCTGTTCTTCCTGGTGAGCTTCACTTGTGACAGGTGAGTGACAGCCAGCCACACTGGCGCATGGCATCAGCCAAACCCAATCCTCTAGCTAAATCATTTTTCCGTCTCCCTGAAAGTGTCTATCTGTCCCCACCCTCTGGAACTCCATTCCGCAGTCCCTCTGTCTCGCCCCTCCCTTTGCCTCCTTCAAGGGTTGTTTGAAGACACTCCTCTTCAACGGCGCCTTCGTCCACCCTCCCTCCCTGTTCTCCATCCCTCCTGACCCAACTCGGGTCCAAATCCCTGTCTGTCCAGCACCTTGGAAAGTCCTCCTGATGTGAACCCATCATACATAATAATTACGTAATATCCAGCTAGGACCACTTACCGGAAGGGCTTTGGCTGCAGGGTTAACAGGAGCTGAGTGGGATGACTATCTGCCCCCAGTGACTGGTCGGCCATTTCAGGTCCTGCCGATGGGCTGGGCTGTCATCATCAGTGAGTGCCCTGGAATACTGCGGCCCCTCCTGGCTCAGGAACTAGACTAGAGACCGTCAAAGAGAGGGGGGGTGCTCGATCCCCACATTGCCAGGATGTCACCTTGGGACCAGTTCAGCTCCGAGGAGACCGCGCTGACATTGTGACAACACAATCTTTGACTAGGACCCTTCTGAAGGAGGAGTACGGCTTCTTCCGCCTGATCAACGTGTGGCCGCCGTTTGTGGTGACTGGAGTGTACGCAGCCTCGCTGTCCGCCTCCATGAGCACGCTGATCGGAGCCTCGCGGATCCTGCACGCTCTCGCCAAGGATGACCTGTTTGGTAAGCTCCCTCGTTCAGTGAAGGAGAAGTGGAGTCGTATAGTGGTTAGAGTGTTAAAGTTTAGTGAGTGTGGTTAAAGTGTGATCCCAGGGGAGAGAGCTTAGGCAAGTTTCCTTACTCCGCACACACAGGCCGCTGTTTACCTAGCAGTAAGTAGGAACCTGTTTGTTGGCAAATCGCTTTTCCGGTTGTTATAACCTCTAACCCCCCCCAAAAAAAATTGGACATTCAATCCATGATTGTTTGTGGGGACGTCGCTGTGCGTAATAGGCTGCCGTGTTATGTACACAAAATATACAGTCAATTCAATATATCCTGTGAAGAGCGTTGAGCTGCAATAAGGCGCTATGTCAAGTGCAAGGATCCTTTTTATTATTATCTTTCTGTGATATCTGAGCAGGAGTGATATTGGCTCCAGCCAAGCGGACGTCAAAGGGAGGAAATCCCTGGGTGGCTGTGCTATACACCTGGGCCTTGGTTCAGGTAAATTCCTTTTCCCTCCTTTACTCTCCAATCTTCTGTATGTAATCCAAAATGGTGGTGTGTGAGGGAAGCGGGAAAGACATCTATTCTAAAACACAAAGCTGTTTGTTTTCTTTCCTTATAGACAAGGGAAGTCCTGGAGAAGGGAATTTGTGGAGTTCTGTAGCTCAGTGGTTGGAGCACTCACCTTGCAAGTGAGATGTTCGATTCCCGGACAGAGCGAAACGTTGCACAAATTTCCTGATAAGGCGCTGTATCAATTGCAAGGCTTATTATTATTATATACAGTATATAGACACACACACAGACTGAGAGACACACACATACACAGTTGCTGTGTACAGTTTGGGACACAACTTGTCAACCGACTGCCAGGTTGGCGGAAGGGCAACTAGATGGACCTTGATCTTCTTTCGTCCCAGTAAATTCTCACGTTGTTTGTGCCTCTAAGAAGTGACGAGCTCCTGTTCTGTTGCAGGTCGTATTGTTTGCGGGGAGACTGAACACCATCGCCGGGATTGTCACCATTTTCTTCCTGATGGCGTACGCAGCCGTTGACCTGGCCTGTTTGTCTCTGGAATGGGCTTCCGCTCCCAACTTCAGGTACTCCGCCAGCTCCTGTAGCTCAGTGGTTGGAGCACTTGCCTCGAATTCAAGAGAATCCGGGTTCGATACCCGGACAGGTCAGGGCGAAACCGTGGCAAATTTCTTTACTCCACACACACGCATGCCTCTGTTTACCAGCAGTACGTAGGAATCTGCTTCTTAGTCGATTGGTGGATTACTTTTCTGGGGATAATCTCCCATAAAAAANTTATAATAATTTGGTCACTCAATCCATGACTGTTTGTGGGGATGTCACTGTGTGCAATTGGCTGCCAAGTTTTGCCCACAAAGTACACAGTCACTGCACTTTACAGTATATGCTGTGAAGCTCTTTGAGACGTCTCAATGACATAAGGCACTAATCAAATGATAATAATAATAATCCTTGCATTTGATAGAGCGATTTATCACGTCAGCAAGAAGTCTCAAATCGCTTCACAGTGCCTGTGTTTTGTGGGGGAAAACTTATATTTTGTGTGTGAAATGCGATAGCTAGGATTATTATGTTTTTTCTCTCTGTTTTCCTCACAGACCCACGTTCCAGGTGTTTAGCTGGCACACCTGCCTGTTAGGGATTATCGGCTGCCTGGTGATGATGTTCCTGATAAACCCAGCCTATGCCTCCTGTGGCATTGTGCTCATGCTGCTCCTTCTAGTCGTCATTAACTACCGTTCCCCCACCAGCAGCTGGGGCTATATCAGCCAAGCCCTCATTTTCCACCAGGTCAGTATCCGTGCCAGTGTCCTCCTCACTAGTCTACAAATCCTTACACGCCCTGGCACCTCCCTACCTCCCTGACCTGCTTACTCCCCACTCCACCATCCGCTTCCTCCTCTCGACTGGCTCCGGCCTCCTGTTTGTCTCTTGCGTCCTCCGCTCCACCATTGGTGGCCGCCATGCGCATTCAGCCACTACGCCCCCGAAACTGTCTCTCTCTCTCCCTCAATCTCTCTGCCTCGCCCCTTCCTTCCCCATCTTCAGATCGCAAGCGAGAGGACCCCGGTTCGATTCCTGGGCGGGTAAAGTCAGGGTGAAACCTTAAGCAGGTTTCCTTACTCCACAAATACGCCTCTGATTACCCAGCAGTAAGTAGGAACCCGGTTATTAGTCGATTGGCGGATCGCTTTGGGGGGATTATTATTATTATCCCTCCAAAATAAAAAATAGTGTGGTCACTCAATCCACGACTGTTTGTCGGCCACTACTGTGCGTAATTGGCTGTCTCGTTTCGCCCACAAAACACACAGTCAGTAAACTTTACAGTGTATCCTGTGAAGCCCTTTGAGATGCTCAAAAGATGTGATAAAGCACTGCATAAAATTCAGATTATTATTACAATAACAAATAATATTTACACAGCGCTTTTCACGTGGGGAGGATGTTGTAAGGCGCTGGACATTCAGGGATTTGGATAAATGTGACAGGAAGTTAGACTGTGGCTTCGTGTTTGCAGGTGAGGAAGTACCTGCTGCTGTTGGACGTGAGGAAAGATCACGTGAAGTTCTGGAGGCCCCAGATCCTATTGATGGTGGCCAATCCCAGGACCAGCTGCCAGCTGATCACCTTCATCAACGACCTGAAGAAGGGTGGTCTGTATGTGCTGGGCCATGTGGAGATTGGGGACCTCGGTAAGAGACTCGGCTCCAGCAAAGCAATCGACCAAGGAGGGGAGCCCATAGACTACCCATAGCCACACTGTGTGTGGGACACAGCGCGCACAATTAGCTGCCGCGTCTAACTCATAAAACACACAGTCACTACTACAACAACAACTAAAAATGACATTTACACAACCCCTTTCGTGTCAGGAGGACGTCCCAAGGCGCTGGGCAGTCAAGTAAACAGTACCCGAGTTGGGGATTGGGATCAGGAGGTTGAGGGTAGGAGGGTGACCCAAGGGGCTGTCAAAGAGGAGGGTCTTGAAACGGGTCTTAAAGGAGGCAAAGGAGTGGGGCGAGGCTTTACTGTGATGCGCTTTGAGGTGTCTCAACAGTATGATGAGGCTATATCAAATGCAAGACTTATTATTATTATTAATTTGTGTTTTACACTAATTGCTGACGACAATCTTGAGCTGTTGGAGAACAGGCTCCAGCGGGGGGGTGGAGGGGTGGGGGAAGAAGGATGCCATGTGTCGAGGGATGTTGTGTAACACCTCCATCAGATATTGAACTATAGGGGAGTCCTGTAGTGTAGTGGTTAGTGCACTCACAAGCAAGTAAGAGGACTTCGATTCCCGAGCAGGGAGAAACCTCTGTTTACCAGCGGAATCTAGGAACCTGGTTGTTAGTGGATTGGTGGATTGCTTTATTGGGATGATAATCCCTTTTTTTAAAAAAATGTGATGACTCGATGCACTGTTTGTGGGACGCTGCTGTGCGCAATTGGCTCCTGTGTTTCGCCCACAAGATATAGTCGTTACACTTTACAGTATATTCTGTGAAGCGCTTTGATATGTCTTAATGATGTGATAAGGCGCTATATCAAATGGATTATTATTATGATTTCCAATGATCTGCCTACATTCTCTCTCCCTGTCCCTCTCTCTCTCCCTCTCTCTCTGTACAGACATGTTACCCACAGATCCCATCCAGCCCCAGTATAACTTCTGGCTCAGCCTGGTGGACAAGCTGAACGTCAAGGCCTTTGTGGATCTAACACTGTCCCCATCAGTGCGTCAAGGAGTCCAGCATCTACTCCGGATAACAGGGCTGGGTAAGGCTTCACTGTCTGGGTCTGCGTATAAGTGTTTGGATAAGCCTTGTGTGTGTGTGCGTGCGTGTGTGTGTGTGTAGAGAGAGGGAAATCGGGACTGGGTAAGGCTTCTGTGTGGTGGGGGTGGATTTGAGGGGTGTGGGTTGAGGCGGAGTGTGAAGGTAGGGTTTTTGTGTGTCTATGTGTGGGTGGGAGTTGTCTGTGGTTGGAGGGGAGACTAACAGGACTTGTTAAGGCCTCACTGTCTGTGTGTGCATGTGTGTGTGTGTGTGTGTGTGTGTGAGGGGAGAGATAAGGGGACATGGTAAGATTTCTGTCTTTGGGGAGGAGATTTCTCAGATTGCTGAGCCCTTTGGCTGGAGATGACTGTGAATTGTAATAATAATAGTAGTCCTTAAAATAAAAACAGAAGTCGCTGGGAACACTCAGCGGGTCAGGCAGCATCTGTGGCGAGAGGAAAGTGAGTTAACGTTTGTGGTCTGACTGGAGGGAAGTGTGCAGTGGTGTCCAGTAGGGGACGGTATTGGGACCACTACTGTTGATTGATATAAATGATCTGGACTTGGTTATAGGGAGTACAGTATCCAAGTTTGTAGACAATACTAAGCTAGGAAAATTAGTAAACAGCGAGGAGGATAGTAGCAGACTGCAAGAGGACATAGACAGACTGGTAAATGGGCAGACACGTGGCAGATGAAGTTTAATGTGGATAAATGCGAATTGATGAATTTTGGGAGGAATTTGAGGAGAAGCAATATAAGCTGATGGTAGATTCTTAAAGTGGGTGAAGGAGCAGAGAGACCTGCGGGTTCATGTAAGTAAATCTTTCAAGCTGGCCGGACAGGTAGATAAAGCTGTGAAAAAGGCATCTGGGATACTAGGTTTTATAAACAGGGGCATAGAATACACAAGTCAAGAGGTTATGATGAACCTTTATATAAAACACTGGTGAGGCCTCAGCGAGAGACTGTGTTCAATTCTGGGCCCCACACTTTAGGAAGGATGTCAAGGCATTGGAGAGGGTACAAAGGAGATTGACCAGAATGGTACCAGGAATGAGGGACTTCAGTTATCAGGAGAGGCGACAGAAGCCGGGATTATTCTCCTTGGAGAAAAGAAGATTAAGAGGAGACTTAATAGAAGTTTTCAAAATTATGCAGGGATTCGATAGGGTGAACAAGGAGAAACTACTCCCACTGGTGGGTGGGTCGGTAACCTGAGGACACCGATTTAAAATAGTTGTTAAAACAAACAGAGGGGAAGGGAGGAGAAATGTTTTCACATTGGGATCTGGAATGCGTTGCCTGAAAGGCCGGTGGAAGCCGATTCCATAACAACTTTTAAGAGAAGTAGATACTTATTTGGGAAGGACAAGTTTGCAGAGCTATGGGGAGAGAGCGGGGGAGTGGGGTTGATCAGGGCTATGGGGAGAGAGCGGGGGAGTGGGGTTGATCGGGGCTATGGGGGGAGAGTGGGGGAGTGGGGTTCATCAGGGCTATGGGGAGAGAGCGGGGAGTGGGGTTGATCGGGGCTATGGGGAGAGAGCGGGGGAGTGGGGTTGATCAGGGCTATGGGGAGAGAGCGGGGGAGTGGGGTTGATCGGGGCTATGGGGAGAGAGCGGGGGAGTGGGTTGATCAGGGCTGTGGGGAGAGAGCGGGGGAGTGGGGTTGATTGGGGCTATGGGGGGGAGAGAGGGGGAAGTGGGGTTGATCAGGGCTATGGGGAGAGAGTGGGGGAGTGGGGTTGATCGGGGCTGTTGGGAGAGAGCGGGGGAGTGGGGTTGATCAGGGCTGTGGGGAGAGAGCGGGGGAGTGGGGTTGATCGGGGCTGTGGGGAGAGAGCGGGGGAGTGGGGTTGAGTTGGAAGCTCTTTTCAAAAAGCCGGCACAGACGCGATGTGCTGTATAATTCTAGGATTCTATGACCTTTTAGTCAGCACACGTTTATAATAATCCTTGCAGAAAGTGATCATTTATTTTAAGAATTAAGTATATAATGTGGGAGTCAATTCACTTTACTGTTTATCCTGTGAAGCGCTTAGAGATGTCTTGAAGACGTGATCAGGGGCTGTATCAAATGCAAGGATTATTATTATAAGACGTATTAGACATTGTATTAGTATCAGCACTTTTTTAGTCATCCTCCAAAATTATGAGGTTGTAAATAGAAATAGTTGTTGCTCTGCAATTCCCACTGCTTGTCATAAACTTTCAGTGAGCTCGCACACACCATACGCTTGTATTCCAGAGATGCTTTGGGTTCACACTATGGATTGAGAGCAGTCAGAGACATCCTCCTTGATTGAGAGCCTGACTAATTTGACCAAGCCCTGGAGGGTTTTCCCCATAAAACACAGTCACTACACTTATATATACAGTATTATTCTGTGAAGCGCTTTGAGACTTCTCAAAGACGTGATAAGGCACTATATCAAATGGAAGGATTATTTATCAAATGGAAGGATTATTATTATTTGATATAGTGCCTTATCACGTCAATGAGACGTCTCAAAGTGCATCTCAATGTAAATTGTAGAGTATTTGATTGTATTTTGTGGGCGAAACGCGACAGCCAATTGCACACGGCCCTGTCCCACAAACAAGTTGTGGATTTAGCAACCAAATTATTTACTCATTTTGAAGGGATTATTATAGGAACATAGGAACAGGAGAAGGCCATTCAGCCCCTCGAGCCTGTTCCGCCATTCTGTTAGATCATGGCTGATCTGTACCTGAACTCCAATTACCCTCCTTTGCTCTATATCCCTTGATACCCTGACCTAACAAACATCTATCCACCTCAGGCTGGAATATATAAAATATTATCCCTGGAAAGTGATCCGCCAGTCGACTAACAAGGTTCTTACTTACTGCTAAGTAAACAGAGGCTTATGTGTGGAGTAAGGAAACTTGCCTAAGGTTTTGCTCTGACACGCCCGGGAACCAAACCCGGGCCCTCTCGCTTGTGAGGCGATGACTGGTGGAGCCTACTCTTTCAGTATGTTTGGTTTTACTTCCTCCCCTCCCACCCTCCCCTCTCCCGCAGGCGGGATGAAGCCAAACACCCTTGTGCTTGGCTTCTATGACCACTGCGTGCCTGAGGACTACTTGCTGTGTGACCCGGCGTTCAAGGACACCAAGGAGAATGATCACTTTGGGGTGGACATCACCTCGCTTCAAGCCCATTTCCCTCCTGTCCGCGATGGGGAGACCAGCAAGACGCTGTCTGCCAGGGAATACGTGGCCATCATATCAGATGCCATCAAGATGCAGAAGAACGTCTGCCTCGCCCGCTACTACTTCCTGATGGACAAGAAGGACCTCTTTGGCAAAAAACGGGCTGAACGCGTGTCCATTGATGTCTGGCCACTGAACTTGCTGAGCCCAGACAGCACCAACTACGTGGACATCTGCAGCCTCTTCCTGCTGCAGATGGCCTGCGTCCTCACCATGGTCACTTCCTGGAAAGGAGCCCGGCTCCGCATCTTCCTGTGCATCGAGTCCGGCGACGACCGCTGGCTGAGGAAAGAGGAGAAGCTGCGGGAACTCCTGGACAAGCTGAGGATCAAGGCCACTATCAAGATCGTCAGCTGGGACCAGGTGGTGTCCCTGCATTGGCAGAAACGCTTGACTAGAGAAGAGCAAGAGGTGGCCTTCGGCAACGCCAACCACCAGGCCATGCTGATCTCAGACGAGTATCTCCAGGCCGTCAATCACTTGGTGTTGGACCAGACTTTTCACACGGCCGTCAGGTTCCTGTATCTGCCTCGACCCCCTGTGGACACCGCTCAGCACCAACGCTACTTGGAGCAGTTGGACATTTTGACCAAGGATCTGGGACCCACTCTCTTAATCCACGGACTCACTCCAGTCACCTGTACAGACCTTTAGAGCTCGCTAGGGGTGGGCTACACAGCTTGCATCTACACGCACACACACAGCCACACACCACACCCCACACCACAGACCCACCACACATAACTACACACAAACCATACACATTGCGCACACACACATACCCACCCCATATACACACAGAAATACTAAATGGTTTTGTTTCTAAAAAAAGTTTTGCTTTCCGCACGCCAAACCCACTCACCTTGTAATCGCTGTTTATTTATAAAGACTCAACATTGGGTGATTAAGGGGACTCGTTACTGTGAAAGTTGTGTCGAACAGGATGGACAGGCATCTCTGAGGGTTTCTAACTTATTAAAGAATTTGTGTATTAATATTAATAATAAACCTTGCATTTGATACAGCGCCTTATCACGCCTTTGAGGCATCGCAAAGTGCTTCACAGGATCCACTGGAAAGTTTCGTGACTGTATTTTGTGGGCAAATGCGGCTACCAATTGCGCATAGCTGTGTCGTGGATTGACTGACCACTTTATTATTATTTTGGAGGGATTATTACCCCCGGAAAGCGATCCGCCAATCGACTATCAAATGGGTTCCTACTTACTGGTAGGTAAACAGAGGCGCGCGTATGTTGAATAAGGAAACTTGCCTAAAGTTTCGCCCTGACTTGAGTCCATTGAAAAGACTCAAATTTTTGTCAGTGTACAGAAGACTGAAAGTAAAAGCTGCGAACTCCTCTTTGTAAAAGTAATTCAGTAAAATATTTTGAAACGTAATTAACAAATAATTTTATTAAAGTTCAGGCAGTTTTGTGCGTGTGGCACTCCTCATAGCATCCAACAACGATAACAACACATGACATTTACACAGCAACAACTTGCACTTATATAGCGCCCGAGCTGGGGGAGAGGTGGCTGTAAGCACGGTCGAAGAGGAAGATTTTCAGGCGGGACTTAAAAAAGGGGAGAGAGGGGGCAAAGTGGAGGGATTGAGGGAGTGTTCCAGAGTTTCAGGGTGTAGTGGCTGAAAGCGCAACCTCCGATGGTGGGGCGAAGGGTGCGATGGACGAGCAGGAGGCCAGTGCCATTCGAGCAGAGATCTGGGTGGTGGATTGGGGTGCCAGGAGGTCGGAGAGGGAGGGTGTTTAATTTTTTTTTCCTTTCACATCAGGAGGAAGTCCCAAGGCACAGGACAGTCAAGGATTTGGACCCGAGCTGGGGTTTGGGATCAGGAGAGGGTGGAGAGCAGGGAGGGTGAGGGTGACCGAAGGCTCAGCTGAAGAGAAGGGTCTTGGAGGGGGCGAGGCAGAGGGACTGTGGGATGGAGTTCCAGAGGGTGTGAGCAAAGAGGCTTAAGGCCTGACTGTGGATGTTGGGGTGGGCCGTGTGGGGGATGTGGAGTAGGCCAGAGCCCGCTGAGCAGAGGGGTCTATATGGCGTATTGAGCCAGGGTATTGTTGGGGTGGGGGCGGTTTCCTGTGTAAGGAAAGAGTTATAATAAGCGAGTCCTGGCTGAGTAGTTTTGTGTTTCGAATTGGTGAGACGTGAAGATAATAATAATAATTCTTGCATTTGATACAGTGCCTCATCATGTCTTTGAGACGTCTCAAAGCGCTTCACAGAATAGACTGTAAAACGAATGAATTGTATATTTGTGGGCGAAACGGCAGCTTTCCACAACTGCTCGTGGTTTGAAGTGACCAATTTAAGATTTTTTTTCTTGAGGGCTTATTATCAGGCGTGTGGAGTAAGGAAACTTGCCCAAGGTTTCGCGCTGCCGGGAATCAAACCCGGGTCTCTCACTTGCAAGGCTGAGCTACAGGACTCCACAGTAATAAGCCTCGCATTTGATATAGGATCTTATCATGTCGTTGAAACGTCTCAAAGTGCTTCACAGGATACACAGTAAAATGTAGTGACTGTATATTTTGTGGGTGAAACACGGCAGCCAATTGCGCACAGCAGTGTCACACAAACAGTGGTGGACTGAGTGAACCCAATATTTTTTTGAAAGGATTATAACCCCCAGAAAAGCGATCCTCTAATTGACTAACAAGCAGGTTCCAACTTACTGTTGGGTAAACAGAGGAGTGTGTGTGTGTGTGTGTGCCATAAGGAAACTTGCCGAAGGCAATTGCTCGCTTCTCCCCCCCACCCCACACCCGAGTGTGTCTCTCTCTGTTTCGTCGGTAAGTGCAGTTTCCCACCGGTTGAGGTACAGGACACACCTCTTTCGCTTTTCCTCCTTGACCTTGTAGTCAAACTGAAGTTTCTGCGCTTTTTGCATCACCATATACTTTGATCGAAGACTCTGACGCATTCTTCTTTGTGAGCTCCTGAGCGTGCCAAATGGCTCTTCGCCCTCTGAAACGCTTTGTTCGCTCGTACTAGACTGTGAGATAATAATAATAATAATATTTGCAATTGTAACAGCGCCTTATCATGTCTTATTTCTGCGGTCCACCAATCGACTACCAACTGGGTTCCTACTTACTGCCCAGAATATACTTTGGGGTAACTGCTGGGGTCTAACCAGCTAAAAACACATAGCCTGCCATTGAGATCACTGTCTGGCAAGCTTTCCCGCTGCTTGTCCAGTTAGGACCACCCTTCCCGTTAGGGCTTTGGCAATATAATTCTGCAATGTGTGTTGAATAATAATCCTTGCATTTGATATAGAGGCTTGTCACGTCTTTGAGACGTCTCAAAGTGCTTCACAGTTTATACTGACTGTGTTTTGCGGGTGAGACGCAGCAGCCAATTGCGCACAGCAGTGTCCCACAAACAATGTTGGATTAAGTGACCAAATTATTTTGGGTGGAATTATTACCCTCAGAAAGTGATCTGCCAAACGACTAACAAGCGGGTTCCTATTTGCTGACTAGTAAATAGGCGTGTATGTGGAGTAAGGCAACTTGCCCAACATTTCACCCTGACCTGCCCAGGAATCGAACCCAGGTCATCTCGCTTGCAAGCTGTGCGCTCTAACCACTGACCTACAGGACTCCACTGTTAGGAAGTAATATCTGAGGGAGACAGTATAGAGTTTGGGACACGAAATGTCAAGTGACTCACAGGATGGTGGAAGGCAAACCTATAGATGGACCTTGGTCTTTTTTGACTTAGCAAATTCTTATGTTCTTATTAAACAAAAGGGAAGTGTTCACCTATGGTCTTGCCCTCCGATGACCAACCGGTGACGTTGGCAATGTCTCCAGGCTCCAGGATGAGTCTGTCAGCTCGCTGGGCTCCGTACCGAGCATATATAGTGGCCAGTCTGGCAAGAGGAATACTTAGTGAGGGATGTGCAGGTGAGGTCTAACCTTTTACCTGCCGAGAGTCATTTACCAACAACACCAACTCATGACATTTACATAGCGCCTTTCATGCCGGGAGGACGTCCCAAGGCGCTGGACGGTCAGGGATTTGGACCCGAGGTGGGGGTTGGGATCGTGGAGGGAGGGAGCAGGAGGGTGACCGAAGGCGCGGTTGAAAAGGAGGATCTTGGGATGGGCCTTGAAGGAGACGAGATGGAGGAACTTTGGGATGGAGTTCCAGAGTGTAGGTCTGAGTATCTGAGGCCAGTCCCATTATCAGGCAGAGCCCGAGCTCCTGGTGACCATCTCCTGATTAGTCAGGGACTTGCTTGTACTACCCTGTGTTCGGGCAACTATGTAATATATAAAGGCAAGTTGTTGTTTCTGTATTTGCTTGTCCAACAATGAAGCTGGAAATGGCCACCAGTTGGAACCAGCCTGGAGTCGAGAGTCTCAAAGCGCTTCATAGAATATACTGCAAAGTGGATGGACTATATATTTTGTGGGCAAAATGCGGCAGCCAATTGCGAACAGCAGTGTCCCCACAAACAGTCGTGTATTGAGTGATCAAATTATTATAATTTTTTTGGAAGGGATTATTATCCCCAGAAAAGTGATCTGTCAATCGACTAACAAGCGGGTTCCTACTTACAGGTAGGTAAACAGAGGCATGAGTGTGGAGTAAGGAAACTTGCCCTCAGTTTCGCCCTGAGCCGATTATTTGGGGAAGACAAGTTTACAGGGCTATGGGGAGAGCACGGGGGAGTGGGATTGATTTGGATAGCTCTTTTCAAAGAACCGGCACGAGACACGATGGGCCAAATGCTTCCTTACTGGATAATTCTATGATTCTATAACTACAACTCCAACTCCAACTACCTAACTACAACTCCACTAATTTTATTATGAAATTTGAATTACAAAGTGGGCAAATCGATTCCCCAGATCTTTTTTAAAAAAATCCATCTTTGTGCATGCTCTAGCCTCTCTAACCATAGGTATTGTGGGCGAATCGCAGCAGCCAATTGCATATTTGAACCAGTTGATCACTGAGCTTGCCCACGGTTTTGCCCTGACCCACCCAGGAATCGAACCTGGGTCCTCTCACTTGCAAGGCAAGTGGGCTACCCAATACAGGACTCCAATTCCCCCCTCTCTTTCCCATGTGCATACTTACCCCAGAGATTGTCAATTTTCTCATCACTGGAACTTTTGGAATTGTATTGCTTATAGTAGGGCAATAAGGCATTAAGCCACTGGTCCAGGTCAGACCTGAGAATGGGGAGATTGTTTAATAAACATCCTCACATTTGATAAAGAAACATCCTCACATTTAATCTCACCCCTTATCACGTTTTCAAGACGTCTCAAAGCACATCAAAGTATTGTAATGTGAAGTGAATTGGCTGTGTTTTGTGGGCTAAACATGGCTGCCAATTGCTCACAGCAGTGTCCCACCAACAGTCATGGATTGAGTGACCAAATTATTATTATTTTTTGGGAGGAGGATTATTACCCCAAGAAAGTGATCCGCCAATCGACTAACAACCGGGATCCTACTTACTGCTATGTAAACAGAGGTGTATGTGTGGAGTAAGGAAACTTGCCTCCTCAAACAGCTTCTCCTCAAACAGCCCCTCCTCTAGCCCCCACACCGTATTGTGCGGTGTTCCTCAGTGCTCTGTCCTTGGTCCCCTCCTTTTCAATATCTATATGCTCCCTCTTGGTGACATCACCCGCAGACATGGGGTCAATTTCCACATGTATACGGATGACGCCGAACTCTACCTCTCTGCCT